GTCAGTACGATTTGTTTTTTTGGCGAGATGGAACTGACATGTCTTTCACTTTCGGTGCAATTGACTCTGCATCAGAGCTGATCAACAGCCTCGATTCAAATGAGCTTTTATATGTAAGAGTTACAAATGTCAAAAGCTGTACGTACTGCCATCAGCAGTGAAGAAGGTAGTCAGAACAGCACTGGTCAGAGATGACATCACCCTGACAATAACAGTATGCACTAAGCAGGCAAAGAAGAGTCATCACAGCGCAAACAGGTTGTGGAAGCGCTGAAGTCGATGCATCTTAGCTTTATTGTAGGACTTTACGGACTTGGCCATGGCCATTCATGGCTTCGTAACTACTTTTGGCTGTTTAAATATCGATGCTAGAGCTTCTTTGACTGATTTGCCTTCCTGCCTGTGCTTCACATACTCACCGATCTTGATCAAGATCACTTGGACGCCATGGACTCATTCTCTTGTAGGTTGCGTTGTTTATTTGTAACAAAGTCAATGTCATATCTTGCTGGTAATTTTAGCTCTCATGGTGGGTCGTACTCAAAAGGCACAGTCACAGGTTGGTAGAAGTAAGGAGGACATCAGAGTACGGTATGGTGGTAACTCAAAAAGCTTACGCATGTGATATCGCAGATTCATGGCAGAGCGCATAACTGGACGTTACCGGCGAGACTGCTTCATATTTAGCAATGTGCAGCCGACATAGCATCTGAAGCCAATTTGCCTCGTTTAAAACCAAATTCTTCACCTGATCATAAACCGCCTTGTCGCTCTTCTCAGTCACCTCTGGCGTGCGCTCATAACGCAACGCAGAGCAGATAAGATCAATATACTTGTAAATGTCACGTGCAGAAGTTGCAAACGACAAGGGCTCAATATCAAGTCCTCAGCCAGAACCTATAGCTGGTCAAATATTTCTATGAATATCGAAGTAAACACATCGTTGCGTAACTGACAGATCCCTCTGCGTCTAGGTATAGTATAAGCACAAGAAGTACCATGATCATTTGTATTGTCTACGGCTGTGTCTTCCTGTGCTTTCCAGTACTATACGTATGTGGTAAGACCATCGATGTCTCTGTGGCAACCTGCAACTTACGGCTAACGCCCCAGTCCCTGACTCACCCATAGCAAGGTCGTTGGCTGTCAGCTATACCGTCAATATCATTATAGCAGAGCTAGACTTGTCGTAAATACAGTTGAACATCACGACTTGCGGTGCCGCTCTGAAGTCCCTTGCGTGGCTCTAAGCTGTTCCTCAAACCTATCAAGACTTCTCGCCGTACTGACAACATCAATTCAAATAGCAAGCATAGCGGTTTCCATGATGACATGTTGCGATATTTCCTTCCGACTGGCGGGCAACGAGATAGCGCGGGCTTGAACCAATGGACACCGACGAGGCGGAAGTCTGGAGGCTGTGACATTATTTTCATTAGTTATACAGAACGTTTCCGCAAGTGTCCGCATCCTGTACCCATTTCTCTAAATAGCGTCATGCGTCGAACGGAAAACGAAGAGTCAACATGCAGGCCAGCTATTTTAGTTAAGAAGCAAGCATTGTCCTCAGCAGGAGATAAAGGAGCTGGGTAGCAAAGGGACGTTTAATTTGTAATAATTTTTTGTACTATTTGGAACGCGCAAGAGGTTTGCAGCCTCGTCTGGTAAGTTTGTTACATCAGCTTTATCTGACATTGCACTGGGCTTACTCTCTGACTCACACCCGTGAGACCATAGCTAGAAAGCATCATTACAGCTATCATTCCTCTTGCACGGGGATAGCTATGAATGACGTGACAATATGCTCTGAATACCGGCATTTTATCAACGATGCTAGTTTCTATTAGCACTAGCATCGTTCACAATTTACTCTGCCACGTTAGTCAATGTACATCAGAGCTACGATCAGCTATCGTCTCTCATATCACCTTAGAACAAGACTTTAGCTGAATTGCAGGAGTTAGCAATAAGACTCCAAAGCAAACAATAATAAGTAGCCTTCACCCACTCAAAGCTAGTCGCGGCTAGACAGAATTAACGTGGCTATCTCTAGGCGATCTACACTTTCAGTGGGGCCTAAGTTTGACCCATGCAAAAAAGTAGCAAAAGTAGTAAGAAGAGCACTTATTAAACCTTGCTGCCTCATCATCGAGAGTACAAGATAAAAGCTGCTGCAGTGAATCCGGTTCAATGACTACAAAACATGGATTTCCATGGACGTTTTCGTTGCCACTGAAACAGATTAAAAACCTTGGCAAGCAGCATTCCGAAATTGCTGAATAGCTACGAAAGTAGCCGCGGCAGAATATATAAGCGAGCTTACATCCTCAGTAAGCATACTTATTGACACGTGAGCGGCAAAGTCGGGGGCCATACCAATTGACCTTGTCCAGAGGGAAGTCGGATCTCTGCTTCGTCTAAGTCTTTGTTCTCACACCTTCAATCAAAGAGTAAGAACAGAGCTTTCTCTGTAAAATTTAGCTTCTTCATCCTGCATTGATTAGCTCACACGAAGTTGCAAGAACTCTGCGTAAACGTTGAAGGAGAGTTGCACATTCGCACGTCCTGTCTGTAGTCATAACTCCTGTAATCTCCAGCATTAGCGAAAAACACGAAATTAGCGGCAGCTATGTAGTCAGTCGTTCATATCGTAACTATGCGGCATCTTAGGGCGTCGAGTGTCAAGGGCCAGACGAGCTTGTAGTCCGAATCACCAAAGGTCACAAATCTTATATCATACCCACGATTGCAGCATGTTCTGTCACTCTAGGGACCGTTGATTATCTCTATAGACTCGTGTCCATAATCGCGGGGTTGAGCAGCCTAAGAACTTAGCTCGCCACTCATCATACGTAGGTCCTTGTTTTACAACTTAGTAACACTCGCGGGTAGCATAAGGTCGATAACCAGACACTTGTCATCACATACCATCAATTCTGCAGACAACACAGCTATCAATTTACAATTACCATAGAATCGAGAGAATAGCTGAGAACAAAGAGGTGCTTGAAACTCACCTATGCTGAAGTACGTGCACGCGTATAAGTCCACCACCGCGACGTGAGAAACATGATACGGCGTATCGACAAGAAGAAGGGCATACGTTCGTGTCCTCTCATTATCTCATCATGATTAAGTGTGTGGTCGAACTTGTTTGGTACTTGATTTCCAGTTAGATCATTTTTATTTACTTTTTCTTATTCGTTAAGGAAAAGTGAATAAAAATGATCTAGCTGGAAATCAAGTACCGAGTAGAGACCTTGTACCTTTACGTTTGCAGGTCGTACATGGCAGATCTAGCCGTTCCAAAGTTGAGACTCTGAAATGGATACGATTTGACAGACTTTTTTCTATCTGTTCTTGTGGGAATGGTGAGGAAGAACTGCGAACGAAAAGGTGTTGCTCTTGTATAACAAGTATTCGACATCAGACTTACAATAGATCTCATCTTACCATGTTCTGTAGCATATTTTTTTGGATTGTAACACTTTCCGTCCGAATACGGTGATCGAGTTTTACAATGCATCGTCAATCGCATTTGATCGAATATCAATTTTGTCGCTTCGAATCTCCACTGTCCCAGCGTCATCTGTCATGAGTTTCCAGTCTTCCATGACATTGCTCGTCCTCGACACGTCACTTGGTCGTCCAGTCGTCAACGGTGCGGTGCGCATAGAGCTGCAAATCTTTCGCCACAACGCGTGGGTCCGAGTGAATTGGGGAATTTACCAACGCTGACGGACGCGTTGCTGGCCATGTAGTGCCCAAGGATTCGATCTTTCAAGTAAACACCTACCGTTCAGTGTTCAACACTGCGGGATACTTTACACGGAATGGAATCACTGAGCTTCTCTATTCTCAAGTAACTATCACGTTTTTGTAAATATCCGACCCAGCGCCTCTTTTCCTAACCCTTTGGTACTCAACGTATCGAGGAAGTTAGAGAAGATTGACAGTCAAACCTTGTGATTTACAAACATTATTCATGATGTCAAGAAATGTAAGGATAATATGGTAAACCATTGGTGGTCTTTTTGATTTTGGATTTTACAGATCTATGCAATGAAGTCGGCGTAGCGGCTGACTATTAAGTTGGACGGAGACATCAAAGCGGTTGCAGCGACCAGTTTGCAGAGATTTCACGTGACAACTGTCAGGATAAAACGAATGTGTCAGAAACAAAAGACCATACTTGCTAAGTTGAACAAGAGATAAGATTTCGTCGGCGTTCATGGGTCTTTGTGGTCGGCATTGCGCTCAATCACAGCAAAATGTCAACACCATGGCTCTCACTTGAAGCTAAGATTTGAGAAAGAGCGAACTATTTTGCTTGTTCGCGTGAAAGAAAAGCCGGTATTCTAAGCTTCAAAACAAATCGCAGTATTTAGCAGTCTCGTCTGAGCGATGGCGTCGCTAGAAGCAATTCTTATGGATAATGCTGATGCGACCTTGGATACTGAACATGACATGCAAATTGACGAGTTTGTGCCGCACGCTGTCTCAGGAAAAACTGTTGAAAAGCGTTCATGCCGCTTCACGTTTTGTTCAAGCACGCGGCATCTGGTTGTCAATAGGGGGTAAAGTGGTTTTTGGTTAGCACACATTAACTCAGGTTCTAGAAGGCAATCATCAATGTCTCAACGCGCATTTAGAGAAGCCTACTAGAGTTAATAAAGTAAATGAAGTTCTTGCTTGCACTGTTGATATAAAGATACTTGTCTGTATGTTCGGTACGTTCTTGACGGTGATGAATAATCTTAAATCTATTGTCGTGGCATTGAGTTGTGTTTCTGCAAAAGCTTGCTATAACCTATACCTTAGTCTAAGACCACCTCAAGAGCGCACCGAAAGTAGCGTCTTGCTAAATTTGTACCAACAACATGCATCATCCCTGCCCAGTCAATTAATTTCCTGAAACAAGTCGGATGTATATTGCAATACGAAATGACTTGTTTGCTATAGAAAACAGATCAAACCTCTACAATTGCCGAATATTGCAATCAACTCCCGCTAACAGCCCATTCTTTCAGCAATGTCGAGCACTTGATGCTGCCATTACGAATCACACCTGCCAGCGTTTGTGGCGCAAAATTCAAGTGCACAGCACGAAATTCGGGCTGCAGCGAGCCAGAATGATCTTGTTTCATTAAACCTTTCCCACTGCGCCCAATCTTGAAAGCGTCTCCCGCGCCCATAACAAGCTTCAGTTGCAGCAGATTTTCCAAAGCTTTATGGGCTTCGCTGCGCGTTGGCAGTTGTCCAAGCATGTCGTGCTGACGAAGAAAGTTTTCCCACCGAGAGTATACCATTTCCAGCGTAAACACTCGCTGACCACCCTTTTCCAAATGCCCCATGCCGATTAGCAGCGCAATACCGTGCTCCGTAACAGTCTCTAAAACAGCAAGTTGATGGTCTTGCTCTAGCAGGTGCCTAGCCAGCCGGAAATGCTGAGCTGTGAGTAGCGACTCATCAACACTTATGTAATAGACGGCAGCGGCAGTAAGCCGTACAAAATAATCCTGCGACTTGCCGATGTCGTAGTCAAACTCGAGACTCGCAAGGAACTTACTTTGCTCCATAAACAGTTCATTCACACTTGTGGAAAAAGCTGCTGTGTATTCGGCAGATGGCTGTCTTAGGTCGCTGTAAAAGTCCCATGGAATCTTGTCGACAGAGAGCAAGTCTACCAGATATTGCCGGATCTTCGCGAAGGAGGGTCGTTCAACAACGATCTGGAGGTTCGAGAATCTGGTACACACTCAAGCAGAAACACAACAGAGTAAATATGAGCCGCCTACTCATCAGACGCTAAACTCACTGCACCTAATCGATTTCAAGTAAAAGATGAATCGAATATTCTACCTGGAACGCACTCGCTTCTCTAAATTGTCCACGACATTGTAATTATCCGTGATACCAAGCACACCCATCTTAATGTCTGTTGCCTATGTTGAGTGAGCAATACGGCATGTAAGCTACGGCACGTCCAAGTATTTGAAAAAGTTCCACAAGTAGAACCTGAAGCCAATCAAGCAAGTTGTATAGCAACATTTGTTTGTTATTGCTCTTCTCTTGCACAAAGTGCTCAAAGGCGTCTACGATGACGATCACATGATCATTTGCATTGGATTTGGCGACAAGTAGACCACGTAGATACTCGTACATATTCCAGTAAGACAGCGCCTATCCACAAAACAATACTTTCATCAAGATAATGTCATAACAACGTAATCCGTACTTTCAACATTTATACTCTCAGCAAATCAATGGTAAAGCATACCGGATGCTTCACTGCAGTGGCTCGAGTTAGCTGCGCCGTTAGTTCCTTAAAAGCCTCTAGCTCGTTCTGCAGTATGACACCATTGAGGTATACGACCGTAAAGTCGCCGTATGTAGCACGCAGATTACTCATTGCACATGTAACGATCGAGTGCCTATAGCTACCCACAGACCCAAGTAAGAATCCTGACTGGTTCTCGCCAAACTGCACTGTCCGCTCAAAAAGTCGCTCAAGTTGTGTCACTGCTTCAAGTTTACAATGTTTGGGCGTAACTGACTTGATTTTATTGTTATTACTATCACATGTATCGATTGAACCTTGGACGTCTTTATTCGTAAGACGCAGACGTAGAGCACAACGCACAGAGCGTATCTCTTCTTCTGACGGCATAATAAAGCTATGCACTTTGTGGGGTTGTTTTCGTATGAGAGTGACGTGTATTAATATAGTTAGAGCAGTTAGTTGCAAAACGGTAATATAAAATAGTATAGTAGACAAATTAAATAGGTGGTAGAAGTAAACAGAGCACAGCCCCAAAGAGACCCGAACACTCGGAACGAGAATGCAAGCCAGGCTAGCTAGTCGTCGAAGGGACGATTAAGGGCTTTGATAAGCCATGGATCATTTTGATCGATTCGGGGGCCTCGGTCAACTATGTTCTTCGTGACACCGTGGAAGGTAGTCAGCAGTATGCTGAAGCGCTAAAGCGCGTGATACTGACACATTCACAGTTCGCTTAGCGACGGGTACGCGTGTTACGGTACCCAAAGTCCCGATGGACTTAAATGTAAAGTTCTTGGACTTTAACAGCATGGAACGCTGTTTGGTCTTAGACCTGGATGCGAGGTATGACCTCATCCTAGGCATGGCATGGCTAGAACGTCATGAGCCATGGATTGATTGGAGGTCGAAGACCTTAGGCGCAACGCACAATGCTCCTGGTCGGGCTCTGGAGAGTCATGAACCCACCTCTGCTAGGACGCAAAAGCATTTTTGGCGCGGATATTGGACCGAGTCGGTAAATATGTTGGATGTCGGAATATCCGACTTTGTAGACACTGTAAGTGTCGAGGACAATAGTCCTGGGCGAGGCCCAATGACTGTCGATAGTGTGGTTGAGAACCTCACTAGATGGCACACATGGCATGTGTCATGAGAATGATGTTGCATCATTAAACACCGTGAGTGGTGTTGGTGGCTGCAAGCCAAGATGTCAGGACATGAGTCCAAGTGACATGAGTGACGAGGAACTGACCCTGGAGGGTCGAGTGAAGTCATCAATGGATTTATCTTTGAGGACAAAAAATGAATGCACCTAACGACGAGGTACTGGCCCTGGAGGGTCGAGTGACGTCATCAATGGATGTTGTCTTTGAGGATAACGAGGTGCAAGCACCTAACGACGAGGTACTGGCCCAAGAGGGTCGGGTGAAGTCAAAAATGACGGTTGTCTTTGAGGACAACGAGGTGCGAACACCTCATGACGAGGCATTGACCCAAGAGGGTGGGCTGCAGTCAGTAAACGAAGTGGTCTTTGACCTTGAGGTGTGTCAACCTATGGACGCTGATGTGTCGGATGCTGAGAGCACCATGAGTAGCGATGATAATATCGTGAGTGACGGTGATAGCGAACAGCTATATACACTCGTCAATGGTTTGACTGGGGATGTTGAAGATCCGGTGGCTCTTTCAGCAATACCCGCGTAAGTGCTCTGTTAGAGCTGGACGAGTTGTCCTTTGCCGAGTTTGGCATTGCCTTACATTCAGGCGACATCGCCGAAGTGGTCGTTATACGACCTGAAACGGAGCTGAACTCCTCATCGCTTTTGGATAAAGCAGTTCTTGAAGATACCAAGAAGGCGCTGAATGCGCGTAGTGGATCACAGATCCTGAAGGACCCTTCGGATCCTTATTTTCCTTTGCTGAAGGAATATGGAGATGTTGTGTCCAGAGAACCTCCGACGAGGTTACCTCCGGATAGAGGTGTATGTCATGAAATTGACTTGGTTCCAGGAACCAAATATTGTGTGACGCGACAGTGGCCGCTGCCACGAGAGCAATGTGACGTCATTGACGAGTTTTTCGTACGAAGCACGCATCTGGCATGGTGCGTGAGAGTAAGTCTCCTCACTACGCCCACGTTTTGTGTGAGAAAGCCTAATGGGAAGTGGCGAATAGTGCATGCTTACAATAAGCTGAATGCAGCCACTATCTCGGCTCAAACACCGATTCCTCGCAAGGATGTTCTTCAGAACAATATGGTGTGATGTACGATGTACAGTGCCCTCGACTTAGTGGATGGATAGTACCAACTGCTCATGCGAGCTAGTGATATCCCGCTGATAGTGGTCAGTACTCCGAGCGGTATGCTCTGGGAGTGGTTAGTGATGCCTAAAGGGCTATCTAACGCGCCTGCAACGTTTAATCGTCTAGTGACACAGTTGTTTCGGCTCCATAGGGCGTATGCACAGACATACTTTGACGATATATTCGTTCATAGTCGAGCCGAAAATGGCAAGACTGATGTGAAGAACCACATCGAGACACCTGCGAGCTGTGCTCGGTTGCATGAGGATGCATAAGTTGTATCCCAATTTTGACAAATGCATCTTCGGTGCGGAAGAGATTCCCTTTTTGGGATGCTTCATTGGGAAGCGAGGAATCTGGGCAGACCCTGTTAAGGTCAAAGCCATAGTGATTGGCCGGTTCTGAGGAACCAGAAGGACCTCCGCAAGTGGTTGGGTTTGGCAAATTACTTGCACAAGTATAGCCACAACTATGCGGAAGTGGCTAAGCCATTGTCGAATCTCCTTAAAAAGGATGCGGAATGGTGTTAAAACACCGAGCACCACGAGTCTTTTGAAGCCATTAAGGAGAGTCTCCTTCAGGCGCCAATTCTGGCTCTGCCTGATCCTGATCGCCCGTTTAGCGTCGTATGTGACGCTTCGGACTTTGCCATTGGCAGTGCACTTTTGCAAGTCGACTCTGAGGGTCGAGAACGCGTCATCGCGTTTGTGTCTCGCCAGCTGAAAGCTGCAGAGAAGAACTATCCAGTTCATGACAAGGAGCTACTTGCGATGAAGTATGCCCTTGTTAAGTTCAGGGTACACCTGTTGGGCTCAAAAAGCCGTTTGTGATCTATACCGATCATGCGTCATTACGCACAGCGACACAGTCGCCTCATCTCTCGCAGAGAATGGCTCGTTGGCTCTCCTTTTTTGCGGAGTATAACTTCGAGGTGAAGTATAAGCCGGGAAAACAGAATGTTTTGGCTGACGCGTTATCGCGTAGACCTGACTATGAGCTTGCTCATCTCACTGTTGTGAGTTCGTCAGTCACGGATCGTATCCGTGTGGCGTATGCACGCGATGAGGCATGTGTTGCCATTCTGCAGGCGCTGGGTAGCGCAGAGTTTGAAAACTCTAAGGTGAAGCTGTCACCACGTAATCGTGCGAGATTACATCGTTATGCACTGACCGATGGTCTGTTGTACTATAGTACAGGGTCGGATGACCAGCCTCGTGTTGTGGTGCCTCATGATGAGGACCTCAAGTATCAGATACTTTATGAGGCTCATGATACACCACTTGGTGGTCATTTAGGTCGTGAGAAGACCTACAGCTCGGTGAGCACCCATTATTGGTGGCCCAAGTTGTACAAATGGGTTGGTACCTACGTACGCACGTGTGAAACGTGTCAAAGGGTGAAACCCTCGCCTAATATGGCTGCGCCTTTGGCGAGTTTGCCTGTACCCTCGGGGTTGTGGCAGTCCATTAGTATGGACTTTGTGTTTGGCCTACCGCGTGATGCGGCAGGCAACACTGGGATTGTGGTCTTTGTAGACCGATTGAGCAAGATGGCTCATCTAGCGGCAGTGTCGGACTCCATTGATGGAGAAGGAACAGCAAAGCTGTTCATGGATCGTGTGTTTAGGCAACACGGATTGCCTGTGGCAATCGTCTCGGATAGAGACCCCCGTTTTACGGGTAAGTTTTGGACGTCGGTCTTTAAAGTGCTCGGCACTCGACTGGACATGTCCACGGCGGATCATCCGCAGACCGATGGTCTGTCTGAACGCGTCAACCGCGTTATTGGCGATATGCTTCGCAGTGTTTGTGCTGAAATACCCAAGCAATGGAGCATGATGCTCCCTCTCATAGAGTTTGCGTTGAACAACGCGGTGCATGCCTCGACAGGCTTCACTCCTATTCTATGTGAATGGTTTGGTCAACCCTCGCGTTCCGTTAACGCTACCAATTGCCACATCAGGTCTTAGTGGGGGAGAGATAGCCGAAGGCTTGGCTGATATCAGCCATGTTGCTATGCGCAAAAAGGTGGAAGCGTTTCTGTCAACGCGTTTTGACGTATTACGTCGCGTCAAAGATGCTATGGCTGAAAGCCAGGATGTTCAAAAGGAACACGCGAATGCCAAAGGCAGGAAAAACGAACAAGAGTTCAAAGTGGGTGATTTGTTTTATTGCAACCGCTAGGAATTTACCTACCGTGCCTTTCGCGTATATAAAACCAAACTGCGTCCACGCTTTATCGGACCTTTCAAGGTCATAGGCAAGAAAGGTTTAGCCTATACGCTGAACCTTCCGAAGAAGATGCGAACACACCCTGTGTTCTATGTGAGCTTACTGAAGCCATATCTCAACCCTGCCTCGGTGGACTTCGAGGGGTTGTTCCGATTCCCCGGCCAAAGGAGGCGGTTAGTACGGCACCGGAGGTGCATATGGACGCTGAAGGCGTACCAGGAGGTCGATATGACATCGCAGTTCGGCTTAAGAACGCTCAATCGCCGCTAAGCGATCCGAGGTCTCAGAGCGATAACGCTCAAAAGACCGACGGTGTCGATCGACACGGTCATTGAGCGATGACAGGTGAGACCTTACCGATGCAAGGGCATCACGCTCCAGGAGTGTCAGGCGACGCTTAATCTCGGAGAGATGAGAGGTCAATGGGTCATCGACCTCCTCCGACGTTGATTGATGAGCTTGGTCATCAACAGTTCCACGAGGAACGTCTCTTGGCTCGGCGTCGTCACCAAGGTCATACCCAATACTTGGTGAAGTGGAGGGGTTACCCCCAGTCGTGCGACTTGTGGGAGTATGAGGTACCCCTCCGGCAGGATTGCCCTGACGCCGTTTTCGCTTTTGACTAGGACGGTCAAAAGCGACGACAGCTGTCGTCGGACGCTTCCTGGCACTAGGTGCTGTAAAATTAGGGTCAGTAGGCTGGCTTCACCTCTGACCTTCAGAAGAAGCCAATGTCGGTACATCACTCGTGTGAGAGGTACGGGCAACAGCTTCAGAAGCATGATCCCCACAAGTCTTTGACCTGTATGTGGAAAGTAATTGACGTTTCGCTTTGAGCTTAGCAAAATTAAAACGTAGACGACGTTCTAACCAAACGTCTTGCGATTTAGCGCTTAAGCGCAAGTTTGGCAAACTTGAGAGCTTACATGCTCGTTCTACCCAACGGGTGAACTGGTGATCATCTTGTGCAGATGATTCACCTGGTGCAAGCACCACTGGTATGCCGTTTAGTGGGTGCACGGGCACCCCACGTGACTGTCGTGACAATCGCTCCTGATACGATTTCATCGTAAACTCCTGGGGACTAAGGAGCCGCTCACGAAGAGCAACACTATCTGCATTCTCGCAAGCCGTACGGGCATGGGACCCAATGACATAGGTTCGGAAAAATTGCGATGCAGCTCGTCGAGCTTCCTCATTAGGGTCCCAGGGCACGAACTCATAATCACGACGTGAAAAGGTTTGTTTGGGCCGTTCCAAGGCGGCCGCTTGGGCCTCGTCATCAAGTTGACGACGTTGTGCAGCGTCAAGAGGGTTGATTACCTACCCTCTAGCGAGGTAAGAGGAGGCACTTGGCGCAAAGGGGTTGTATCTTTTGGGAGAGAAGACACAAAATAGGACCGACGTCCCTCGCTCGGTAAGCGTGATGATCTTGGGGTACTTTGACCCGCAGGTGACTCGACTCCGCCACCCGTAGAGGCAACGTCACTGTCATCGTACCCAAGATGTCGCGGCGCATTGCATCATCCATGATGAAGCTAGTACTATTAAGACAAGTGCTTTATAAAAGCAAGTATTTGTGAACACTGTAATGATTGAAGCAAGTGTTCTGAGCACTGTAATGCTTAAAATCAAGTGTTGTGAACACTGTAATGCTTCAAAGCAAGTGCTAAGCACCTTGTGCTGTGAAAGCAAGTGTTCGTAAACACACAAAGGGTATGATTACCAAGTGCTTGGCACTTAACGCTTATAAGCAAGTGTCGTAACACTTAAGGCTATAGCGTAAGTGCGATGCACTATATGCCCCAAGACCGAGTGTCGTAACACAAGGATGCTTAAAAATCGTGTGTGCAATGCACGAGTGCTTGAGAGAAAGGGTTGAAAAACACAGAAGCTTTAGACGCAAGTGCAAGCACTTATTGCGAGGCGATCAAAATGAGAATAAAATGAAATTGACGTCTCTAATTAAGTGCAAAAATTCATGAGTACGTCGGGTCTCACGGATTGGTGGGGGAGGGTGTAACGGGATTACACGAAGGTGTGTATTTTACGTACACACCTACCACACCAATGTGATGTGGCTGTACCTTGGGTACAAAAGTAGGCGATGTGACCGTACCTGAAGTACGAAGGGTCGCATCGTGGCAGAGAGCCAAGTGGTCACTATACTTAGTTAAGTATAGTGACTATGCATGTTTGCATAATAATAAAAGGCTATAGAGCCAGTAATAGTCACTAGCACTAAGTATAGAGTAGGTGCTACTATATTTAGTGCTAGAAGATAAGCATAAATACAAATCAGTTTCAAACCTGCTCTGTAAGCCTTATAGCTTGTGCGTTCTATTCTGTAAGGAATTGTATCTCTGATACTAGTCTCTCTGAGGCTTGGTTACAACAACCGATAGGCATAAGCTTACGAGCTAGCCTTGGGAGGGTTAAGCACCCTAAGACGTAGAAGTTCTCTGAGCTTGTCTTCCTCTGCACATAGTGCATACGTAGCTTTGCTACAGTAGTATGACTACTTCTTCGACACATATTGCATCTACACATAGTGCATAAGTAGTGTAGCTACAGTAGCTCAACTACAAAGTAGACACTACCATTCAAGCAAGCAGATACAATGATGACATGGTAGAAGCAATCGCGTCCCTGCAGCAGCCTCACCGCGATGGGAAAAAGCGATTGTCGGTCAAAGAACGCCGTGACATAAAGAAAGGTAAAGTGCCAGTGATGAAAGGCTCTATTGATGACCAGTCTATTGAAGAGGAAAACCGAACAGAGGGCAAACATGTTGATGTGAAGAAAGACAAGGAAGTCACTCGAATGCCGCAGGAGAAGAAGAGTGTTCGTGGGAAAATGGACAAAATGAAGAAGATGACGAAGAAATACATTGATCAAGACGATGAGGATTGTCAGGTGCGAATGGAGGCCATGTCGTTGAGGTAAGACAAGCAGGCAGAGAGAATGAGTTGACAGCGCAATCAAAGGATGAAAATGATGAAAGAAGGACCGTTGCTGTTGATGGCAAGACAGGCGTAAGTGAAGAATACATCCGTCAACAGCGCGAGAAGAAGGAAAACTATCTTGAAGAACAAGAAGATAAGGCTCAAGGTGTTGATTTTTTTCGATGCTTTTGTTGGTGATCCATTGCCAAATGACATTGTGCAGTTTGCAATGCTCATGTACGCTCCATATGCGTCACTAACAAAGTACATATACAAGGTCAAGCTGACGCCAGGCAGTCAAAAGAAGGGAAAAGTGGCTAAACAGGCAATGGAAAATTTTTTTGCGTCTAATTTGAAAGACGAATGACGTGAAAATTGTATTACGGTTACACAAAGGTGTGTATTTTGCATAGACACCATGGTGTGCAAGTGTTGGATACACTGGTAGGTTGATGTGACGTACCTCAGGTACAAAGGGACGCAGCGTACAAGGTCATTATACTTAGTTTAAGTATTATGACGACATGTATCTGAATATTAAACAGTTACGTGTAACATAGAACACAACGCTGTTATAGTACATAAACACCTGTTACACCATTGTGGTGCGGTTGTACCTTAATTACGGTGGTGCATTGCATATGCATCAGTACAAAGTTTGTAAGAGAGCACATGTGCATTAAGTAAAGCTGGAAGCGTGCATATACACCACCAGAAACATATCCTTTTACTAATACACGTAGCATAGCCACAGTATCAACCACCGTTATCACCTTCTTAGATGTTAACAAACGATATTTGACATGATTGGCGTCAACGTTCACCTTGGGTACACATATAAATTACAGCTTGCTCTGCTCACCAATACTACAAATTACTGGCGACATAAGATGTAATTGTCTTGATTTTCCCTAGCGCGACTCGATTTGCCTATGATGACATGAGTTTTAAAATTAGCGCGCTCCATCTCCAAAGCCTTTTCTACTGCAGCAACTGTGTCTCAAATTCAGCACCATCATGACTATGTCAAATCGGATATACAGACGGTCCGAGCTAAATTAGAGATCAAGTGTGTGAAGCAGACAGGTTCTTATCATGGATAAAGGAAGGCCGTGACGCCTAATGGTTTCACGACTGCGACGTTTTTGCCCTCATCACTACGTGTTGCGAGTAAGGTTATACATATATAAGGCATATCAGATCTGCAGATCTCCCACATTTCTAAACTCGATTAGCAACTTCGAGAGCACTTGTCGAAGTGAGCATACCACTTCTCTCTGCAACGACATGCATGGCTATTGCTGTTAGAAATAGGCATTGCTGAGAAAACGGCTGAAGCAACGGCTGACTACTTAGAGTTTGTAGGGCGATTAGTTTGATCGGCGATTGATTGGACAGGAGCAATGGATGTCTGATTCAGTAGACAGGAGCGATCGTAATGGGTGGACAGGAGCGATCGTAATGAGTGGACAGGAGAGATCGTAATGAGTGGACAGTGGCGACGGATGTCTGGGTCAGTGGACAGAACCGATGAAGAGCAAGAACAGCTAGCGCATCATTGTAGAAAGAGAAATAGCACAACAGAAGATGACAAAAACCCTTTTATCACAGCGTATCGACTCCCTCTCCGAAGCTAGCGCCACCGCCATCGTACAACTGCCGCGTGTCAGTTGAATATATGTCCACAAGGAAAGCTGCTCGACATCATATCCAGGGCAGCTTGTTCATTGTTAGGACGCACGATGAGAATATTGCGGGACACACGAACCTGCAACAAGATAAACAAAGTGGAAGGATATTCTTGTTGCTGAATCAAAGCGAATGCAAGCGCATCTATTTTTTATAATGAACATGAAGTCTTACACGGGATGAACGAGGAAGGAAATATCGTTGCTTCTGCAGTCGGCGCGACTGCAAGAAATCCAAAGTAAAAGATGACTCGAGAATTGCTAGAGAAAAGACATACAATACACGAGGTTTTTGATAATGTGAATCTTCATAACGTGGTAGATGAATATGCTGACACCCCAAGCTATTATCGTTGAGGTGAAAAGTTACTAGGTAAGAAACCCGGACTGTCTACTTTTACGATGCCCTCATCTATACTTGGACCTACTGATTTTGACAAAATCGTGAAGTCTTGAACAAGGGCTACGATTGAAAACCCACGAATGGCTAAGGAAGTAGCGCATAAAAAATAACGCCTAAAGAGGCTTTTGTGGAGTTAATGAAGCCAGAACAGAACTACAGCCGAGCTACCGTAGTCAAGCTGCATTACGGACAAAGTGAAGAGGAAAACAAGATCTATGAGCTTTAGGTCTTAGGGTTATTAACTCTATCAAGGCTAAGCTGTACAATCTTATGCCTTCTTGGTTGTATAGAACCAACGTCGCTACCAGACCAGTATGCACAGATACTAGTTCCTTTCCAAGGAATGTGCTCAAGCAACAAATGATTAACAGAGAAGGTTTATAACTGATTCATTCAATCTTTATCTTCTAGCACTAGAATAGAAACACCTATTCTATACTAAGTATTAGTTACGATATTTAACGCCGAGACCTGATTCTTGATTCTGCTTGCCGAGGGGGCAAGGGGGGCGGAAGGCCCAGGGGCCGAGGGACCGAGGTTTTTTGATGCAGGACCAAGGTAGATCTTTGTTGACAGGGGCCGAGATCCCACCGACCGAAGAGTTAAGGTTTACCTAATGAAGAACCGAGGTCTACCAATGATAGACCAGGGTCTACTTTGGAAGACCAGGGTCCACTTCGAGGAACCGTGGTGCATTGGCCTAACCGCGGTTAACTCCTCTGAATGGAGCACGCTTAAACCGTAAATTCTCCTCATCCAACGGTCGTTCCCCATCCCTTTTTAGCGCCCCGTCTCTTTGCCCCTTACCCAACGACCGCTCCTCCTTGGCGGGTTCCCTTCTCTTTGACCCACCGGTCCTCTGACCCACCAATTCTTAAAACGCTTCACCACAATAGCCTGTACTCCGTACCTCTAGTTTCCAAACGTTCTGCGTGCTCTTCCACCAACTCTAGTACTCGATAAAGGTCCATGCCAGAGGTAGGCCAGTTTCTAGGCGTACCCCTCTTTCACCCGGTCCAGGTAGAGCCACACTTGAGCTCCCGGCTGAATCTTGTGGTCGACCACCCCTTCATTATGGGCTAGGATCCGACCTTGACTGGCCGATTGTAGGTTGTCATTCACCTGGGATCTCACCCGCTGATAGTGTTGCTGAATGAGATATCTCTATCTGCGTGGCCCAGATCTTCGCCGTCGTGCATTTACCCCAGGTAAGATAGCCTCGAGGGTGGTTCTAGCATCCCAACCATGGACCAGATCGAATGACGTCTCCTTCCGGACTCGGTCTTTTGCGGTGTTCATTGCAAACGTTAGGCGTTCTGCATACTCGTCCCAGTCCTACTGTCCGACATCAGTGACATACATCTTGATGGACCTAGTCAGGGTCTGAACCATCCTCTTCGCGGTCCATTCTCCTGAGGTTGATAGGCCATGGTAGCCTGTTGACGCTGGCCCACCATGCGACTTAACGCCCGACATAAATCCGACATAAATGCAGGTTCTCGATCGTGGCGGATTGCCTCGCTAGCACCAAAACGGCGAAAAACGCATTCCTCGTACCCTTCAGCTACCGCCTGGGCCGTTCGCGACGCACTATCCTTGGCCATCACATACCCCGTGAACAGGTCGATCCCAGTTAGTAACTCCGTATTTCCTCTATGCGACCTGGGCAGAGAGGGAATATGATCCATCGTTATAATCTGGAAAGGGTGTGTTGCTTTGACATTTCCCGCGGTCTTTTCCTGCAGGGTAGGGCCTCCATTCCCTGTCTCGCAATCCACACATGTCCCCAAATACCTCTGTACGCTTTGGAATTAACCTCTCCAATGGCAGTACCGTTAGATTCGGTGATAGGTACGTACAACCCCTTGGTGAATCCTTCCAGACTGGTGTGATAGTGATGCAGGACGTCGGCTTGGAGACTTTCGGGTATCACTAGTCTGACCGTTACTTCTCGGTCATCTCCCTCAACCCTCTGACCGGGACAATACAATAGTAGGCCCTCTTCGCTTATTTCGTAGTCCCTGGTCATTTTACTGCACGAGTGAGTGGTCTCCATGGATAGGTCGACCCAATCTCCCTTCAAGTCGGCCTTCAAATTTCTGACCCAGTCCTCTTGCTCTTGGACCTCCCTGATTCGATATGTCCGGAGTCGTTGTATCACACCCTATTCCATGATTTCCCCTGATTCTGATGGGAGCTCGAGATCGAGTAACCGCAAGCACCTTGGCCGATGAACTTTGGTCCTTGGGAACTAGTAACTGTGGCAATCAATTAATCGCTTCCAGATTTTAGCCATTTCCCTTCCAAAATCGACTTGGTCCCTTCCTTCTGACGCAATGATGTGCTGGCCAATCGGTCAGCACTTTGATTCCAATCACGTTTTACATGCACGATACCTTGGGCAGGCCACGACAGATGCTAATTCAAAGCTCTTGCTCGTACTGGGGACAATGCTGAAGCCTTACAGTCGATCTCCCCCCGCATTTGTCGTACCACCAAGTTGTAATCTCCACAGATGATCAGTCACCGTTGTTCTAGAGGCTCTAGCAGGTCGAAACCCAGTAGCATACCCCCATACTCGGCCTCATTCACTGTAGATGTAATAAGGAACTTTGAGGCAGCCTTGGCTATGGTCCAATTAGGTAATCTCTATACAATAGCGCTACAGAATCCACCTCCCTGTTTCACTCAAGCCGACCCATCTGAACTCATGACGTATAACTTTTCGTCAGGCTCCACAGTTGATGTAGGTAGGTCGGCCACTTGCCGCGCCTGTTTCTTGGGGGCAATTGACGATAAAATCGAGTCCACACTTCGCGAGGAGTAATACTGGCTGCGAGCGCCCCCAGAACTTGGTCCTCGCCTTTCTTGCATTTGACAATTACCATAGTCTATTGGGACAAGAGGGCAGCCCAATTGCCAAGCCGTCTCAGTAAATCCGTAGACCTGACTAGCCACGCCAATGTGGAACACTTAGTCAGGACCTTGAGGGGTCGAGTGACCAACACTGTAAAACAAGTTTCCATTATCCGTAATAAAGCCGGTACTTCTTTCTCCACAGTACTGTAGTTCAACTTGTTGGCCTTAAGGGTTCAACTCGTAAAATTCACCGGCATTAGAATGCGACCATGGTCTTGCACCAACGACGCGGATATGGCCCATTGACTTGCATGAATGATAACTGCTGCCTCCTTGGACGGGTCAAAGTATCGCAAGATAGGTGCACTGGCAATCTTATTCTTGAGCATAGCAAAGGCTACTTGGACCCTGGATCATTTCTCCTCGTCTTTTGTCTTAACCACCCCACTGTCACCGTCCTCAACTTAAATCGTCAATCGCGAAAATTCCACCTCCCGTAACTCATACTGGATTGATGCATACACTGCATTGTCTTCAATGAATCTACCATAGTAATTCAGGCTTCCAAGAAACGATTGCATGGCCTTAAGTGTCGTTGGCAACGGTAGGTCAACCAGGGACTGGAGGTCCTTTGGGTGGGCCTCTAGACCTTGGTCCGAGACGCGGTGCCCAAGGTAGTCTACCTTCGGTACCCCCCTGAGCTCTCGACCGCGCTGATCGATAGATTCCAATAGTCACACACATCTAACAACCGCTCTACCTTTGCGCACAACATATCCCACGAGTCGGTCGGTATCAGAATGTCACCTATGTAGGGACCGCCGACCCCGACTTTTTTTACATCAGGCTTCCCCATCATAAACAAGTCTTCGGTCTCCTCTGTACCAGCTCCTTGAGAGATACGTAAAAAAACCTTACAAAGCATTATCCAAAAGTCTCTGATATATCTGAGGCGCATTCTGAAGTCCAAATGGCATCCGTGGCCATTCGAACAACCCCAATGGGGTGACAAAAGACGAGATGCTTCTCGCCCTTTTGGTCATGCCAACGACCCAAAACTCACTTGCCATATCCAGGGAGCAGTACCACAATGCTCCGTTCAGCTCCTCCAACAATTCTTTGATCAGAGGCATAAGTAGAACATAAGCTGGGTCAAGTCGTTCATAAACCGATAACTAATACACAGCCTAATATCCACCCCATTTTCTTCACAATCATGACGATTGGGCTGGCCCATGGCGAGGTAGAGGGCTGGATGATCTTCGCAGAAAATATTCCCTTGATCAGATCTACCAACTTTTCTTTTAAATCGGGGGCCACCTTCCGTACACGATGTGCAATCGGCCTGTCATTACCCACATCAATATCACAGATAGCTCTTCGAGCAGCCGGGGTGGTAAGGCGTTACCCTTCTCCATGAGGAGATGTCGTCTTCGTTATATAATTTGTCTTAGTCGGTCCACCTCCTCTGGGGTGTTTTCGTCAGAGTCAGGAATCTGTACATCTTCCAACTTGATACTCAATTCCTCAAAAGGAAGAGAAAGCTCAAGTAGTGATGCTTATAGAGCATAGTACTAGTCACTATTTACTGGCTCTATAGCCTATTATTATTATGCAAGCATGCATAGTCACTATACTTTAAATAAGTATAATGACCACGTGGCTCTCTGACCCTTGGTACTTTAGGTACGGTCACATCACCTCTTGTACCCAGGTACAGCCACACCATATTGGTGTGGCAAGTGTGTGTATGTACAATACACACCTTCGTGTAACCTTGATGAACAACAATAGCAATGACCAACAGATGCAATCCTTTAGTCGTGAATGCGTTCGACGGCTTTGACGACACTTGATCGACATATGTTCCAGGGCAATACGCAACAGGCAAAACAGATCTTAAGAAAAACTTTCGAACGAGAAGGTTGGGGGAATCAAAAATTGGAATACGCAAGTGCTAAGGCCAAACACGTTCGGTTGACCTAACATGTGCAACAGTTTCATAGGTTAGTGTTGGCGATTCACAAACGGACTTACGCCCTTCTTCTGGTCCAAATTTGCAAACGTGTGGTTTGTATCGCGGTGGTGGCACTCGTCGGCACGAATGCACTTGACCATGTCGTACACAGACGCGTCCTGCGGTAGCTTGTAGTATGTTTGTGCAATAAGTGGTGCCTTTTTCTGCTTCCAAACGCCCATGTGGCCATTTTCAATATCTTCAAGTAGGTGAGTGTACGTCCTAACTGCCTCTTCCTCCAGATATCCCACAAAACGATGGCAAGTCTTGGACGATACGAGGTACGTGAGAAAGAAGGTATTGAAAAAGACGCCCTGCGCACCAGCTACGAGCGCACGAAAGAAGTAACCCGGTTGCTTAAGGTTCATGAAAATTAGGAGGTGCATGCGCTCGTTCTCGGCCTCTTCGAGAAGTGTGTGGATCCAGCCGTAATCGCGTTTAAACAGCCGCAGCGAACGGAGGTGACGCAACATGCCGCCCACCATACCAGGTACGCCCGCCACGGACTCGAGAAAAAGGCAACGGTTGAGCCAGGCTCCTTCGGACATGCTGCCTCCTGGTCCGCGATAGCCCGACATAACGTCGAAACCCTTACGGAGTGCCTTAACCGCCACTAAAGCGACGCGATCGTGCATTTTGGTAATGGGGTGATGTATCTGCTCTACCGTGGCGATCTTGTCGAGATCATAGATGGGGTGACGGATGGGGTTATCCCACACAGGTTCACCGTCTGGATTTTTCGTACGAAGCGGGTGTACGTTGTTGGATTCAAGAAAATGAGCCTTATAAGCAGGCTCGCTAGTGGCGTCAACGGGCTCCGGGTGGATCTCTGTCTTTTCCTCTTTCTTTCTTTTCTTGGTTTTGTTAGGTGACGACGGTGTTGGTTGAACCGCAGTGGAATTTGCTGAGACGTGCCCCAACGAGAACGGGAAAAGCTGGCGGGTAAGAACTCTCGTAGCTTGGCAGCGGTGCAGTGGCTTTATCGCTATCATCTTGGTGCGTATGTATTAACGCTCAAAACCAAACTGAAGAACAAGTCCAAGGAGAATACTTGAGAGACGACGGTCTTACCTTGCGTACCATTTGTCTTCCCAACTTGAAGTTATGGAAACAGAGGAACATGTACTCGTGAGACAGTCACTATCGCTAAACACCTCTATAATCTGGTCTCAGCTCTTTTCTTTCTGACAGGTACAGACCAAGGACACGCAAAGCAAAGTACGTTATTAACGAAAGCTGTGGTAATAGCGACTTAGTGCTGTACTATGGACGGAACTGGAATATTGTGGCAAAATCGCTGGACAAACATGCTAGAAGTTCCACGCGATATTCCTCGACGCTCTGGGCCACCCGAAAGTACTTGCAACATTTTTTGATCGACAGACGTATCAAAAGCCATCACCACGCACTTTAAGCCGCTGCAAAGCGTAGTGCTTGCCACGAGCTTCAGTCGCCACAAGTTCAAATGCTTTGATACTTTCACGACAAAGGTGGCTGGGTGATTGATTTGGTAAGCGACTTGAGTATCGAATTCACGCGTGTGCAGACCCGATTGCATACAGCTCAAGGTATGTCTGTTACGTCTAAGGAAATCAATGGAGATCAAAACAAGCATCATCGTACACATTGATAAAGCGAAGTAGAACTTGATAGCGGTTTGATGCTGCCAAACTATACTGCGCCAGCCCGATTAGCTCATTTATTAGCGGCGGCTCTTCTCCTTGCCTCCCTTCTTCTTTAATGCGTACATCTCCTCGGCCTCTTTCTGCTCCAACTCCAACACGTTCAAACGTTCCAACACTGGATCATCATAAACATCCGTTAGTAAATTAATCGATAACTGTACACTTTCGCACCATATCATACCTGGTAGTAGCTCCTTGTAACGAGTCTCGGCTAGCAGAAAACCCTCTCGTTTAATTTCTTTAATGCTGAGCTCATGTTCTACAGTGCTAGGGCGCTTCATGACTTCCTTGGCCCAAGTCGCATCGGTTCGCGCAAAGAAATCACGCAGATTCTCACCCACTTGAGGTGTGCGATCAACATCACTGAGCCCCAATTGTTCCTGCAGTTTCTCCATCTCATCGCGAACTGCTTTGCGGCGGCTCTCCCTCTTGGATTTTGCTTTCTTCTTTTTGTCATTCTTTGGTGCTTTCTCAGCATCCTCCCCTTCATTCTTGGCAAGGATCGCTATCGTCCGTTCTATAACCTTTGCCGTCACCTTTTCTTCGCGTGTCTTTGAAGAATCTACATCCTCCTCCTCGCTGTCATCTTCATCATCAGAGGCACTGTCGTCGTCATCGTCCGACGACTCCTCCGTCTCACTCATTTCGCCCTTCCAAATCTGATGAGACATTGTGCCAGGTAATACCTGCTTCCATTCGTCGAGACGTTTTAGGTCCAAAGACCAGCAATCGTCAAGTGTGATCTCACGATCGCCATCCTCAACAACACCACCATAAACATAGAGTACACTTCCACGGATCATCAAAGCGGGGTTAATGCGCGGACAGGGAGCAAGAGCAGTAAGTTCTTCCTCATCCAATTCCCCGGACATGATCTCATTATCACAAACAACACGTGACTCTTCTTCCTTCCCCTTTTCTTTTGTTTCCTCTTCGTCTCCAAGTTTCAGTTCGACATACTTGGTGGAGCGCAGTCCTTGATCATCACTGTCGCCTTCTTCACCCTCCTTTGTCTCTTCTTCCTCAAGGCCGTCGTCGATGTACACGATGTTGCCTTCATCGTCGACGTATCCAAACTGCCTCTGCAGCATCGCATCAAAATCCTCCACATCTTCGTCCCTCATCGTCATCGCCTCATCATCATTATCATCAGCCGTTTCATCCTCAAGCGCCTTTGATTTCTTTTTGCGTCGGCGCTTACCGTCCATGGGTTTCTTACCACGCAGCTTAAACTCGAACCAACGACGACGATCCATGTCGTACACGAACAAATTATTGTAGAACGTAGACTGCATCGTGTGGCGACGTTTCTCTTCATCAAACACACCGCCGAACAGAATAAATCGCTGCTTGTGTACAGTCACAGCGGCTCCACTACGAGGACTTGGAGCCTGGCCTTTGCTCGATAGTTTTTCCCACGTGGGCGACTGATGTTTTAAAATCGGGGCCAGGTTCAACACCCACAGGTCTGAGTACACCTTGCCTTCCGACTTTTCACCCGCATTCTTCACCTTGGCGTATCCACCGTAGACAAACACAAGGTCTTTCGACGGGTGCACCGCCAACTGACAGCCACTTCGCTCCGCTGGTACTTGTCTATGCGGCGGATAGACCACCTTTTGCCACCTAAGTTCTGCTAAATTAAACAAATACAAGTCGTTGAACCATCTAGAGCAGGTAAAAAAAACAAAAGAAAACACAGCACAGGACGCACACAAAAAATATCAGACAATGGAATCCCATGTCGATTCTATTCACTCGATAGCACGAGTTCCTTTCATACTTACTTGGTCTCTCGTGCAGCTTCATAGAATCCACCAAATACAACAAGATAATTTCGCCACACAACCATCCGATGTCCGCTTCTTGGACTTGGTCCTCCTGTCACATTTAATTCTTCCCATCGATTTGTTTTCAACTCAAAGCGCCATAAATCGCGATAATGATGAAATTGATCTGCTGTTGCAAATTCACCACCAAAGAGATAGAAATGATTACGATACACGGCTGCTTGATGGCTACATCGTGGTGGTGGTGCATTGGGTGACATAATATGATTCCACATTGAATTTTGTATGTCCGTATGATTTTTCACACCTTGTCCATTACGATCATAGAATGGATCCTGAATCTCACTCGATGACACTTTTTCCATAGTCATATTACTCCATATAGGGTCGATCTTCCATTTAAACACATCATTGTAGCACACATTCACGTCTCCATTGTAATATTCACCACCAAAGACGAGAACATCACCCGATGGAAGTACCGAGAGTGTAAAATTCGCTCGTGGGGTCGGTTGTGTCGTATTTGTGACAATTATTTCAGTCCGTGCCGCGTCTTTTTTTCGAAATTCTTCAAGCAACATTTCAATATTTTCTTCATCTTTTGTACCGAAAAGTTTACGACCTTTTTTCGCATTTTTAACATTTTGTTTCTGTTTCTTTGCTTCAAGACGTTGAGCTTTAGTGATTCTTGTGGTCTTGTCGGATAACTGGCTTGTCTTTTTCTTCTTGCTCATGATATAATGTCGTCGTTGTCGTCGTTATAGTCGTAGTTTAAGTAGTAGTTTAAGTAGTGACTGGTTGTATAGGGCTTTCGACTCAGAGAATCCACAAAAGGTATACGAAATAACGACTCGTGCGATATTTATCCGGATCTAACGCCGTATACAATTTAAGCTCTTTTTTTTGGGTTCTTTTCTTTGTGAGTAGTACCATAGTTTGTCATTTATTTCTCGATTTTCATCCAATTCTGATTCAATTTGTTTTTGTCGGGTCATCTTGTGTCCGTTTTTTGTGCACGTATTATTCATTTTACCCAATCAACGCTCCTTTGATCGTAACCTTCCTTCCCACCACTCATGGCCTTATATATATGGGGTCATAATACCTCACAGCAACTTGGTATTCATGTAAGAGAGAAAGAAGTGGTTGAAATGGCTCAAGTAAAAGCTCTGCGTAATCAAGTTATTATTGATTTTTCAGCTGGGGGACGTCATTCGCTTGCTCTGAATGAATTTGGTCATATTTATGCTTGGGGTCATGGTCGGGAGGGACAATTGGGGCTGGGCGATATGGTTCGAAATGCTCCAATCATTTCAACACCATGTCGTCTTAATGGTCCATTAGCTGGACAACTTGTGACGAAGATTTCATGTGGTGAATCACATTCCTTAGCACTTACAATTGGAGGTGAGTTATATATGTGGGGACTAGTACCAGTCATAGTTAAAGAAGAGACTCACATGGATGCATCCGATCAAGCAACAATTGAGTTAACAGGTCTATCAAATGAAGAAAAACAACAGACTACTACTGCTGCTGCTGCAAATACTACGATACAACGTCAGATGGATGACAATATTATGGCCCGATTGGTACGGAATTCGATGCGTGTGTATGAAGATAGTCATGGAGATAATGTAAAAGTGCAGACAGTTCGAGCGCCCTGTATGACACCTCAACTGTGTACAGGACCATTGGCAAAACTTGTGGTGACGAATATTGCAGCAGGATTTGCACATTCATTAGCTACTACAAATGAAGGTGCGATCTTTAGCTGTGGATACAATGACAATGGTCAACTTGGTCTTGGATCTAGACGCAATTCTGCAGAATTCCAGCGGATTCACGCACTAGATGGATACTTTATTGAGCATATTGCTTGTGGCCAGCAACATTCGCTTGCTTGTTCCAAGATCTTGGACGCTGGTGAGGTTAAAATGGATTCTGAGGAAAACGTCAAGTTACGATCTGGCGTGTGCTTTTCGTGGGGACTTGGTGTGCTTGGTCAATTAGGTACGGGGCTTAACATTTCGTGGACCCCGCAGGAAGTCAAGCTGGTCCGTCCCGCTGTCTCGGTAGCTGCTGGTAGCCACCACAGTGTTGCAGTCACAGATGATGGCAAAGTGTACACATGGGGCCATAGTGAGTATGGCCAGCACGGCGCTGGCGAGACTTTTTACGACTTGCAGCATAACGCACACTATTTTTTTCCAAGAGTGCAGCAGGCACTAGCCGATGATCCTTGTATAAAGGTGGTTAGTGCATGCTGCAGCTCGCACTCGACGTTTGCACTGACACTTGATGGGTCCGTGATGTCGTGGGGCTGGAACGCTTTTGGTGTTTTGGGCAATGGCAAGCACCAGTACTCGGTGCATCCGCAGCGTGTTTTTGGGCTCAAAGATAATGTTGCTGTCGCAGTCGGGGCAGGATCGAACCATTGTGCTGTGGCAGTCCGACCACGCGGAGCACATTACTCGCTAAGCTATGATCGTGTGCTAGCGAACGCTGATTTTGCTGACCTGGCATTCATTGTGGGAGGACCAACGAAAATGGAGCGCATCAAAGCTCATCGGGTTGTTGTCAGCGCGCGCAGCAGCTACATCAGGGGTCTTCTGCGCGTGCTCGATAATATCGCCAAAAGTCCTCAAGAATCATATGTTGGTAAGAGTAGTAGCGTCAGAATAGAAGAAGACGGTTTGTTTGTGATCGACGAGTTCCAGGACATTGACGCCCAGGTATTTCGCGCGTTCTTGATATTCTTGTACACAAATCGTCTTCATGTCGCCAGCCACAAACGTAAGGCGCTGGGTCAGTTTGCAAGCAGCGTGTGCTGTGATGCTCTCGTCGCTCAGTGTCTCGATACTTGGCGTAAAGAACGGTTGGCATCGCTGCTGTCCCCTTCGTTTCGGCGTACAGGACAACATCTGACTGGAACACAACCAGCTAGTTCCGAAGCGCAACAATTTGGAGAGGATATGCAACGCATGGTGCTTTCAGAGGAAGTCGCAGACGTTATATTTTTGTGGCCTATGGAGAATGACGAAGCAGGTATTGAAACATACACGCGTCTACCAGCACACAAGGCTGTGCTTTCGCAGGTGGAGTACTTCCGCACAATGTTTATGGGTGGCTTTAGTGAAGGCAAGGGGGCGCAAGCGATTACAGTTGGGGAACAGAAAGGGTCGGTGCATGAAATTCCGCTTCAGTATATGCATCGGGATGGCGTGTCGCTAAAGGCTTTCAAGGATTTATTGCTTTGGATTTATACGGGTTGTTTCGAATTATTGAGTGCTAGACATGAGCCCAACGACATGATGGTCTTGTACGTTGGAGCTAGTTTGCTGGGTTTAACAGTGCTGGCGAGTAGGTGCGAGTTACAGCTCGTGGGGCTGCTTTCACAGCTAGATATTGACTCGTTGCGGGCGTGCGAGGACTTTGCAGAGCGTTACGACGCCCAAAGACTGCACACTATGAGTCAGCAGGTGCTGCGGAAGCACGAATCGGGTCGATTGCAAGAGCCTTAGACGATGCAAATGATCTTGCGGTTTCAAAAGGTTCCATTTAACTTTATGATTGGATCAGCTCAATGTGGAAGTTCAGTTGACAACTATATGTCGTGTTGTGGTTTCTAGCTTTGTTGGCTCGGGCAAAGTGTGCAGTTAGGGCCGATTCTGGTCTTGAATAGCCATACCGACAGTACATTGGCCAGAGAGAAAATCGACTTTACAATCACTTGTTTGACGTTACAAAAACAAACTCGTGCATGGAGACGAAGCTGTCATTGAGCTGTTTGTTCTGACCTCATGATTTATCAAGATGTTGTTTGGTCTCTAGTGCCTCATCTAGGTAGAATCACACTGATATGATTATGCTGTGGCTCATCTGTTTTATTTCTACAGAAAGGCAATGGGAATCGATAGATAGATCGATTGACTGTCATTATCTATCAATGTGACTTGATGCTTAATGTTTGAATGCCTCAGGTTGTCTGTCATTCTCGTAGTAAAAACAAATAGAGCAAATGTTTTTATTGAGATCTATTTACCTGGCTTGACTGACATCTCTATCCATAGGTGTTGCTATATTTAGTAATAATAAAATCTACAAGGTAAAGTGTACATAACTGTTTGTTTTTTATTTGGTAGAAAAATTGCAACTTTAGGTAAAAGTTTCGTTTTCTCCTCTCCCTCTCTAATTGACTCTATCAGTTACAGTAGAGAACAAAAGCTAGGAGCTCATTTGATTTGTACATTAGTATGGCACGTTCAGTCCGATGGAAAAACGTGTTCAGGTTGAAATCCAGATGGAAAGTCCCTTAACTCTCTTTCTGGTCTTAGAAGAAACCACTAAAGTACTGAAAGTCCAACGTTATATATACAGTTGTTGTTGTTATTGTGTGTGTGTGTGTTTTGTGCTCAGTGAGATGGTTCTCTGTAGCAAAGAATGGGGATTTCACAACCCACAGTCTTACGTCCAACAGAAAATGAAACGCCCTGGAGACGTGAAAAAAAGTAGCACTAAGTGTTGCTTCACTTTTTAAGCATCAAGAAATAAGAAGTTACGCGGATCGTTCGTTTTATGGGAGAAAAAGTCGCACCGAAACGAAACGACGGCACTGAATGGATTGAATAAAAAATGTCTGCCAAGCGTTAAGATGAGAAATTTAGTGGGCTCGGGCCATTTCTGGGAAGTATTTGTTTTTGTATGATCCTTTTCTCTAACTGCATACATTTGTAAATAGTTTTACATAGATGAATATCCGATACACCTAAAGAAACAATATGATCAGTTTGGGTTGCTAAAGAAAGAGATATTAGTTTTCATGCAAACGGGACATGTATCATCATCATCATCACCTCACACTTAGTGATTACTTAGAACTACTACCTAACTAACTTCACACACGTGCTTTTTCATGAGCACCTAAGGAAAAAAAGGCTGAAAACAGAGGGGTGGAAAAAACACTGTTGTCAGATCGGGATTTTTTCTTTGAAACGATTGGTTCATTCGTTGAATCGTTTTGATCGTTAGGTTCACCTCGTCGTGTCAAGTAGAAATCAAGATCTGTTTCATATGATATTCTCTTTTTTTCGTTTTCATTAGTTAATCCAGGTCAGCTCATTTTATGTTTTATGTCTAAACCAAAATACATCACACACTCTCTTTCTCTATCTTTTTTTAGTATACACGATTCCTTTTTGACCTTTTTATCTTTATATACAAAACACACAAACTAACCTCTTTATTTTATTGTTCTCCACCTTTGCCAAAATGGGACAATTCAGTTTACACACATACAGTCAGTCAGCACAGTTCACTTAACCCGACAACAAACCAACAAACAAACCAAAACCCCATAAAACCCAAACTCCACTCTCATATTATCTCTATCATTTTCACGTTCTCTAAACCTTAAAAATCAAACTTGATATTATCCCTTCGTCAACCAGTCATTCCATCTCTATCCATCTCTATCTCTCTCCTCATGCGCTTTCAATCAGCTATTGAAGCAAGTATTGATAATCTACTACAGGAGAATGCGAAATGCGTCGCCCATGTCTTACAAAGTAATTATTTCAATCGAACGGCATCGCTTTCAATCTCTACAAGTTGGGAACGTGCGGCCTCACGTCCACCTATTAATGTAAGTCCCTACGTTCATACGCGTGATTGTGGTGGTCGTCGACGTTCAACTGCTGCCACTTGTCAAGCAGTGATGGGGACATTACAGGATGCCATGCGTGCTTTACATGCTGATGATACAAGCAGTTATCGTCGGGTTGAGAGTGAATTATTTGGTGCTGATTTACTATTAGATGCAAGAGTCTTGGATTCCTTTGTACCACGTACAAAGGAGACACCGTATCGTTATGTTGGATTAAAACACGTCAAGTATCAATCCATGCTAAATGAACGACATGCTGAAGAATTTTTACTCATGGAAACAGCTGGCAGAGGAATTCATCCTGTTTCAGGTCATAAATTTGTCTTTAAAATGTTACGATCCGTGGATGTACCAGAACGTGAATTTGACATGAGAAGTGCCAATAGTCATCATGCACAATTACAAGTACATCGTGGTGCGATTCATGCATTGCTCTTGGTTTTGGCAGAAACAAGTCATCGTGGTATTCTCAAGATGCAATTGTGGCTAGATGTTGAGCTTACCAAGTGTGCCGAACCTTTTTATGGGGCATTTTCGAGTCTACATGATGCCTATAGCTTGTCCATACGGTATCGACAATTGATTGAGAATTACGTTGCGACGAGTGGAGATGCTGCAATTACAGTGTCGAATAAAACATCTCGATTTGGGATCATTACGTCACGGTCAAACCGTGAACGAAAGTGCCAAACGTGTCAACGTGCTCTTGGATTCTTTTGCAGGAAAAAGAATCATTTGTGTAATGTGTGTGGTATCTTTGTTTGTTCGTCTTGTTTGTCGACTACGTCGTTTCAGAGCTGGAAGCTCTGTGGTCTTTGCTATCAGCGTAACAAGTGTCTTGTGAATCGAATCCGAGTGTCCAAAATGGCTTCGCTCGCATCAGGGATTGGAGGCACCCTTCAATACATTACTCGAATTGGAAGAAGTTACAGCAGGCAGCGTGACTCGATTCTATTTGCCACGGCAGAAGCTGCCGGCGAACTGTCGCCAAACCCAATGCAGGACACCAAACCACGACCTAACGAGCGATTTTCGACTCGAGAATCAACTAGAAGACGCCGCATTGATGACGAAATGCTATCTAACTACGATATCAAGCCTCTTGCCAGAAGTGTCACTGGTGTTCATCATGTTGTTCGTGGCAGTGCTAACATGGACTTGCGTCAAGATTTCACGACTGCGAGTGTTGGCAGACGTCAACTATCTCAAAGCAACCTGAGTATGAGTCAGGGTCCTTGTGAACGGAAGCAAAGCTTAACGCGTTCGTTCCTACGCAAGGCCAGCAAGAGTTCTTACGATCCGAATGAAGACATGAGTCGAGAGCTCAGTGCCTCGTTATTTGACGGTACTAGTGGTTCATTCCGGACAAGCGAGCTAAGCAGCAGCCACGTTCAGATTAGCAGGAGTAGCAGCTTTTCCGAACCGACTCTCGAGTCTGTCGTACCTTTGAACACGAAGGATAACAACGAAAGTACTAGTAGTAACAGTACCACGAGCTCTGGCAGCGGAGAGCATCAGGATAGTCCGACTCCTAAACCTGATATCGAGCGAGTGGGTCCACAACGCGTTCCTGCTCCAGCTAAGCCGGTCGAGCAACCTCGTCAAAGCAACTACCCTCCACGCCGCACGAACCCAGTGCACCGCGTACACAGTGGGAACGGACGATCGTGTGTTAACAATTCTTCTCGCAGTAGCAGCTCTTCATCTTCTCGCGGCAGTTCTTCGTCATCATCGTCTCGGCATAGCGGTTTTAAGGGATGGGCCTCAGCATCTGCCGGTCCGCGTATGATGTCTACAAAAACCAGCTTGTCACGGAGGAAAGCAAAGATTTCGGACGAACATAACAACCATGTGCCGTCCACTTGGTGTGCGGCGGGTTACGTCGACTTTAATGCTCCCATTAAATTAGGCCACAAGAAGTCAGACGTGTCTATCGTTGATGATCAGCCGCAAGATGGTCATCTGAGCGCCTAATTAATTGACTAGAACGGAATATGTTCATTGGAAAACATTCTCCTCAACGTGTGCTACAAGTCTTAACGAGCCATGGGGAAACTCGCGATCAAAAGCACACGCATTTGCTATTTAACTTGACATGACCTTTGAATGTCACTGATATTCCTGCCTTCTCCCCCAATGCTTTGCTTTGAAAGAATCAATAATATATTGCATCACTACGTTTGCCGACTATGTCGTAGTTTGATATGCATCTTACATGTTTCATGTTTGTTCATTAGATGGAAGACACCACATCCAGACAAATAGATAGATGGACTGGAAGACGTCAACGAAAGAGAGACGATGTATACGATATACCGCTTGATTGTAGCGTGCAAGTGAATTTATCCAGACTACTTGGCATGATGGAAACTAAATGAACAAGTGGCCAAAGCTTTCGTGCACTAGAGAGATACGAGAGAAACTTGATTGTAGAACAAGGTGATACGATGCAAATCAGACAAGTGAGAATTCCAAGTGTCAAAGGATAGTAGGGAAGACAAGAACAATGCACTACACGTTGTTCTTCCTGCCACATAAATGGTGAACATCATCTGATGAGCATACTGACTCGTTCAGCTGACTCTCTAGCACTTGATTTTACTATTGAAACGACCTGGTTTCTACCCTTCAGACGGACGTTGAACGTTTCTGAACGATACCAGTGCTTTCAAAAGAAGAACCAACAAGGTGTTTCGTTTGTGCTTTTCCATTCCATAGATTACCATTCGAGTGGCTCGACGACAATTCACTGTCACTTTGTCATAACATCAGTTGATATTGACATACGTTTGTGTGTCTTGTATCATCATACAAAAGAGATTGAGAGAGAGAGAGAGTTGTGGCGACGTATCACGTTGTTCATTTATTGATTTGAGATTCAAGGAGCTGTTGAAAGAAGCAACAGTCTAGAAGTGATGATGGAACGGAACGAGTGCTTTGTTATGCTGGTGACAATGCTTATGATACTTGTCCCAGTCGAAGATTGTACTTGACTCATTTGACGAACGTTTGGTGGAAAAGAGACCTAACGGCTGTGAGGTGAATGACGTGAGGCTGCTTCACCGCAGTATCAATATTACGGTGAGAATTCATATGTAGCCTGCTCAAATGGAAAGTCAGGCTGATACCTCATTGAACGGGTGCATGATAAAACCACGAAGGTGGCATGTCCGACTCATAAGTTCCAGCAGCGGATTGACAGGGAAACGGCTTACCGTGAACACGAAAAGAGGAGCAAGGCAATGAATCAAGCCGAGGAGGACGATGAAAACCGTCGTTTGTCACTTGTTGTGGTGAGCACGACACGCACTTGGGATGGTGGAGTTCTATGCTATCAAATGAATGAAGAGTATCCGTTTGACTCGAAGCACAAGGAATATATCTATATGGCGATGAGAATCATCGAGGGAAGCACGAATGTGCGCTTAGTGGATACGGCTACATGTAAGGCAGAGCGTATGTCGTATTGTAACTCGTGTGCAAACTGGGTTGACTTTAAGCATCCAACAAGTGGTCGTGACTGTAATTCAAGTATCGGTATCACGGACGAGGACCCTCAGGTCTTGAATCTCGCTGATCGCTGCTTTGAAGTGGACGATGATCTCAAGACTGTGTACGGTTCGGCCTTGCATGAAATGTTGCATGCGTTGGCGATGTAATACGAGCACCAGCACGCTTGTCGTACGATTGCTGTATTTTGGGATGAAATCGATCAGAGCATTTTGTCCGAGATGGCTATCCGTGATCATAGTGCAGGAGGCCCTTACGACCAAGCTAGCGTCACGCAGGTATATGGTTTCTGCCAGCCTAATTAATCACTGTATCAACGGGATGCCAAAAACCAATTGTATTGAGGTAGGCACGAAGCTTTGTAACCTGAACGAGGACGACTGTATGGACATCACGAGGGACATGTGCAATAAGACAGCTATGGATGCCATTGGGCAGCGAAAATCTCTTAGTCCTGGTGACGTGTTTGCTCTCAATGAGCTGTATAGTACATCAGCTTGGCCATTATCAGAATCCAGGATCCCCTCATCTTTGGATTTGGACAGCTACTAGACTAGCGACTAAGTTTTTGTCATGAGTATCTTTGCTCAGTAAGAGAGGAAACGAGTTGATGTGCTTTGTGTTAGTGTTCAAGTCGTGTATTTATTATTTCATCGAGCGACGAAAGCAAGTAAACAACTAGATGCTTAAGCAATTGGATGATGTGTTGTGTTATGAAACAAAAGTGGCGTAAAAGGTGGTGACTGCTTTGTAATTTCGTGTCTGCCATGTAGTTGAACAAGATCAAGGTGGTATTTCTCCATTATCTTTCAGCACGTACTGTCACAACAACAACATGCTGTAACATGCGTTGTCTGTAGACAGTGTGCCATATTGTCAGTCATCTGTCATTCTGCCACAAACAACTGACGTTGGATCTATTTCTGGAGAAGGCGTGGATCAAAGTAGCGCCATCAAAGCTGTTGGAACGTGTTGATCAAAATGTGTCGATTGCAGCAGTTGCACTGAAGTTAGTAAAACGCAGGGGCTGGAGGCAGAAGACGTTGACACAAGCTTACCTACAAGTTAGTATAGCAGCTTAGAATAAATATACAAAAGAAATCTGCGAGAACGAGTTAGTCCATTGAGGTGGTTGCTTATGTCCGGTTTGCCATGGATGAAGAAGCTAAATGCTGATGCATTTGGTGGAGACACACACAGATCGAGTGGAAGGTGCAAGCATTCGAGTGATGAGCTGGGGCACTTTTTTCTTCTTCCTCTTCGTCAAAAAAACAAGTCAAGTTCAGTAGACGAGAAGATACACCGTAAACGTGATCGGCAATCGCTCAGGTCCAACAATCTTGCCTTTCATGAGTAAGGTATCACACAACGATCGCTTTAGACACAAATAACAGAAAATGTCATAGCATTGTCGTTAAAACTAACAATGCAAAAAAGAATCGTCAGCCTTGTGTGTAAGCGCTGCTGCAGCATGTATTCGGGTGCGTACCACGGTACATCCCTTAGTCCGTCCGACTATGCTACCAGCAAACCCATCTTTTTTTCCTCTACTGAGGTTCGTAGCTTGCCAATCCAAAGCTTACAAGCTGCGTGGTTACGGATCCATTGACTCACGCGAAAACATCTCCTTCGCAATAATCATACGCTGGATCTGAGACGTGCCCTCGTAGATTTGATAGATCTTGGCATCGCGAAAAAGTTTCTCGACAGGATACTCGGTATTGAACCCAGCGCCACCAAAGATTTGAATAGCATCTGCAGCCACCTTGTTGGCATGGTCGCCAGCAAAACGCTTGGCCATCGAAGCATACATGGTGTTCTTGCGACCACAATCAATCTCATATGCGGCCTTATACGTAAGCTGACGACCCGCTTCAATGCCCGTGGCCATGTCAGCCAACATAAACTGGATAGCTTGATGCATTGCAATAGGTGAACCCATTGTTTTCCGCTCTAACGCATACTTGCGAGCTTCATCAAAAGCTCGACGTGCCAATCCGACGGCACCAATTGCCACAGGTGGTCGTGTAATGTCAAAAGCCTGCATTGCAATCTTAAAGCCGTACCCAGGATCACCCAAGACATTCTTTTCTGGTACAACAACATCTTCAAAGGTAATACCTCGCGTATCAGAACAACGTTGTCCAATATTAATCTCCTTACGTCCAATGGTAATACCTGGACTATCAGCATCAATGATAAAACCTGTAAAAGCCGAGCCAGCATTCGCTTTCACGTCCGTTTTCGCCAATACAAAAAACCATTTCGCGACACCACCATTAGTAATCCACATTTTCGATCCATTAATAATCCATTTCTCTCCTTTCTTACGTGCTATTGTCTTTGCAGCAGCTACATCAGACCCAGCACCTGGTTCCGTGACACAATAAGCAGCTTGAATTGGTTCCTCGACAAGCCATCCAAAGTATTTCTTCTTTTGTGCATCGGAAGCAGCAACAAGTAAGGGTGCAATGGCAAGACTATTTGCTTCCATTGCTGTTGCCATGCCTGTACATCCATATGCTAATTCTTCACCAATAATACATCCATCCAATGACCCAAGTCCTAATCCACCATATTGTTCCGGAATATGCGGATTCACAAGTCCCAAGTCCCACGCTTTTTGAAAAATCTCCTGTGGATATCGCATACTTTGATCATACTCTTTCTCCATTGGAATCATCTCTTCACGTGCAAATTTACGAGCCAGATGTTGAAATTCACGTTGATCATCCGATAATTTGAGCGAAAAACCAGACAAGATCGACTCATCAATATGTTGATCAAGTGCAAAGTAACGTCGACTGGGACCACGTAAGCGTGCGACGACTCGAGAGAGCGACTTGGTTAATAGCATTATCTCAATCGAGTGCGGAATTTACAAGAGTGATGGTCCTTTCGAGAATGTGCACGTGAATGCAAATGAGAGAATGAAAGGTCTTCACTTGCTGTTCGTATTGGAAACAGACGTGAAAATTGACGTGAAAATATGATGTGGAAATGTACTGTATTTGTGATATGATATGTTGACAACTTCAACTTGTGCTATAATTATTCAGAGGGATTATAAAAAAATGTGGGTTTTATCCTAGACCCAAAAATTTTAGACTTAGAAGAAACACAATATCAAAATAGAGTAAAAGCGACAGAATAGAGTAAAAGCGACAAAATAGAGTAAAAGTGGTAAAACCTCTTTCTTATTCGACCAATTGTCATATGTGTGACACGTCAGCTATGTCTGCCACGATATCACGATCCCTTTCTTGAGGCTCATGTATTTTTTCCTCTCTAGTAGCTACGACCCCATAGCACCCAGCATTTTGCTGGTTTTCCACTTATGAAGCACTTCGTGTTGGCACTAACGGGGCTCTCCTCGTTCTTCTTGTACGGAATGCACAATGACTTGGCGGCGGCACTTGTCGCCGTGTTATCAGCTTCCTCCTCCAAACCCATAAGAGTCAACGACTCCTCACGAGACTTGTTCTTGACAATCTCCTCCCATTCAATCTCATTGCAAAACGGGGTCAGCACCATACAACCATCCTGCAGAGCAGGCATGAAATCTTTCCAATCCATTACCTCACAAATATGACTGTCACGCTGAGCAGTGGCACGTTCCAGCATATCCTCCTGGATCTGCTGGAGAAGGGCCGGGATGCGAGTGCCTAGCTCGGCCTCAGGCACATCCTCCTTTGCACCATTGTCGCGACGTACAACACGCACCTGCTTCTTGGCAATATCCTTAGGGCCAACCTCAAAACGAAGTGGAACACCCTTGAGCTCCCAGTGGTTGTACTTCCAACCGGGTGTGTATCCACGGCGCTTGTCTGCCTCGATGCGAACACCAACGTTAGCCAGCGTGACAACAATCTCGTCGGCCTTCGCAAGGATCCCATCTATCTCGTCCTGGTTCTGGAACAAAATGGGCACCACAATAACTTGAATAGGCGCCACACGTGGCGGCAGCACCAGGCCCTTGTCATCGCCGTGCACCATGATCATGACACCTAGCGAACGTGTGGTAAAACCCCACGAGTTTTGCCACGGAATCAGCTTCTTGCCGTCCTCATATTCAGCCGCAATGCCAAACATCTTGCCAAAGTTTTGACCAAGCATGTGCGACGTGGCAGCTTGAATACCACGACCAGTCGTGGGGATAAAGCCCTCTATCGTCGTGGTATAGTCCGCGCCAGCAAATTTCTCCTTCTCAGTCTTAACACCCTTGACCATGGGCACAGCAAGCAGCTCCTCGTAACATGCCGCATAAAAGTTCAGCACAGCACGCACCTCTTCATCGGCCTCTTCCTTCGTGGCGTGTGCCGTGTGGCCCTCTTGCCACAGAAACTCACGCGTACGAATAAACGGCGTGGGGTTCTTAAACTCCCAACGGACAACATTGTTCCATTGATTGAGCTTCATAGGTAGATCACGGTGACTACGGATCCAGTTCTTAAAGGCAGGGTACATAATGGTCTCGCTCGTAGGACGAATAGCAATGGGATCTTTCATCTCAGAGGTACCAGACTTGGTGACCCAAGCTACTTCCGGAGCAAAGCCTTCCAAGTGTTCTTTTTCACGCTGCAGCTTTTCTTTGGTGACAAACATGGGGAAATAGCAGTTCTTCACACCAATTGCCTTCAGATGGCGGTCAAGAAACTGCTGTACACGCTCCCAAATCTCGTACGAGTAAGGACGTAGAATGTAGCATCCTGAAACATCATAGTAGTCAATCATACCCGACTTGGTAATTGCATCCGTGTACCAGTCGGCAAAGTTCTCCTTCTTCGTAACCGACATACCTTCGTTTGTCTTTTGTTCAACTACTTTTTTCTTCTCCTCCTTTTTCTCCTTTTCCTTTACATTCTTCACAGCAACAGGAGTATCCACCACCACCGTAGTCGACTCGCCCAACAAGTCTGCTGCAAAGTCGATTACAATAGGTTCATGATTGTAATGGTTGACAAACTTGATCAAGTCCTCGGACTTGATACTGTACGTCTGATCGTTACGTAGTGGATGACAATTGATCTGTGTTGTATTTAATAATGCCTTGTCAAGCACAAGTCGTACTTCATTCTTCACGTCGTGCATGACACACAAAGGTGAGACTGATCCTTTTGTGACCTTGAGTGTATTGTTTAAAACATCTTCTGATGCAAAACGTAGATTCCATTTCTTACCACCAACACCAGCAGCACATAGTTTCATACCAAGTTTCTTTGTATCAATAATTGTACTAGGAGCAGCTGTGAGAAGGAATATTCCTTCCTTCTTATCCTTAAACACTAGATTTTTAGTTGAAAGACCTGGTAAATGTGACAATGCTTTAATTACGTCTTCAGTTGTAGGTAATTCACAATGTTCATGCTTTTCATAAGCAATTGAAAGTGCCTCGAGGGCAGCAGAAACCTCAACGTCAGCAATGGATTTATCGAGACTAGTCATCACTTAGTACTTACTAATCAAGCCAGAGCTTTGAATGACTGACGCGTCTCCGAGTCAGTCGTATATTGTCCAGACTATAGAGAGACGTCCTGAGAAAAGTACGATTATAGACTTCGATATAGTAAGACAAAAGAAAACGAGAGGACAATTCAAACAGGACAGTATGGTTTTGTGGTACACATAGCATCCCATTGCTCTTTCGTGGAATTACGCTCATCTTCAAATCGCACTCTTTTTTATCTCTCTTATCGTATGTCTCTCTTATTTAAGAGTAGATATTTCAAAAGATTAATAGATTCCTTTGTACTATAATAAAAGTCAAATATTCATTATTTTACTACTTTTAAATCCTCTCGGTGTAAAAGAATTATATAATTGTCACGAACGGCCGATATAATAATAATCTCTCCAACCATTATCACACCAATAACAACATTAGTAACGACAATATAACGATAGTCTCAACAAGACACGTACTACATACTACTAGCCAGTAGTTATTGTACCATCTGGTACTATCGATATACAAGGACGAGACATTTTATGATGGTATGGAAAAAAAGAGTCGGATCGCCTTTCAAATGCTACGGGTGCCACGTACGCATAAGTGAATTTTCAGTATCATTCGTTCCAGATGATGAAAGTTCTAGTTGTTCCAGTAATTGCAGCGTTATCTGCTTTTAGTATAAGCATTGAAGCATTGGAACGAGACAAGCAGTTGGAAGTTGTAGCTACTGTACATAGTAATTATCATTTATTGACTCGATACGACGATGAAGCAAAAGATCGATTGGAAATAAAGTGTTTTGATAATTTTACACTGGACGACAATCCCATTTGTGCTTCCAATGGTCAAATGTACACGAACCTCAGCATGTTTAACTATCGAAAGTGTATGCTAAAGATTCAAGAAGGTACGGAACTGGAAATGAAAGACGTTGAATTTTGCAAGAGTCAAATCCGTGAGGAATTGGAACATGTTGAGTAGAATTTAAGACGAGCTCAAGAGGGACATGAATGACTGAATGACGGACGGACTGGGGTTCACGTGATGTAAGAATGAGTGCTGAATGATTCGGATGTCACGAGTTGTCAAGGAAAAAGAGACCGTTGAACGAACGGTGAAAGAAGCGAGACTATCATTTTGTTCATTTACTAGAGATGATGATGTTGTGAATGGAACTCTTCTTCGTCGACGAGTGAGAGTGTATGTGTAGGAGAGTGGGTGGTCGTTGGATGTAAAAAGTAGGGTTGCCTGTACATTAGATCGTGGCAGTCCTAGCGTAAAATGCACGTCCGTCGTGTATGATTGATTATTCAACAACGACAAGATAAAAAAAGAAGTTAGTTCATTTACGTTTTAGTTCATGTTAGCATTGGGTCTTCTTTGTAGTGAGTGGCCTAAAACAGTGTTCATGTGGGTATCGCAGAGCAGATTGTAGGATTTTTCGCTCTATATTGCAGCTGCTTTCGTTATGACTAGGTTGGTCCGTTGGACGATAGGATCTATCCTGCATCAGATGTACTACGTATTTTAACACGTGGCAGGGACAAAGAACGATTGGATCAAGATGGAGAAGGTGAATAGTGTCATGATAGCAACAATCGTGTTGGTAGCAATTTGTTTCGTTCAAGTGGAATCGGCTTTGGAAGAAAAGATTCTGCGCGTGGTGAGTAAAGTACATGCGGATCCAAACGTCTTTGTGAGTGTTGAGGAGAAGAGAGCAAAGCGACATGGAAATTGTGTGGATACAGGAGCGGTCGATGATAATCCCGTATGTGCATCAAATGGCAAGCAATATATGAACAAAGACGTTTTCGAGTTTCACAAGTGCATTATTCAAGCGAGGTTTGGCGAGATCATTGAAATTGTTGACATGGAGGTCTGCAAGAACGCTAAGAAGGAAGATATTGACGTGCCGGACATTGACTACATGTAACACCATTTGATAATGGAGGTAGAATTTAAGACTGACGAGTGCAGTGTGAAGTCTAGGCACTGGAAGTATGAACCTCAGGTTGAAAACAGAGGGTACGTCTAGGTGATTGTTGTTTAACAAAGCTTGGTGTTTAGTGGAAAGTTCTTGTACAGGCTTGACTACTAACATTAAACTCGTTCAGTGTGTGAGCGTGTCGATTAGAATAGATCTAGCGTCTGCTTCTACGTATGCATAAGACACGCCAGCTCTTGAGCTTACACACACTACGCCCCAACGCACAAGTTTTTTCAATTTCGTCTCTTGCCATTTACTAACAGATCCCTAGGACCTCTCTTCTGATTAGTAGCCAGTGGAACTAGAGGGGAGAGGAGCTTTTAGAACACTTGGAATTGTCGTGTCGTGTATCATTTCATTGTTTCCAGCTGCATCTCTCTACCATGAAGCCAATGATTCTTGTATCAACAATGAGTTTCTTGCTGTTAACTTGTGCACCTATAGCAGCTTTCGATCGTGAAAAAAGACTGCGTGTAATGATTTCTGTGCATGCAAACGAACACGCGGTGACAAGTGGCAAAGAAAAACACGAAAGAGAACCGGACAATTGCGTTGACGATGGTACGCGGACCTACGACCCAATATGCGCATCAAATGGCAATTTATACTTGAACATGAACCGATTCAAGTACAAAAAGTGCCTCATGAATGCGAATTGCGGGGAAGACATTACAATCGTCGATCCGGAATTCTGCAAGGACGTGAGACTGGAAGATTTTACAAGCGAGGGTCTGATGTAGAAAGAAGAGGGAGCATTTGACAATGAAAGGAGAATGCAGTCAGGTAAATTAGAAGTATTCAAAATGTTTTTCTCATCCGTCGACTCCTTGTCTAAGTTACATTCCATGTCGTTAGTGGTAGAAAATGCTTGCTTTGCAGCACAAGCAGTAGCCGTACATATTGATTAAGTGAGCTCGAATTGATTTACATGCAGGCGATTCTTGGAATGTGAAATATTTGGAATGTGATGAAGTGAAGCTTTGCTGCTCGTAGCGTTAGACGAAATATGTGGCGCACGCTCAATCAGATAGAAGTGGCCAGCGAATTTGAGCGTCCATACGTGCACTTTGGCCTGCTCTTTGACGCATAGAAAACAGAATACGATGCGTAAGACCAGAAGCAGAATAAACTATAAAAACCAATTGCGCAGTTTGCAAAATGCGCTTATTTAGTGTGATTTGCTTAAAAACAATACAAGCAGTCGGTCTTGTTGAAACGTTAGGGACTAGACAGCTTCACGGGGCGCCAACGTTGCTGCAGTAGTAGCCAGCAGGAGCTTTGGGTACTGCTGCTCGATCTGTTCGGCGCATTGGTTGACATTGAAGCAAACGGAGCTGATTCGGGTATCAAACGCAGCTAAAGCCTCGTCTTCCGTGTTTGCAAACTCAAGGAAGCCCAGATGCTGGTCAATACTACCCTTCATGCGGTCTTCGCCAATCATTGTAGCTGCAACACGTTCAGCATTGATCGGTTCAATCTCCAAAAGTTTGCCCAACTCTTCAAGTGAAATGCTGCTGTAAACTCGACTGGCAGCAAGCAGATTGTGCTCGAGAAAGGCATTCTCCAGCACTGTGAAACCGTTAGATAGCACCGCCTTCTGGTGAGGTAGCAGACTTTTTTCAAACTGCACGAGTTCTGGGCAACGAATCAATTGCTCCATGTACATTTTCTCCAGAATTGCCACGTGCTCGCTGTTTTTCACCCGTTCGTCCTTATAGAGTGTACCGAGAAGACGCGATCGCTGTGGACCAGCGGAAGCCAAGATGGCACACGTAACAGCTTTGCTCAGTAATTCCACCAAGTCATCCGGGTCAACTTCGTCAGGCTTGGACTGCGAAAACTCGTAGTAACGTAGCGCAGCGTCCAAAAACTTGCGCTTTGAGTCGAGAATCCGGGCATACGAGACTTGAAAGCGTAGTTTAAGCGCCCAATTCTCAACATTGTGGATAAAACGCGACGCGCGATTGATAAAGTTTTCTGCATCCACTGTCTCATCCTCTTGCAGATAAAGTTCGGCAATTTTAACATACTTTTCAGCCTTCTCCACGTCCGTATACTGACGTGTAGAGCTTTCAAGATTGATGGCAGCTAAGGCTTTGGCCGCTTCAATATATTCTTCTTCTTCCATGTACATGGCTGCCAGTGATTCACGAAATAAGACATCAGGCTCTTCAAATGACAGAATACGAGGCTTTATCTTAGCCAAGCAAAAGCAGATAAACTCGAGCTTCCAAGGGTGCACGTCTACGTCGATACTTGCAACCATTGATGCCAAGTGGGTGACCACCTATAGCAAAAGTAATAGAGAGTGAGCATACGGTATCCAAAGTAAATGAGTTCACAATTATATACACCCGTACAGCACGTGAAATCACCAGTAATACATTTTCTTCCAGTACTATATGGTAGACACGAAATATCAGTACTTTTTAACAATAATGTACTGAAATACCACTTCTTCGTACAATGCGTTATGATAGTCTTGAGGTTATTTACATCATGTAAGTTCTTTTCCAGCAATGTCTATATATAATAAAACAGTACATTCGTATCAATTGTATGTTATATCAGTATATTCTAATATATACCTTATACGCTGCAGTCTTTTCCTTCTGGTCTGGAATGTGCAAAATCTAGACCACATTGAAATATAAAAATCGTATCAAACGATATACAAAACGCATGAATATATACACATATACTAAAGAGCACGATAACATTTTATAAATAATCACACGTACGCACTGAAGCTCCGTATCTACCATACTCCTTTATGCTTAGAATGATGTTTTGTTACAGGTCCGACAAAATGTCAAATCTGTAAAATTAGAACCAATCAGCATACTGTAAATTCTACAGTACGAGCAAATCCATTGAAAACACTATAACCCAGTTCACCTCATGGCTACATTCTTGAACTAGTCGCTCTAACTTGTCCGACATCATACAATAATCATGGTCTTTCAACTCTCGACTTTAGAATATATGACATAGAAATTTAAACAAGTCCTAATGTTAATTGAAGAATCATTCGTACAAGGACATTGAAGTCATAAATCGACTATCCTCAATGTGTATTATACGTAGCAAGAAACACCATACGACCGTAGATCGGAACAACACATTATGACCAGGTTTTGCCAAATGCGAATTGAAATACTCGAAAGCAAGTTGAATGTCTTTTCAATGGCTAGTAATCTCTCTATACAAACAATGATAACAACGTACTAACAAACACGGCACAACGACCGCATGATATCAATATGAACGGTGTTTACAAAGACGATTTGGATTAAGGACCGGTCTTGTGTTCAAAGGAAAATTCTCAGGAATGAGCTAAACGTTGTTAACGTTCTCGTGTCTATGCTACTGAGAACAGAACACCGCGAGGTTTCGTATGTGTGGGTGTGTCAACAAAATACGTTTCGAAAAATGAAGAGACTAATGGTTGGCACGTTTATTTGAACAAACTCGACACTCACACTCACTACTCTCTCAAAACACATGCGTCAATCAAAGACGCGGCGCAAAAGAGTAGTGACATGAACCCCAACGTCAGTTTTCAAATACTTAAAGTCCACCTCTCTCTTCTTCTGTATACAACTGACAACATTTACTTTCCCTCAATTCGTATTTGCTAGAGGTTTCCAACGTCTCTTATTCATTGCAATGAACGCATCAAGATAGCGCTTCACGCGGCATGAAGATAACTCAAACGAGGTTTCTCCTTACAGTGCTGAATTCTTGTCGATGGTGAAGATATCACTTGCCGCCTTTTTCGACTTGGTGCTCCGTCTCTTCATGTAAATCACACCCACGACAGCAAGAGCGACACAGGCCACAGCAGCGGCCACAAACGGTGTGAAGTCTAGATTCTTCTTCGCTAAAATGTCACCCGACTGAAGTTTGATCGTCTCAGCACTCAAAGCTGTCTGCTTCACACTGTATTTACCATCGCTGTCATCGGCTGTGGCAGTCGTACTGCCACTGTACATACTATCGGCGTTCGGAGAAAGTGTCAGCCCTTCCGGTTCAAGAAACTCGGTCTGATCCACCTTGGTATTCGAAGAAGAGGCATGAATAGCATACATGGAATCAGAAGAAGGGGTAAGGATGTCTTCAAAATTGGCGGTAATAGCTTTTGTGGAATCAGAAGAAGGGCTAAGGATGTCTTCAAAATCGGCGGTAACAGCTTTTGTGGAATCAGCGTTTTCACCGTTACCTCCGGCTATGTCAAGCTCCTCACTGCAGTCATCATTTCCAGCAATTTCAAGTTCCTCATTGCAGTCATCATTTCCAGCTATTTCAAGTTCCTCTTTGCAGTCGTCGTCGGTGCCGGCAATGTCAAGTTCCTCATCGCAGTCATCACTGCCAGCTATGTCAAGCTCCTCATTGCAGTCATCATCAGAAGGAGAATTGCCGCCCGTTTCCATGCCACCATCAACACCTTCATATTCACCCTTCTCCATAGTGTCTGTAGTTCTCGGAAGCTCTTCTCCGCCCTCGGTGACGCCCGCACCACCATATTCACCCTTCTCCATAGTCTCGGTAGGTTCCGTAGGATAAGCACCACCCTCGGTGACGCCCACACCATCTGCACCAACCTCGGTGACGTCCGCACCACCTGCACCACCCTCGGTGACGTCCGCACCACTTGCACCACCCTTGGTGACGCCCGCACCTGCACCATCCTCGGTGACGTCCGCACCTGCACCATCCTCGGTGACGCCCGCACCACCAGCACTACCTTCATGTTCACTCTTCTCCATAGTCTCGGTAGGTTCCGTAGGATAAGCACCACCCTCGGTGACGCCCACACCATCTGCACCACCCTCGGTGACGCCCGCACCACCCTCGGTGACGGCGGCGCCACCAGCACCACCCTTGGTGACGCCCGCACCTGCACCATCCTCGGTGACGCCCGCACCACCAGTACTACCTTCATTTTCACTCTTCTCCATAGTCTCGGTAGGTTCCGTAGGATAAGCACCACCCTCGGTGACGCCCACACCATCTGCACCACCCTCGGTGACACCCGCACCATCTACAAAGCACCACCCTCGGTGACGCCCACACCATCTGCACCACCCTCGGTGACACCCGCACCATCTGCACCACCCTCGGTGACGTCCGCACCACTTGCACCAGCTACATATTCACCCTTCTCCATAGTCTCGGTAGGTTCCGTAGGATAAGCACCACCCTCGGTGACGCCCACACCATCTGCACCAACCTCGGTGACGTCCGCACCACCTGCACCACCCTCGGTGACACCCGCACCATCTGCACCACCCTCGGTGACGTCCGCACCACTTGCACCACCCTTGGTGACACCCGCACCACCAGTACTACCTTCATTTTCACTCTTCTCCATAGTCTCGGTAGGTTCCGTAGGATAAGCACCACCCTCGGTGACGCCCACACCATCTGCACCACCCTCGGTGACACCCGCACCATCTGCACCACCCTCGGTGACGTCCGCACCACTTGCACCAGCTACATATTCACCCTTCTCCATAGTCTCGGTAGGTTCCGTAGGATAAGCACCACCCTCGGTGACGCCCACACCATCTGCACCAACCTCGGTGACGTCCGCACCACCTGCACCACCCTCGGTGACGTCCGCACCACTTGCACCACCCTTGGTGACGCCCGCACCTGCACCATCCTCGGTGACGTCCGCACCTGCACCATCCTCGGTGACGCCCGCACCACCAGCACTTTCTTCATGTTCACTCTTCTCCATAGTCTCGGTAGGTTCCGTAGGATAAGCACCACCCTCGGTGACGCCCACACCATCTGCACCAACCTCGGTGACGCCCGCACCACCTGCACCACCCTCGGTGACGTCCGCACCACTTGCACCACCCTTGGTGACGCCCGCACCTGCACCATCCTCGGTGACGCCCGCACCACCAGCACTACCTTCATGTTCACTCGTCTCCATATCCTCGGTAAGTTCCGTAGCGGGTTCACCCTCCTCGGCTAAGCCCGCGCCACCAGCACCGCCCTCGGCTGAGTCCGCGACTCCAGCACCACCCTCGGGTACTACCGCAGGCACTTCATTACCGTGGTTCGCAGGTTCTGGTTGCTCTCCAGCTATATCAAGTCCCTCATCGCAGTCTTCCGGTTCAGCAATCTCGAGTTCCTCGGTGCAGTCTTCTGGCTCAGCAATCTCGTATTCATCACTGCAGTCTTCCTTATCAGCCATGTCAAACTCCTCATCACAAGAGCTTTCCTTGTCTGTCATGTCACTGTCAGCAATTTCATATTCGTCGTCGCACGAAGCTGCATCGTCCGGGCTGTGTTCACTTGAGTCCTTGATTTCGTGTTTACTTAAATCTTTGGTTAAGTCGTCACTCAGATCCTCGGTTTCGTGTTCACTTGAATCCTTGGTTTCTAGCTCTTCTTGCGTCGTAGAGTGATCAAGTGGTGCACTATCGGACGTCTCACTGTATTGATCTGACGCACTGGGTGTGACCTCTTGTTGTAATGGCAATTCATTCATCGAGACGTCGTTCATTAATGAAAAGTCCATAGCATTCACTTGTGCCATATAGACAACAGCAACAAGAAGAAGACTTTTAATGACTTTCATGAGACTCTCGGTCTTTCTCGTAGTGTTTCAAAGTTGTCGTTTGTTGTTGTTTTCAAGAAAGAAGAAGAAAACGTCAAGACTCTAAACTTTTTCAACTTGTTTGAAAATCTCTTTCGCTTCTCGAATCAAGGTATTGTCAGTAAACAGTCGAAATGAAGAATGAACCAAAGAGCGGTACGAGAGATTGGCGTTCTTTCTTCTACTATATACTAACTAACTTGACTGCACAGCCTAAAGATTAAACCATATAATCTTTGGCTGGGACTTGGACAGAAAGTCAGTCGTGCTATCTGGGCGGCCGGATGGGTAAAACCTGCACGCGAACAGATGCTCGTAGCGAGTACACGACATGTCGTGTCTTTTTGTGGTCATAGATGTCGTTCTTTTGAAAAGTTCAGTTCTCAAAACCTAACATGTCTGAAGACATTGGCAGCGTTTTTTTCTTCTTCTTCTGCATCGCAGCTGGTAAAGCCGAACATTTTTCGATCAGATTGAAGCAAAGTGTTTCAACTTGCTCGTGTGTGTTGTTCAGACGTATCGATGCATTACACGCTCCATCGCATAGCTTTACCAATCGGTTCTTTTTCTTGTGCAGGAAAAAGAATCAAAGACGACAAGTGAGAATGAGAATATCCAGGCAAGTTTCAGACAGTAATACGATGTTGTTTTGCGAAGATGTTGTTTTTGACGGTGCTTTGAGGTAGTAGTAGCTCGAGTTGAAAGTTATAGGGACAGGACGAAAGGGTTTGGAATCAATTCCTAGACGCAGACATTTTGCTGCTAGAGTATTGAAGAGATGGAAAGGATTGTGAATTGCTACGAGTAGGGGTTTTAGACCTAAATAGCCACGACTTGTACACGGCGTCGTTGAATGCTTCGACTTCGTTTTCCAACAACATACTTGACAGCACACTCGACGTATAATGCCGCCTTACTTTTTTGCATCATTACGTTCGTCTTGGTCTCCAATAGGCGATTGGAGTTGGTTGGCACTACAATGCCTGTATGATGATGATGTTAAAGGCGAGACAGTTGTTGCCTTTCCAAGCAAAAGAATGGTTGCTAATCGTCTTCGGGTATGTCGCTTAAAAGTGTATCTTGATGAACCATTTGCAATGCAAATGACGTTGGGGATATAAACCTGCTCAACCTTCACACTATACTCTCTACAACAGGAACGGTAGGAATTTTGAAATATGCATATCCATTGTTCCTTTCATGCATGTCGACGACATACAAATTTTGGAGCAGGGTCTATCATGATCTGGAAGGCAGCACAAGCTTTGACAATGGCACAGCCCCAAATACATTCTAAATTCTACCATTGTCTAGCAAAAGGTTCTTATGAACTATGTGTCACTTTGAAATAAATCTTTGTGTCGACTATCTATCACTCTCGTGAATATGGAGCGCCGTTACCATAACCTTCTATCTACTGACATACCGACATCAAAGTCATTGCACAATTAGCTCGAGCATTGCTTCAACGCTTGAAAATGTCGCAAGCATTTGTCCTTCTCATCTTACAGCAAAACAGCAAATGGAACCCTCTAACAGCTTAGATTGACGCTCGTATTTATGCAGCAAACGTGATTGCAGGATCAGCATATACTAGATAGACTCGTCATGCATGTTTACTTCCATTCAGTTGAATTCATCTGATGAGCAAGAGTGGTCAGTGTCTAATCAAGGATCGTTTTTTCTGTAGCTTGACCGATATCGTCACATGTAGAGGATAGAAAGAGGCATTCCTCACCAAAACTTCATGATGAAAGCAAAATCTTCACTACCGTCAATGTTGATCTTGAATTGCAATGATCCATGGTAGTGTCGGGCACCGTTTACACCACAGAAGATTGTCAAGATCGAGACTACGTGCCAAAACCATAGGATCTGGCATAAATCGTATGGCGTCCGAGTACTAGGTAGTCTAACACATGAATAGTGTCATTGCATGTGACACGACAAACACATCTGGTCAACTTGGTTTTATGTGGAAAAAAGCATGTTGACCAGATGAGTTTGTCGTAAGCTTCGGGTCAAGTCGGCTTTGTGCCGAGTTAAAAGCGTCGGCATGGAGCCATCTGGATTCCAGGCTCTCCTCTAGTAAAATTGGGGTTCACTGCCAGTCTCCGTTGTTCGGTTCCCAGCCGGCATTGCAGCAGATGTCAATACTCTTGTGCAATTATTTGTTTGCGTAAAGGTGAGTTGACTGGAAAACGGTCAATGTTGTTTAGCAGCATCTCTGCCTTGTGACTCGCATGACACTACGGATTACGATACTGGAGCGAGTTTGTACATCCATCACGTTTAGTGATGTGTATTGCCGGTAGAAGCGAGCTTTGTCTCACAAGGAAGCATCACCCGATCTAATGACTCACATCTAACTGGACGCTATTTGTCTCACCAACCATCTTCTTCTTGTTATCTCTCTATGTACAGACAGCAAACGACTTTCATCGATATTTGTTGGTGCTTGCGTCGTTACGACAACGACCAGAGCTTGTGGATAGTCGACAGCTTTGAAAGTTTGAAGACAAGCGCACGTCGCAGAGTGATGCCCTGTGTAATAAGGGACGGATTATGATGCTGGCCACAAGTTTTCCTATGTTTCACCACAAGTGCAGTGACAGTACCGCGTTACGACTAGACTCGATAGTCTTGGTAGCGTCGGACCTTTGTCAACTGCAGCATGTTGAGCCCAGACCAATTGCCAGTTACTCCAAACAGAGCAAGATAGTACGATCAGCTATTAGTCGTCTGACGAACTGTTTGTCCGATCGAACGGCATGTCGAACGTTAGTTCTGCTGGCTTTCGTAAGCGAGTGGTCAAATGCAAGGGGCATGACTGCTTAACATAGTAGAATTGCATCGGCGTCATGGTTTTTGATCGGATACGAGTGTGCTCATCGGTGAGTCTCTCGTGGAATCAAGTGTCGATGCAAGGCTTCGATTCTTCTTTACACGCAGTCATAGAGATAAATACATTAAAAGATTGAACGTTTAAGAGCTTGTTGCGCGTGCATAAGTTAGAGATTATGGTAAGTTGATCATCTACTTGCCTCCAAAGGGACGTATGAACGCAAGGCCGCATGACGAAATGTGTCGTTAGTTGCCTAGACTATAAGATGAAGGTATTTCGTTGATGTCATATACCGACTTGTGGTATCTGAATACCATTCTAACTCTGCATGTATGAGGACACAACCTGAAATGTAGTAACAAATTCGTCATGAAACGTTTCCACGCTGAACCTTGTCCCCATAAACATTCATCCGTACGCACATATCAATCAATACAAAGACAAACTCACAGCCAACTCCAAGTTGTGCTTCGTTTACACACTATTAAATTGTCAATTAAATGTTACCAACGTACTAAAATATGACCGTATCTGCCGTGTGATCTCGTTAACAAGACATACAGTTATGATCAAAGTCCACATCATACACGCTTTTACAGCACCGAATTCTTATCATCGATCGTAAAAATCTCACCCGGCATTTTTTCCTCTTCCTTCCGTCGTTTCATGTACACGGCTCCAAGCACGCCAATACAAGCGCAGGCACTCACTCCCACAACGATATACAAGACACTTCCTGGCCTATCCTTGTTCTCACCAATCCTCTTCTTTGGGGTCATTTGCTGCAAAGTTGACCTGGTCCACACTGAAGCCTTCTTCTCCCAATGGGGTGTTTTCAAAGTCAGCGTCCTGCAAGTTTCGAGCACTAACTGAAGAGACGAAGAGTACAGCGGCAATGATACAGCCTTTAATAAATTGCATGATCAATCACTTAGTCAATCAGTTACTGTAACGTGTTCCCGTCACTGTTGTTGAAATTCCAAGTGTATTGGGTAGTAAGTAGGAAGACACGATAAGGTACTTCTCTAGTATGAAGGAAATTCAAGAATGGCTCAATCGATTGATAGATATGTATACTACATACACATATATATATGTAAAAGGGGGGATTGAAGAATGTCCAGTAACGAGTCAAAGCATAAGATGAATCATGGGCTGGGGGACAAACGAGTCAAGAGTCTAGCCAAGTAGATCAGAAGCTGGTGATTTGTGCCTCTGAAACGGCAATTTAAAAACGCTTTACCAGTGTTAATTCATCAGGTGGTGGTTGTTAGTTGAGGGGAAATGGTAGCTTAAAGGCTTGAGGTAAGTTATAACGGCCATACAAAAACAACGGACCAACTCAAACATACGAATATTACGATGTGCAGATTGGGTGAAGCATTTATGTTTCTTACTATATGGAGTAGAATCGAGGAAGGAAAACTTACTGTATATGACAAATCTACTGATATTAAACAAGGTCCGCCCTCTAGCAATTACACAGTTTGCAATCAGTATAAAACTTCGTACAGTACAAATAATCGTCTTCCATTGGGTATGTGCGACATGGAGTCAGTTTTTCTTCTTCTACTTATGGTGGGTTGTAAGCTACAAGAGGGTACGTTGGAATGACGCATGCATTATAAAACGTTCTATTATACAAGTATGTATGTGTGTTTGATACTATTTTCAAGTCACCCACGGTCCACAACATTCGATTATCTTTGGCTGTAATTTCTAGGCTCTTTTACGCTGCATAATCTAGAAGTAGGTAGCAACACATAAAAGAACTGCCCGGGTGTGGATTGTTATTAATACACTCTAGACCTTTGCGTCTCTTTGGAAGATGCTTACGCAAGAATTGAATCAAACATACATACGTAGTTTTCTTGATATAGAAACGCCTTCATTCTAACAACAAACAACAACAAACACCTTGTCGTTGTCGAATGTTTTCGAGGAATGAAATTTATGAAAATATATTACCGATGACTTACGATACGGCTAAACGTTCTTGACGCCTGTGGTCCAATGGTTTTGTAAACTAAATTCGTTTACAGCTACATTGAATATGTGTATGAGATGCTACTTGTTGCTTCCTAATGCTTATAAGAAACTACATTAAACATGACGTGCATACATATACCTTTCAATGAAATCCTAGGAAACAAATCAACGACTTACAGCAAGTACTTGCTTGTCTATGTTGTAACTGTAATGCTCATCATACATCGTCGTAGAAGTTTGTCACGCTTAACGATACGCGATGTATAGAAAACAGTTGGTACGTCTGTCCACTTCCAGGTCGTACGCAACTTCTTTTCCTCCATACGTGATGATTGAGCTTATACATTCAGGGAAAATGGCAACAGAGAACAATCACAGTCCAAGTGCTTTTGAAACGGATGTTTGACCTCTGACCGATCAATGTAACAAGAGTGGATCGTAGAAATGATTCGGCGTTCGTTTGACGATGTTTTCGTGTTGCATACGTGCAAAAGCGGACGAATGGCGAGATGGCGAACAAACGAGCAGTAATAATCTAAACGGCCCAACAATCTTACCTGTGAGGCAAATAGACAGTATAAATTTGCAACACTTCCTTCATTCATATTGAGCACTAACCATCTTCATTCACGCTATCCGACATGTTTAAGTACACCAAGTTACAATGACAGCATGAGTACGACCACCACAGCACTGACAACAAGCATTTGCAACAATTTACAAACTGGGGAGTTTCGACAAGATGAAGACAGACAAATACGATGAAAAAAATCGGAAGCCATGAGCTGGACCTTCACGGATGTTGCTATCGTCAACTTTCCATCAAGAACTTGTACGCGACATGAAAACGTAAGTCCATATAACGCCTAGAACGTCAAACCACTTGTGTTTCACCTTGCCAACCTGCTCACGAACCATTACTATAGATCTCGGAGACGATAGCTACCGATTAGGTAAGTATTCTGTCAGCCGCTTTGACGTTGCTTGCACTCAGCTCTAGTGCCACATAGCACCAAATTTTCAACATGAATTCAAAATTAAAAAGCTCATTTGGCATTTCGCTTCCAGTCCTCTCTTCGTGATCGAAAACAACCACGTTCGTGCGAAACAAAATACAGCACAGAGTACTCCACGTCGAGGCTCGATACCCCGAAGCTTACAAATGTCAATCTACGTGATACTGTGTCCAAGCTCATGAAATGAAGATGACTTTACAGCACACTTCACCCCACGTCGTATCTTGCCAACCACAATTTATCTTCAACATCTGTGTGTAATGTTACAGCGCATCAAAGAAGCGTATATCGTCCAAAGTAATCGGTTGGGCCTCTTATATCCACTACGACGCGTTTCTATCGGCGCAAATTGTGTCTACGTTCACCATAGCTCCTATCGTTTCGATGAGGTCTTGTCGGCAACGCTTCGTTCAACCGTGCATAGCCATGATTACCAGAGCTTCTTCTAGATCGCGATGAACCGCCTTTGTTGCGGCTACTTTTGCTACCATGAGATGATCTATCGTACGAGTAGTAATCATCGTCTCTATCGTAGTAGTTATGGTCATCGTAGTCCCAATACTCGTCCTCCACATCCCGACCGTGCTTGCGACCCGTAACACGTCGTCCGCTCCTGGTGTTGCTCGCCGAGCTGCGACAATCAGCAGCAAAGTGTCCAGCCTTACCACAATTAAAGCAACTGTTTCCACCCCTGACATAGCCATTTGAACGCACAGGACACTCAGCAGCAACATGACCAGCCTCGCTGCACACAAAGCACGTCTGCACAGAGCGCCCACTAGCTGTCCGAGAAGCGAAATTGGTCGCAGCTGGCTCGCGATACGTATGGCATCGCTCAATCGTGTGATTTTTTGCGCAATTGGGGCAGTACACAAATCTATCTGCAGGAGGCGGCACGGGCACACAGTGCAAATGACCCACTTTCGTGCACACCATGCACGTCAGTAGCTCTTGACTTCCTATGTTGTTGCAGTCTTCATCCAAATGTCCAGCACGTCCACAAATTCCGCACGACTCAATCTTGATAGTCCGATTGTCGCAGTCCTGTCATAAAAAAATTGACAGCATCCGTGAGACGATAGCTATCACCCAATAGATGTCAAAAATCGATAAGCATGCTCACCTGTTCCTGATGTCCCAGCTGCAGACAGTTCGCACACGGTAAATTGGGACACACCCATGACTGGTGTCCACGCAGTGCACAATAGTAGCACGGTGGCTGCAGCTTGTCGTTCGTACAGACGTTCGCCATATGCCCCACCTCTCCACAATGAAAGCATTTGGTGGCCAAATCTGTGATAAAGTATCTAGTTTCCTTGCGCTTGCGTCCCTCGTCTTTCTTTTTCTTATGCCTGCTATTCTTCTCACCCTTTTCTCCATTCTCCACTTTCTTGTCTGTATTTGCCTCAAAAAGTGGAGCACCAACTTGCTTCTTATTACTCTCAACCTGCTCTTCTTCTGCTATGGGTTCCTCCTCTACAACCATATCACCAGTATTCCCACGATATCTTGAGCTAAAATCACTTAAAATATAATCATTCAGCGGCTCCAAAGGTGGCTGCACGATTACTGCAGCATGACGCTGACTCAAAGGCACCAAGAAACGCGCTTGGGCCCATTTAGACAACGTGACACCCACTTTCTTTGAATCAAGTGTAGATACCGGTTCGTCGGCATCAATCTTGATTACTTGAGTCTCTTGAGTTGTCGCATTCTTCACGCTATCCTCAACTGTGATTGGTTCACTTGCTTCATCCTCGACTGTGATTGGTTCATTCACATTGTCCTCGACTGTGATTGGTTCGCCTACGTCATCCTCGTCTGAGTCCCAGCGAGATGATTTCTGATTCTTGTCCATCCGTGTGGGTGGACGCGTTGAGCGGTGTGCACGTGGATCCGAAGGATCCATCACATACATAAGCTCAACATCGCTGTTCGATGACTCACTCATGTCGCTCATGGCGCTTAGCACGTCCGCGTTCTCACCTCGCATCACTAGAGTCGAGTAGAGCTGTCTATGCGACTCCCAGTCAGTGTCGTGCAGTGTCATTGGTTAAAACTTATTTGGCACAGACTCGGTGCCGATTGGTTAAATATACCCTTATCATGTGTCACAAAAAGACCAAAAACAGACAACCTTCCTTTATAAGAACAATACGAGATACAATCATCACTCTCCGCATCCTGTCATGGCGTCAATCGATGAGCCATTGGACCTGATCAAGCTGAGTGTAGCCGAGCGCATTTACGTCAAGTGTCGAGGTGAACGTGAGCTTCGTGGTGTATTGCAAGCTTATGATCAGCATTTGAACATGGTACTGAGTGACGTGGAGGAGACCATCACTGTACAAGAACTCGACCCAGAAACGTACGAGGAACTCATTAAACAGTCCAAGCGGACCATTGAAATGCTTTTCGTGCGTGGAGACGTCGTCATTCTTATAGCGCCCCCACTGCGCACTGCTTAAACACGACCGAGGTGTCCTTTAATGTGGTCGTGGGAAGATCTTGAAAAGGTTCAGAATAGATCTTTACACGGTTGGCTTGTGACACCGTTTCAATCATTTCATCACTAAGCAGGGTAGAGTGCATTTTAAATGATGACTTTCATCACTAGATAAGAGCCTTATCTCTTGTTTTACTACCTTTTTGTAGTAAGTTGACAGCTTACAGTTGAAGTGAAGTGATGTTCTCGGATTCAAACAATATCTGAACCTTTCAAAACCAGTTGACTGTAAACAAGAGCGTTTAATTGCAGCTACAGATGAGCTAGTATTCGTTTTGTCACACATGGTGCCAGATCTGTCTCCGTATTTTGGTCATTGCAAAATACGGAGACACTCCCCCAATGGAGATAATTTCCCCCTTTTGCAGCATTTCCATTTGTTTCTTCTTCTTCCTTCTGGTGCTGCAGTTTCCATGAGCTTTTGTAGTTCGTAATGAGTAAAGAAAGATGCAGGTTCAATTTCCGTCTGTCCACTTGCCATCCTGTCGTTGTCATTTTTCGAATTTACCAGCTCTACAGCGTTTGCGGAGTACATGGTATGCCCAAATTACCCAGTTGATACATTTTCACTGTCCAAATTCCCATGATGAAAAGCATATTTCACTTGCTCCAGTTTAGAATGTGTGTTTTTGTCTTCCATACCTCACTTTCCCCGGGTCTTATACCATTATGCAAGTGCCACTCAACTTTGACGATACAAAAATGCATCCAGTGCTTCTTCATCCATGCAATGTGACATGTTTGACAATTTGACTCAACGATCATGACGTTTCTCGTTACGGATTCCATCACGTCTGCTTGACATATCTCACATTGAACAGCGTCGCTGGGGTCTATTTTCAAGTAAGCATCTTCGTGTCGGACATTCTGAGCGAAAAACGTCCGTTGCAAAAAGGTACGAGCCAAAACGTCTTGACCCAGCCCGTACTTGCCTTCGCGTTTAAAGTAAACGAAGATGCATGCTGCTTTGTTGTGTTTTCCAAATGCTTGAGAACTTTTACTTGATCAAACCCTCCGTCTTTGCGCCTTGCAAAATTGCTCCTTCTACTCAATCTTGAGTTTATCATTGGAAGCTGAAAAACTAGCTCTCCTTCACTTGTGTCTAAATTGTGCTTTGAATGGCTGAGGCGTCTACATGTTCATTCCAGCTTGTCCGAGCTTTCAGAGATAGATAAGCCACCTAGCTCTTACAATCTGGCCGCATAGACTCATCACATCCTAATTGACACCCAAGAACGATATAAGTTGATAACGAAGTATCACAACGCAAAACAGCACGCTGAAGTTATCTTCTTTGCAATCGCTGCTTGGTCTGTATGAAGTCCATTGCAAAGTAGCTGAGACACATGAGTACGACAATAAACAATCAGATGATCACTGAACAGTCCAGCAACATACTCGAAAAGTACTGTTCAGGTCAAAAATCTGGATATGTGTCTAACCAAGTCTACACACCTACGTGTGCAATTCGAGGTTTGATGAACGCTTGTTGCTGATAGAATCCTGGTAGAACTAGCAGCGGTTTCCAGGCGTTTGCTTTTCGCATTCAGCATCGTTTCCGTGACAGAAAACTTAAGTTGATATTGAAGCTCACCTAAACGAGCATAAGGGTAGTCGCCACAAAATCCCTGTTGCCCCTGAAATTCTTTCTGCATTATTGCTTCATGTGCTATGATACTGTCACCGCATTTTTATCACCATTTACCGACACACGACATGATTCAACAACAATGGTGTCGGCCGTAATAACCCCGCCCACATGCGGGCCTCTCACTCTGAATAAACAATTCTTCAATTATAAGCCTGGCAAGATCGTTGAAATATGATGCACAAAGTTTTAGGTGCTCCTTTCGCGAGAGGTAGCATACAGTCGCGAATAAGGCGACAACGGCAGGCGCGCTGAAGTCGGGAGCAAGGCAGTCTCAGATCCATCGTCAGCACAAAGCAATGATACAACATGTCGCCACTCTTCAAACTTGACTTCGCTAGAGTGCTCCAAACCTAAACGGTCTCGGCCACGTGGTGTGTAATACTGGATCCAAAACCACAGTAAGCCACGGAAATTATCACAAACGTAGCCTTGCTTGCCTGATACATCCTCGTGGTCACGTAGTGCCTTTATAATAGCCGGCAACCGCTCCCGACGATGCTGAAAGACAAGAATAACAATGGCTGTGTTCAAACAGCATATGTTCTCGTGATTGATATCATCCATTGTGACGATAGTCATGAGATCACGCAGCAGGCGCACCAAATTCATTGTCAGAAACTCGCTCATTCGGTCCATTTCGCAATTATTCGCTAGATCACATGTTCCACTTTTAGGCTGCTTAGCAAACTTCTCCGAAGATAGAAGCATCGATCGAACAAACACGTTTGAGTCTACCAAATTTAATATCACCACTTCTGCAAAGCCCAGAACAAACATGTTTTGTCAGTCTGCATCAACAACATACGACCAGGTAAACAAAATCGCAATGCCACAGACACGTACCCATAAATGTCGCAAATTGAGTATTGTTCAAGAGCCCGTGGAACAGCTGCAATGTCTGCCAGTTGCACTTAGTCATCTCTCCAAGTAAATCAAATGCCGACTGAAAACTGCCTTGTGAGCGGTAGGCACCTCCACCAAGAATCTCACTAATCAATGCATGTAGCAATGGTGTGCGTGCTATGAAAAGCTGTTCATTAGGAGCTGCACGCCGTAAAAATGCTTCCACGCAAGATGCCAGCCAGAAACGATAAATTGAGTCCACCGGCTGCTCAATAAGCGCGTGAATGATCTTCGACAATAAACCCTTGTCTGAATGATCAAGGCTGATAGGTGTGGAACCACCATCATTCATCAACTGAACCTCGTGCTCACTGAGCAACAACAGCTTGCTAGTGTTGTCGTTGTAGTCGCGGTCGCAAAAATTGTGAATTAATCGGAGAAATTGAATCTTCAACGATGCGTCCAAGCTGCAGTCACAACCTGGGCCATGCAACGGCTCATGAGCTGGATCAAGTGGCACTGTTGTGGTCCACTGAAACTTGTCAAACATTGTGTTGAGTGTTTTGACAAATCCCATTTCTGCAAGTCGTTCCTGAAAGTCAACCTTGCGTTTGCCATTCAACAAGGTGCAAAGTACGAAAAGCACCTCGACGCGGTACGGAGCCAGCACGACAGACTTCATAATAACCTGAGCCTCAGCGTCCTCCCGCGCACGTTCGTCTGGTGACCGACTACGAAAAATCAGATCTCGCAGGATAGCTGTTTCCACAGAGAACGACTGTTGCGGTGGATACGAAGACGAAGTCGAGTCAGGATCGTCTCCAGCTGCAGCTGTCATAGCAACACCTCTTGCTTCATAATGCCTGTGAAACATTGTAAGGTCTCCTGAAGAGCCAAACGTTGGATGAGTCACAAGACGATCAATCATGTCCCAGTCGCTGCGATCACTTGTCCGATAGAGTAGAGTAGCAAACTCAGCAGAAGTAGCCAGCTCTGACGAAAAAGGCTCGTACACTGGGTTGAGTGCAAAGTATAAATTCTGCACTTGCAATACCCGCAATAATCGCTGCAAAATCAGTGGCGAATTGAAAATAAGCGCATGATTACGGTCCACAATATTGTCAGCACGCATCGCGCGATTGCGGCGGAGTTTCAGCAATTCCAGCGACTTGATAACCTCTACAGACCGTGACAAAAACACATCACATAAGACATTTACAGGTCAATAACTACGCCCACAATATTAAAAAAAAAGTTTCGTCTACGCACTGGCAGTCTCCAAAAGTCGTCGGTCCTCCGGTTCAAACACAACTAGAGCCAATATTCTACAGAAAAATGCCAACTGCCTTGATGAAAGAGACTGCATAATCGCGTGAAAGCTGGCTGCAGCACCATCATAATACCGTAGCATACGTTTTGTCAGTACGCTTTTTTTTAACCAGGTACACACAAACAATTTAGACATTGGTCTGCACTTACGAACGCGACTGAGGTCAAACGATTCTTCCCTCACAGCGAGAACTTCTTCGACGAGCCCAGATGCGTTATCAAAAAATCTAGCGTCGCCCATGAGCTGGAACAGATACACGATCAAGCCGTCCTTGTCACAAAGCTGAATGGCCAAATTAACCGAAAAGTAGCACAGCTCTCTCAAAATGGCCATCGTATCGTTCAGAATGTGTTTTCTTAACGACGCATCGGTCCCATTCTTGCCTGGTGACACAACAATCGGTACAGGCGTCTCCCAGAGCGCTCTTACGTCACTTCGCGGACTCATTCCATGCTTCTGTCGACGCGCTCCATCCAGCACGAGCGTAGACCAAAGCGGTGGCTGCTTTTCTGCGGCCTGAAGCATCATCTGATCTTCCAGACGGAGCGAGTGTAGCACACGCAGCAGACACTCGTCACCACCAATTCGAAGGAATGTCTCACGCTCAGTAGCTACATGTCTTCCTGTAGCTCCATCCATTTGTCCGCGGTCTCCGTCTTCTACGTGGGCTCCATTCGGGTCTAGAAGTCTCTGAATCAATTCCTGCAATAAGAGCCGAAGCTTGCGACGGTCCTGTGTCATACTATCCAGCATAGCGTATACTTCACGTACAAGCATAACAAAGCTTTGTTTATGGCCGTGGAAAGAGCTCTGACGCTCATACTCGCGCGTCTCAGCGGCGTCTAAAGACGAGACAAAGGCAGATGGCAAGTCTGCGACGGTTTGGAGACGTGAGCGTGCGCCTTGTCGTTTCCACTCTATGGTCTGAGTTGCTTGAGCAATTGAATACGGATAGGTGGCTCCATTCACTTGCATACGGCTTAGCATGCCGAACACACGACGGCAAGACGTTTTGCTCTGCTTGTTCGCCATCTTCGTCTGTAAACTTGAGCTTTGCATGTGACTTGTCAAAAGGGAAACCTCGGCAAGGGGAAGGGGTTTCCCTTATGCATCTTGATAGGTTTCCTTATGCAACTGGAAAGGTTTCCTTTGCTTTATTATTATTCATTGGCAACCCATTTGACAAACACTCTTGAATCATGACCGAAGTTGAGCTGCAGGCGCCGCCAAGTGACGGCGTCTCCTGTCTACGTTTTGGCACTCAATCGCATCTTCTGGTTGCATCATGGGATGCAATGTTACGTGTATATGATGGTGCTAGATTGCGCACGAGCATTGAGATGGAGACGCCCGTACTCAGCTGCTGTTATGGCAAAAGCGATGCCGAGGCCTTTGCCGGTGGTCTAGATTGTATTGTGAACCAAATTGACGTGACAACGCGTCAAAAGACAGCGCTTGGGACGCATGATGCTGCTGTGAGACATGTGGGCTACTCGAGGGAGTTTGGACTTGCGGTGAGTGGCGGCTGGGACGGCATGATCAAGGTATTTGACGTCCGGAATGGAGCCAATGCCAAGATTCACGAGGCTAAAGTACCTGGAAAAGTCTTTGGAATGGACGCTTGTAGTCATTTGGTGGCGACTGGGACATCCGAGAGACAAGTGGCGGTGTTTGATCTGAGACAATTGACTCAGCCACTTGTCCAGAAAGAAAGTCCCTTAAAGTATCAGATGCGATGCGTAAGTATCTTTCCTGATCTTACTGGCATTGCTCTAGCATCAGTAGAAGGACGTGTAGCACTTGAGTACTTTGAAGACGACATGGTGACGACGACAGCGGAATCGAGTAAGAAAAAACGTAGTTACGCGTTCAAATGTCATCGTGGTAAAATGGATGGCCAGACACTTATTTATCCCGTCAACTCGATTTCTTTTCATCCGACTTACGGTACGTTTGCTACGGGTGGATGCGATGGAGTTGTGAATTTTTGGGACGGCGCCAACAAAAAGCGCATTACGCATTTGCGCCAATACCCGACGAGTGTCTCGGCGCTGGATTTTAATCATGATGGATCAATACTTGCCATTGCTGCCTCGTACACGTACGAACAGGGCGAGAAAGAGTACGTATTGCCCTAGTGTTGGAATAGCCAAATTTTGTGGTGATTGTTGATTATACAGAGCTGATGATTGATATTTCTATGATGTACTTCTTGCTCAGCCACCCAAACGATGCAATTTTTCTTCACACGGTGCAGGATTCTGAGGTCCGACCTAAGAAGAAGGTTGCGGCTTAGAGGGTGAGATTCAATGTTTGGTAACGATGAAGAAAGAGCTGAAGGAGAAAAAAGTTGTAAGATACCAGAGACTGACATCATCGTCCCCTTCAGCAATTGCACACAGCCTAAGTACGTTTGGAGGAAATATAGCTGCAATGCAGAGTTGAATGGATATTGTGTTGTTGCTCCTTTGTTTTGAAGCTCATGATAAAAATCTGATCGGATACAGGGAGGGCACAGGCGCGACATGCTAAGGAGCAATGCTTGATCGTAAGCACTCGGTAACAAGGCATGCACAAGAGAGCTGTTGCTTGTAGCATGCTAGAGTGCATTTGGCATGTACATCTTCAAGTTACGGGATCAAGCGGCATTTTGTTCTACCTTCTTTGGTTCTTCTCGGTACGTTGATGTTGAGAATGGGTACCTGAATACTGCGCTAGTTCAGGCTAACATGTAGTACTACTTAGTTTGGTTTCATGTATACACGTCGCGATTGCAGCTTAAGTGCATCAAATGATAAGGTACATGCCTCAGACGTAGAGATCCTTTACTGTGACTTGTGTAGGTGATGCGCTTTGGTTATAGTTGTGTCTGCACCGCGTTTCAAAGAGCTGGATCCATTCGTAGTAGGTACATTTAGAAGTCCGCTGCTGAACAATGAATCGGAGTTTGCATCACTGAAAAATGCTAACAAACATTGATGGAGTGGCGTAGATTGAATGGACGCTGCCTTCGCCGTTGGTGCCAATGCAAAACTGGTATATGCTGCGGTCGCTCTTACATGTAATTTTGGAAGCGCTAGTCGTAGAAAACCTGCAAAGGCTGCTGCTGTTGCCTGTAACGTCCCTGCGACTAGAAGTCGGCATTTCCGTCGTGCTATAGCAGATGAATCTGCTTCCACTGATACTACCAAGCTGCTAGTAGTTAGCTAGATAGTCTTTCATGTTGTGTCAGTGAGCCCTGATCAGAGGGAAGAAGATGCAGCGGTCGAAATACTGCTGGTATCGACGAGCTTATCACGCTACCGGATTTATGCCAACACCAGAGTTGTCGCTCGCGGAGAACAGCTCAGCTGCATGCCTCCACACCTTCGATAACAGCGTTGACGTACGTGTAAGTGTTTTCAAGTGGCCAACCTTGCCGCTCAAGCGCAATTGTCCAACGACAAGCTGGGCTACCTCTGCAGAAGAACGCGTGCAACCTAAACTTGATTGCCTCTACCAGTCTGTTGGTAAGAGCGAGTTTGGGCAGCTCAAACTAGCATCACCGTGGGCTCAAATAATGTGCGACAAAGCTAGCTATGGACTGTTACGTTCAACTGTCTTCTTTCTCATTTGCATCTCCAATGTTGCCTCGCTTTGGATTCAAGCACAAGACCGATATCATACTAGATAGTAAGTGAGAACGGCACAATTCAGTCGACATCTGACGACGCATGACCCACGTCCACGTATAACTCTCTGGGTTGCGACAAAATATCCCCGATCATGGCAGAAGTGGTTATTGATCAACGCTTCAAATGGCATCACTGTTGCAAGCAGCAACAGTGCCACCCACGGACAGATTCTGGAAGACTATCACTAATGCAGTGATAGTCTTCCAGATCAAGATGGAAAGAGTTGCTTCATCGATTAATCGAGCAGCACCAGACGCCTGATGAACGTGAATGGGTTTTGTACATTGAAATCGTGATGGCGTACTCGCATGACAACCAGAAAATTGCAAATTGGCACACAACTTCACCCAACCATACTATAATCTCAAGCTGGTCGTCAATCAGAAGCACAAATCGACTACCACGTTATCGCTACAAACCGCGTCACCGCAGCTAGTCATCTACGTGCTCGCCGCAGAATGAAAAAACAGATGCGTCAGTCGGTGCAAGCTCAGAGAAAGGTGACCTTTAAACACTACTGCTTCTACTCTGGTGCGTTGGCACAACATCATACAAGCTCGCTGTCCTATCTACACGGACTCAGGATGAATCCTATAGCACCAGTATCCACTTCTGGTCTACGCAAATTGACATCTCTGGACGGTCAAAGACAATACGCGAAAAGCCTCGTCGGATCTGCTCGTTGTGCTAATGTACGAAACTGTATGTTTAGTTGTGCATTACTAATTCTATTGTCTCATTTCCAACAATCCAGAGCAAATAGTCAGTCCCTCCTACAGTCTCCACTTTATAAATGCTGTTGCTTCCAACGTTGGTGCTATTGGTCTCATCAGCTGCTTGTTCATGGGCTAGACATGCTGCTTGTGAGATTGATGGCACCTTGATTGACCATGGGAGTTATAGGTACTTACTCGGTCGACCGCATCGTCCTGGTAGCATCTACGCTCGATGTTTGTATGGAGCAGCGGTTTGTTTTGAGGACCGTGGACTGGTAGATGCACCAGAATGGATTAATAGTCATGAGGTGGACTGCTTTCAAGCATTAGAGAGAAGACGATTGGGTGTGTCGATTATCTTGGAAGAAGATATCTGGCCTGATCATATTGTTTGGTATCGTATCGTTGGTTCCTTCTCAGACTACGAACTAAAGGTCATTCGCACGGCAGTGGATCTCTACAGCAAAGCCGACATTGATGTGACGCTGCAAGAGTGCAATCCAGTGTCAAAGTGTAAAGGAAAATATGTCAGTATTGAACAGAATGAAGACGCGTGTTACGGTATGGTAGGGTATGTCAACGACGGCAAACCACAGATCATGAACCTTGGCGAAAGCTGCTTTGATGGTGGACCAGGCAATGTTGTGCATGAGATTGGTCACGCTTTGGGGATGTACCATGAGCATATTCACCCGGATAGACAAGTTGTCGTGCTAACGGACCAGAACCTGCCTGTATCGCCTGAAAACTACGCCAAGACGAGTAGTCGTGAAGCGATACTTAGGCCGTATGACTCAAAGTCCATTATGCACTATGGTCGCTCTGCCGGACTATGTTTTCCCAAGGCACAGTACCCGCTCAAATCGTTTTGTGATGTAGAGACTGTCAAAAACTGCGTTCAACCGGTGGAGCAGCACTGCAATTCAAGTCGAGATTCAGAGATTGGAACCCGCGCGGTGCTTAGTGCTGGAGATATTTACACTCTCCGCGCACTCTACGGCTCTATTGATAATGGAACGGCACGGGACGTGAAGATTCCTACCCTGGTTTCACCTACTGCTGCACGTGTTGGAGCCCCAGACTCCATCTCTGACATGATCATGCACAGACCTAAATCAACTACAACTGTTGAAGAGCTCTCATTAGCCGCGCAGCCTTTAAATTACAAACCTGGGGATGTTCACGAAAATGGAAACCGTGAAACGGATGGGTCAGTTGCGGGGGTATTGGAGAGGTGGGAAAATATGGACACTGTGAAGATTCAAACGAAGGCGTTTGTTGCATCACCGGTCAGGTCTCTTGCTGTAAAGCAAACGCTGTATGCTGCAGATCGATTGTTTGTCATCATTATTGTTCAGCTATATTTTTTAATTTAGATGGTGCGTCCGTCGATCGTTCATAGTTATCGCTATCGAGTGTCTGCATTGGATCAAAACTTCTTTGATACCTTCAGACTTTCGTCGACCTTCTTTGATTTGGTTGGCACTGAAGTCCAGTACCTCCTTGGTTGAAAACGTTGCCATCACTTCTCCAGCAGTCTTCTAACTTTCAGATTTGCTTGGAATCTAAGCATCAGACCATTCATCCAAAAGATAATCACTTGAGACGGCATCGCAATCCAGACTTACCAAGCCTTGGTTCACATATTGGGTTGTCTACTTGCACTACAGCGGTCATAAGTAGTGTCGTTTAATTGATCACATCATGTAAGACAAGCATTTGTTCATACCTCACTTGCAACTCACCATATCAGACGAAATGGCTGTTGAAAGTATATATCTGTTTACGCTGGAAATATGAAAATACTGAAGTACTCAACGCCTCAACTCAACGGGGCACATGTAAGCTCACATCTATATCATGATGTGGTATTCATCATGCTAAGCAAAGCCCGGTGATGCACCTACGACACAGAGACGAGTCTCGTTTGTGTGTAAAAGAGGGAATCGCCGATACTTTGTCTCGACAGTGCAGTTCAAACTCTGCTGATCAGATCGGTACATCTAACGCTTACCCGAGTATCTGTCCCTCATGTAGTGCGTCAGCTCTGATGGTTAACAGCCAAACATTCGTGGCCTATCATTCATTCCCAGACTTGCCGAGAAACACCCACCTGCGGTCACTAAGAATGGTCAGCACTCTCGTTGCAGCGACAATGTATACTGCCATCCTGTCCCCTAGCGCCAAGGCCACCAACTTGTTTCTTACTGCTGAAGCGCCAGACTACAACAACGACGTCGTGGGCATCTTGCTAAACAATGTGAGCTCTTTGCGTGCAAATGGAGAGGCTTACGCCGTCTTCGACTGGGACAACACGTGCGTGTTTGGCGACATCTCGTATACGTCGTTCTTCTACCAGGTCGACAATCTGAACTTTCGTTTTGCCCCGGAAGACTTTGAATCCATCTTCTCGCTTGGCTACAACGCTCACAGCAGTGACACCTGCCTTGTGGATGGCACCAACTCGGTGATCGGGTACGACTTGAAAGGCTCAAATGTGACGCTGGCTGCGACTCTTGCTGAGACCGCCAAAGACTACAAGGTGTTGTATGACGCTTACATCGCCCCTACCTACAACCTGGTCAACATTCATTGCAACGACGTAGCAATGAACGTCTCGCTTAGTGATATCAAAGAGACCGTCGAGCACCAAAACTTTCGAGCCAAGATTGCGTTCCTGCTGAATGGTCTTGAGGCTATGGACGGTGATAATGATCACTCGGACTGCGCAATGACCATCGCCATGACGGTGTTCCCACACCTGCTCATTGGAATGAAGACGGAAGAGATCCAGGCGCTCATCCGATCTAGCATCCGTTGGAACCTAAGCGAGGCTCTTGAGACCCTTACGTACACGTCAACGGGCGACTTTGAAGTCGAGGGGTCGTACACCAAGGGTCTGCGCTTCTTTAGCGGTCAGGAGTCCACAATGCGCGCTCTTCGTGCCGCTGGTGTAGACGTTTATATTATCAGCGCATCGCCTGAGCTCTACGCTGCAGAGGCTGGTAAACTCTTTGGATTGGGTAACATGGTCCCAAACGACAATGTATACGGTGTTCGTTTCAAGACTGACGATGCCGGTCTGTTTACGGCTGAGCTTCAGGACAACTACCCCATCACATGGGGTCCCGGTAAAGCGACAATCATTTCCAGCATCCTCCAGCCAATGCACGGAGGTGCTCCTCCTATATACTCCTCGGGTGATTCAGACGGTGATTGCGAAATGCTCAATACCGTTCGCGACGGTGTCATCGATACCATCAATCGTCTAAAGGGCAACTCTTTCTGTATTCACGAATTCTACAAGAAGGCTTGCAAGTATTTTGGCACCAAGGAACCGAGCAAGAACAATATCTACCTACTACAAGGTCAAGACCAGGTGATTGGCACATGGATTACATCTGGATTCAGTACGAAGGATGGTATCACGTACACCTCAGCTGTAACTGCTTACAACGGCTGTGCTCAATACGGGTTTCTCAATTTCTAAAATGCATGCACATGGTGCTTTGCTTTGGTCAATTTCATAGACTAGCGAACACGTGTAAGGTGGTGATGTCTTGTATAGTACAAGAAGAGTGCTGATAGCTGATAAAGGACCTTGGCTAGCAGCATTTTTCTAGTTTGATCACATAGTAATTGACAATTCATCTACTTTTGACATGATGTGTCCATCTGCGGGCTATTCCAGTGGGACAGTGAATAATGAATAGCGCGAGTGTAGTGTCTATGTAAGTACAATTACAGTTTGAGGTTACATTTAATAAGTATCTTTAATAGAAGATAAGCTTCTTTTGTAGCAATGTGAGCTGTAAGTTTGCAGATACTTTAAATTAAGAATAGAGATTTGTAAAAGTATCTATCAATAAAGGTAGAACGGCCGATATTAACTAACCTCTAGTGCGCTATTTCCATGAACAACCTTATTTAAAATCAAATATGTGTCCGTAAATCGATTTATCAACTTACAGTACGTTTATCCTGACTCATTAAAGAACTCTATTGCAGTATTCAGTCGTAACTCATGCTGCAACAGCTACGCCCCACGTTCCGCCGCTCTCGTGCACTTCTCCATACACGCTGCATTTCTTCCAACTTTGACGCTCCTCCATACAAGCTCAGCGTATCAGGCCAGCAAAGTCGAGTAATTTTTGGAGCTAAAGTTGCTGCGACGCAACTTGGCGCGTTATGTCGCACTAGCGGCATGCACAAGGTGCTGGTCGTACGCGACCGCGATGCCACTGCTGCCTCACGCACAAAGTATGCCGAGTATCTGCTGATGCAAGCTGGTATGCCTTGCTTTCAGTATACGCTGGAGAGGGACTGCGCTACGCTTGACGGTGTGGATCACGCGGCTGCCATTGCTCAGCGTGTCGGCGCTGACGGGGTTGTGAGCTTTGGTGGCGGAAATACTATGGACATGGCTCGTGCTGTGGCTGTGGTTCTAGCCAACGGTGGGCGTGCGGCTGACTTTATGGCCATTACAAGCGACGACAGCGAGGATGACAAGCTTGAGTTGCAGCAAGGAAAATTGAAGACCGTGCCACTGTTGCTCGTTCCGACCATTGTCGGGACTGGAGCGGAGGTGGCAAAGCAAACTATGTTGCTGGATGAAGATGCCGAGACAAAGTTGCTCTTTGCGGCAGGAAGGGACATCGTGCCTGAGGTATTTCACAGGGTGGTTTTGACATGGCTACATATGTGACGTGTGAGAAAAACTAAGTGACAATTGATGATAAATTCTAGGCGGTGATTATTGACCCGACATTGATGCTGACGGTGCCGCTGCAGTTGACAGTACAAGGCGCTTTGACGGCTTTGGGTCAGTGTCTTGAGTCTTATTTGTTGGGTGGGGCGGACGACGCTTTGGCACTGGAAGGACTGGAGGCTGTGGCAAAGGCTCTTGCTGCACCGCTTAAAGAAGGAAAGTTGGATCTCGAGGGAGCATTTTTACGTGAGCAGTTTGCACTTGGTAGCTTGCTGTCGGGAATAGCGACTAATTCGTCGGGACCAGGATCAGCACAGGCGCTGGCAATGTCAATGGGTGGTATTTCTGACCTGCCGCACGCTCAGGTGGCAACAGCTTTTTTGCCATTCGTTTTCGATCGGTATAATGAGTTGCTGAGCGAGAATGAAGGTGAACCATTCTTTGGCGAACTGCGTGAAAAGCTGGAGAATGCATTGGACCGACTAACGGTAGCGAGCGGATTCCAGAGCGACAACGTGGCCACGTGGCTGCGGTACGTCATCACACGCTTTGATCTGCCGACCGCTTCTACACTTGAGCTGGAAGAGAGTCTACTGGACGGCCTTGTAGATCGTGCTGCAGAGTATCAGGACGAGTCGATGGAAGTATCTTGTAGCGATGGAAACGGCGCTATCATGGAGAAGAATGACTTGTGCGCCATTATCGATCGTGCTGTGGTAGCGGTTGCGCCCTCAAAGGAGAGCGAAGACAAGTGACTTACATTAAGCTGGAATTTACGAGGGAAATTAGGACTTGTTACTGGCCGGATTAAACCAATGTAGTCGTTGCAACGCTTGCTGTCGTGGAGTCAATCATTACATTCGGAATTCCGGCTATCAAGCAGCGCAAAATTTTGCAAAAAATGTGGAAAGCAGCGTACAAGCCGTGGAATTCGAGTGGCCGCTAAAAATGTCATTGAAAGGAAATCAAGCAAACTCAAGCACATCAATAAAGTCAGCCAGTGAAGATGTCAGACGTTGGACAGGAGGAGACGTAGCAATTGGAAATCCGTGAGTTGTTGACGAATTTGAAGCTGCAATAGTTGGCAGCATGCGCTCTGCTATTTGTATTAGTAACATGTGCATTGCGTTTTAGACTGCAGTCGTTGCCGGCGGAAGAAAGAAACTTGTTTATCAAATGGTAGTGACTTCTGCTTTACGTGACTCGCTTGTCATTGTTAGATGTCTCACGAGATTAGAATATTTGGACTGGATCGCCAGCCAGTGTAGTGGCCGATATGACCGCGACTACGCACTTTGCTGGCATCGCGAGATTGTTTAATCATTCCAATTACAAACAGTAGCAGCATTGCAGCCAGGTAAGCGCACCAAGGCACCGGGATAGCGTACACCCAAGTTCCTCTGTCTCTCCCATGTGAATGGAAACGCTCAATGTCGTCACCGCTTGGATACTTGCCAGCAAAGTATCCAATGCCCCAAATGGCTGTAACGGAGCCCATGAGACTACTAGAGACAATAGCAAACGGTCGTACTAGCAGCAACGCCAACATACCACCCATAAGCACCACGGCACCGTCCAGTACGGTACTCGATTCGTCCGGAAATAGGCGATAGGGAAGCGAAGAGGTGAATGCGTAGGTCAGCATGGAACCCACCAAGAACACACCCAATGGAAAGAATGCGAGCGCAACACAACCTGCGGCGATTCCAACGACGAAACACCCAATCCAGGAAGCTACGAGCACCCATGTCCTTAGTCCAAAAGTATTTTCAAGCGCTGCTGATACCAACAACCCTCCGACGAGAAACCCGCACATGAAGATCATTGCTCGATGCAATCGAAAACCATAGAGGCAAACAACGAGACCCATGATGATCGCAAACTCGGCAACAACACCCGGTTCAATGTGAAGGTGGTCAGGAAAATATTTTGGAGAGCGCATGTAACCACCAGCTGTGAGAGTTCACCGCTGCAATCTTTTTCTTCTTCAAAATCTGGGACGAGATTCAACATCATTCTTGACCGACCTTTGTATCTATGCGAAGGGGTTTGCTGGTTTCACCGATGTTGCAACGTTCAATCACGTGGTCAGTCGACTTGATGAGCTTTTAGAATATCCTGGAATTGATTGCACGATAGTGAAATACGTCAGTGGCGTTCTGAAAGGGGTGACGGAGACAGTATCATTGACTCAACAGTAGAATGCTTCGATCACAAACAAATCTGCATGATCACTCTAATAAGTATGTTGATATCGACAACGCTTGATATGGGTTATCTATCTAGCCCAGCGAAAGAACATATGAACACACTCACGTGCTTTGGCCGCGCTACCCTGTCGGAGGTAAACCAGCATAGAAGCGTTACAACAGTATCGCTTGAAAACAATCTGTCGACACGAAGCTAATGTCTACGGATGGATGTTGTTGCTTCGCAACTGAAACGAATCGTATTGTCGAGTCCCCCAAGCGTTGTAACTCTTGCGTAGCAGCTGTACCACACGATGGGAAATTTCTCGTCGCGAAAGTCCAACGCATAATCGTACACGCAGGTCAGCGATAATACGTGCAACCTTTGTGCCGTGAAAACAAGGAAATGGAGAGTGCTGCCCTGTAGTCTGCAGCATCGCAACAATCTCAGACTGGTATTTTTGAAGAACCACTAAACCCTCAAACAGACAGTTACGGAAGTGCTTGTATCCAAAAGATTCCGTGCCTCCCATTACATCAACCATCTCCTTCGTCAACTTGAACGGGGCATCTTCGACGCTGAACATACCACCAGGTGCAATACCTAGAATAAAGCCGAAATCAATATGAATTACTCGGCCCTCCGAACTCAGCAAGATGTTGCCATTGTGACGATCTTTGAGCAACAGTACGTAGCTCACAATCGAATACGCGGCCATGCTTTCGATGAAGCGGTGCTGCGCAGCAACAAACTCGGGACTGGACGAATCGCCGTATACACTATGAAAGTATTCCAACAAATTTCCACCTGGAAACGTCTTTTTGAGGTGGTCCAATGAACAAGCATCGGTAATCGTTTCGAGTAGACCAATGTTGGCTCCAGTTGCAACAATTCTGTAGGTGCGTAGCCATAAGTGTGGAGCCTCAAACTCAAAGATTGACTTAAGTTTGTGGATAAGCTGCATTGTAAACACCTCCTGACGCAAATCATCGTTTGTCTTGATGATCACAGAAAAAAGGTTCCACCCAGGCAATTTGCCCATTGGCGACTCCTTTTGGATACGCGCCTTGCGTTCCTCCCAACTCTCACCAAACACTTTACTGTCATATACAAAGTTTTCGACGCCCGAATGTCCAGTACGTGCCCCACCACCCATTTTACTACCACGACCCGTGCGGCGCTTGCCATTCACAAAAGCAGATGCTTCTCGTCCGTTCTTAGGTTGATGCATTTGCGGACCTCCATTACAGCCAGGACCACTGGCTTGTTTATCAGTTACCCTCTTGGAGACGTTAGCCGAATGACTGCATGCCTGCTGTGGAACCATATCACCGGGACAGCTCACATACCCAGTCAATGTGCTCGTCGGCGTATGTGTCGCTAGTCTCGAGCTGGTGCACGGGGACATCATGGTATCTCCACTTAACGACACACCTGAGGCTTCAATTTCATCAAAAACTACAGACTCAAAGAAGGTGGAGTTGCGAGGCTGAGAGCTGAACACAAATGGACGAAGACGATCGGCATCATAGGCATCGAGACCAAACGCGTCAGCCCTTTGCACTGGAATGGTCTCGACAAAGATGAGAGTTGGAGCACGCATCTTTGTTGAGAAGACTTTGCCTTCGTGTGGTGGGATGCGCACTACTTGGTATAGCTCATCGGATGCCGCGCTCAGCGGATAAAGAGCCGAGGATTGGAGCGTGTTGTTTAGTATCTCCAACTCGCCAGCCAAGTACTTGCCACGGTCTGATACAGGTTGAATGTGACGCAGCCGCTCACTAATGGCTGCCAGCGACTGTACAAAACTCACTTGCTCAAGAACTAGCGATTCAAGTCCAGTGCCCAGCAAATCGTCCGATAAATTGCTCTTATCTACTTCCAACGAATCGTAAAGTATACTGGATTGGAATTCGCACAACTCGATGCCCGATTCTGCCAACTCTGCAGCACAATTCTCAAACTGTGCTACAGTCTTGGCATTTAACCATCGCTCTATCATGGATTGAGGTTCCAGCGTGATGAGCTTTTCCATGTCGGCATTAATTTGGCGCAGATCAGCCAGGATCTGAGCTAGCTGGTGTTCAGGACAGTCGGCAAATACAAGGTCTTTCCACACGTTAAACATGTGCGAAGTCTCCGGCAACGTAATATCTGGATAGATGAAACCAAGCAGTGCAAGCAATGTGTGTGGGTGGAGATTGTGGCTTTTACCGTCCCCCACAGCGGCTTGGACGTGCCAAATAGTTTGCAGTGCGATGCGAGGGCACCGACGACAAATGGCACGGATGTAGCGCTGCAAATAGAAGAGCTGGGTAGTACAGCGCGGAGCTGGTTCCGCATTCAAGCACTGCACAAGATGCAGCAACTGATACCAGAGGTTCTCAACTCGGTCTACACATGTCTCCGTGTAGAACGGCAGTCGTTCGCACGCCGCTCGGAAGAGATGCGGCTTGTTTCTCGTCTGGTACAGAATTTTGATCGTGCGATTAAACGTCATTGGTCCGTGCTGAAGTTTGGACAATGTCCGTGCAAACCTGTCATCTCCCGGATTCCTCCGCGCATCTTTTCTAGCGACAAGAGCATCCATTGCAATGCCTCGACTAGTCATGGGTCCTAAAAGCCGCTTCATCGTACCCAAATGCCCAATAAACTCTTGTCTCCTTGTACAATGATCACAACATCGTCGAGCTGCTTGTAGTCCAAGATGCTGCAAGCGAATCGCATGACTACAGTGTTTTGCACAAAACGCGCGTGCACATGAACTACACACGACACGACGTACTATAAGTGGACGAAAGCGTACGAAACATTCAGTACATCCTGCATCTCCCAGTGCCATTGATGGTCCGTACGTTAAAGCCGATGGGGCAGATGAAATGCATGTAAAATCATCTGAACGTTGTTGACCTGGAAATGCACATGGCATGGGTAAAGAGGACGATAATGACAAGACGTCGGTTGGTATTCTTTGATCTCCTGGAGCAATCCGACGTCTACTTTCTTCCATTGTTGTCTGTAAAGGAGCAGTATCCATTGAATTCTTGGTACCACATTGTACAGCACGTTTTAAGTGATAGATCCAAAGGTCTCGATCCTGTTCCGTTTCAGCTGAGCATAAGAAAAGCCGTCGAGATGTTGTCCGAATAGCAAATGGATGGAAATACGTCTTGGCAAATGGTCCACGTCCGTCCCATTTTTCCAGATTTTGAACCCAAATTTCACCACGTAATTCCGAATCCGTCTTGGCACAGTCTTGAGTACGATACCATCGTAACCGTGCACCCTGTAGAACAAAATAACGCCATGGACCCATATAAACACTAGAAGAATATCGTTTACGTAAATAACCACCATAGAGTGGAGCTTGTGTTTTTTCAAGTAATGACGATGTTGGAGGTGTATGAGGAGGACATGGAGGATCGAGAAGAGACGACGTTGTTATAGTCGGCATCGTATAGTAAGCACGTTACTTGGAAAGGAATATATATATATATGTGTGTGTCTGATTCCGATAGAAGATAGATCGATAGATGGATGGAATCAGAAGACCAGTCTAACGCTATAACAAAAACGTTGGTGTTGTTTTTCTTCAATACTTGGAATCTGATTCTATGCGAAATAAACGACTTGTGTTGAAAATCACCTTTTTTCTCTCTATAGATTTAACTAGTGGACAAGAAGTTATTGGTTTTGGGAGGTTAATGAATAGATATTCACCCTATTTGGTGCTTCAAATATAGTAGCGTAAACTTTTAACTTGAAAAGGTCCAGAGTCACTGGAAGCCAGTACGAACTTGATGTTTTGAAATTAAGAGAGAGAGAGAGAAAAAGCAAGTGTGGAAAGGACCACTTGTTTATGTCATCATTGCTAAATAAGGGGTGTGGGTATGAAGATCAAGTACTAGTTGTTGTTCAAAGAGAGAACTATTCACCCAGCCCTAGTCAGTGGATAGTCAGACCGAGCGATAGACGTTTGCCATATACAATCGTTCATGTTTGATCCAAAAGATTCGGCACTTGTCTGTTCTGTTCTAAAATAGAATGTATGCTCGATCTTAAAGCTTCTATTTTGTGTTATGTTTGATACCGAAAGGAATGATTCTGTACTAGAATGTACAATAACAGCTCTTGAAAGATACAGAGCACCCTTCACTATGTCATCGAATGTTTTCGAGAACTATCACCATCAAAGTGATTTTCGACTTCCATGATCCTTCTGCGCTGCTGATTGCCATCTAGAGCTCAATAAGCGTAAGTAGCTAAAATCAACGACCGATATCTGATCGCTATATATTAAAGTGCTCAATGGCCTTGTGAACTATTTCAAATCATTTTCCAAGATAAGCTACGATAAACACGTAAGTTAGAATAAGCACAGGTGAGGCTCGTCTCAAGTGGACCTCACAAGGGACCAATGAATCGAAGTATCTTTCTAATGCAAGAGAAGCATCAATCTAGATAGCTCAGACATAGAAACAGTTATGGTTTACAGCTGCAAAAACACATGCAGTAAATGTCATTGGACCACGTAGCATAGATTAGAAAGAACACGCAAAGCAATGCGTCATTACAAGTCAAAATATGCAGCGGGGTGCTATATTTGAGCCAAAAGCGGCGTTCAATCCTTCAAAGGAGGAGAAAGTACCGAGTGAGATGATTGAAGCGGCTGTGCTTTTGCTGGAGAGATCTTTCGATTAGGTACACCGCGTTACATAAAGCCTTTTGTCAGATACTGAAAGGGTTTCTATACAGCTTTCCAAGTAGTAGCACTGTTGTGGCCAGCTATGTATAACAACTTATATTTACGCATGCGTCCAGACAGCTTGCGGACATGCGCCTTGTGCGCCTCACAACCATCTATTCCGTCCAGAATCCTGCTATGAACACAGTCGTTCGGTGGAGTCGCGCATGAGGGACACAATGTGCAGACATAGAGGTGACGTCGCAGGGTAACTGTAGGATCCGTGCATAACCAAAGCGCACGCTTAAGTCGCGAGAGAACTGTTGTTCTCACGCAATAGAATCTGTCATTTCAATCTAAACGAATTGAAAATGGTCCTTGAGACATCGACTTGCATATACGGTATCGCTATTTTTGCCGGATCGTTGTTTCAGGCATGAAAGTGAAGACGGACTGTACTATACGTGTCGACACCGTGCCATGCTTTCGTTCATCTCCTTTCTATCCTAGAATGCATCTTGCTTGGCGGCATTAGATGCGAGACCTTTCAGTAAAGGAAATGCTTGAATGACGATCGACTTGAAGGAAGCAGTATAGCACTTGCCATACGTATTTGATCCTATTTCTAGTCGCTCGTTATATACACGATGTACTTCTACAAATTCGGTTTTAAAGGTCATTGTTAAACAAAGACAACATGCTCAAGGTATGAACAATTCGTAACCTTTCACACAAAGGCTCTTAACGCAACAATTATAACAACTAGGCTATTCTGCCTATAACAATAAAACGTAACTAGTGACGAGCCTTGCACTTCGATACCGGATGAGATGGAGAGCTCGCAGAGACAGTAGATTCAGTAAAATTTGAGGAATCATGCTTTGAATCTTGACCTGAGACGGATGTCGTCATTATGTGAGATGTGGACTCGGTCTGAGTGTGTGTCACACTACCCTGCTCTGCGTTTTGGACTTGCGAGCTGCCACCCAAGCCAGGCTGCGCCGATTGGGTCTGTGGAGGTTGAGTCGGTTGGGGCGCTTCATTGTGCTGGGGCTGTGGAGGTTGAGTCGGTTGGGGCGCCTCAATATGCTTAGGCTGTGGAGGTTGAGTCGGCTGGGGCGCCTCAATATGCTTAGGCTGTGGAGGTTGAGTCGGCTGGGGCGCCTCAATATGCTTAGGCTGTGGAGGTTGAGTCGGCTGGGGCGCCTCAATATGCTTAGGCTGTGGAGGTTGAGTCGGTTGGGGCGCCTCAATATGCTTAGGCTGTGGAGGTTGAGTCGGCTGGGGCGCCTCAATATGCTTAGGCTGTGGAGGTTGAGTCGGCTGGGGCGCCTCAATATGCTTAGGCTGTGGAGGTTGAGTTGGCTGGGGCGCCTCATTATGCTTAGGCTGTGGAGGTTGAGTTGGCTGGGGCGCCTCGTTGTTAGAATCTTGTGCTGGCTGCTCATTGTTCGATTGACCCGGAGTCCAATATTGCGATTGATCTGCAGGCTGCGTCGATGTCGGTGGTGTGGCCGCTGGATTTGCCTGGTGTGTGTCCGGCGATTGTGAAGCACCACTTGACTTCTCCCCCTCATTTTTAGATTTATTATCATCCGGAGCTGGCGTGCTTTTTGGAGTCGGCTTTGGCGGATCGGTCGTCTTTTGAGTTTTAGTCGACTCGTCATTACCATAAGGCTCACTACTCGCCGCTGGATCTTCTAAGGGGTTATTCGGTGCTGAGATCCCTTCTGTGCTGTCGCCTTTCGTGGCCACGGGATCGTCTTGGGTCTGGGCCGTCGTCGGTGCGCTTGTAGCATTAGAGTTGGTGGAAGTAAATCCTTTCTTAATAGTCGTTTTCAACATGTCGCCTGAGGGTATGACAACCGCTCCATTCTCGATACCAGCAATTTTCTTTAATTCAGGAGACATCGTTACGGGTTCTGTCGGTACGGATTCCGTTTGTGATACATCCGTGGCAGCAGCAATTGACTCTCCGAGAGTTTCAGTGGTCTGAAAATTGTAAATTTTGTGTTGGTTAGTGTCGTAGTTCATGTACGATTCTTCTCGGTGTCCGCTAACGCACGCTGATGAAAACAATAAGGCCACGCACGCTACCAACGGAGCGAGACCCACCTTCATTTGAATTTCTCGCACGTTAGACGTTCTCGAAAAACTAAACGAGCGTGCCGAAGAGCGAGTTTTTTTCTTGTTATGAGCAGGGATTTTTTCGCTGAAACGCCTCGTACGATCGTTTTGGCATCGCAGCGTGATACATAGTTTGACAATGCTTTGCTTTCGGATTTGCATCATTCGTGACTTACCTCCAGGGTTTATGTTGGCGAACGAACACACTCAGGGTTATCCTTATGCTTTCGCACAACGTTCTTCTTTTGTCCAAAGCCACTATCTACTGCACTACATATGTTCAGTTTTCGTGTTCGTCTGCTCAAGAACTCATGAAGAGGACAAGGAATGTACAGCTCGGATAGCCGCTCTAGACCTCAAAATTATTGATTTGTGTCGAATGGACACATTCAGTCCTGGTGCCAGACCACTATGGCGTATCGTATCCTACTTCATTCATCTTGCTCCTACCTCCTTCCTACTTGCATTTGTCAGCGCCTCCTTATATTTCCTTATGTATAATTGGCGGCTAGCAATCATCAAGTTTTGTCGGCGCCTGTCATAGCAAGATAAGGAAAGGGATTGTCATACAAACGGTCAAGAACAGCAAGCAGTGCATACCCAAAGAGAGCATAGAATGAACCCTGGCCATTCACTAATTGTATAACTTCCGTTAGCACGAATGCAATTCACCATAACACTCTGCTGCTGTTTAGGTAAGTGGATGCATTTCAAGCTTGCCGTAGCATTGAATCTTAGCAATGTAGAATGATCTTCTTTGTCTGAGTAAATGCGTTTCCTCCATTTGTCACTTGGTTTGGTCTACCCGCTTTCAAGTCAGTACTACACATCTCGTCATTCCACGTAAGAACAGGCCTACAGAAGTTTACAGACTCATAAGTATTTCCAAAGCTTAGTGAAGACATTACGCATCACTGGCCAAGAACGACTCAAATGTTTCAACCTATAGCTCGCTCGCTCGCTTGCTCAGCTCTGGAGTGCAATTACATCAAGTACATGCTCTTTTTGTGTAAGTTCTGTTCTATTGAACAAACATATGAACAATCAATATGGAATGTAGATAAAGGTCGTTAGATTGCTTAGCACATGTAAGAAAGAACAAGTAAAAAATCAATGCAGCGTTGGCGGTAAGACACGTGCAAACAATCTACACATTGTAGCAGAGCACACTACGGTACATACTTGAGTAACCTCTCAAGAATACGTAACACTTTACATTAGGTTGTAACGCAGAAACAACAGACTCGTATGTAAAAACCGTCCCCAATGCTTTTTTCCATCGTGCCTTCGCCCTGTGTTCTTTTTCTTGTTGCATCCAATCAGTTACATTCTATACAAAAAGTATAGGAATTGTTGCGTCGAAACCCAACGTCTGTCGTAAGGTAGCAGGTGTCTTGTTGCACATATAACATCAAAGCCTTGACCGCCATCTCAAACAAAACGTAAGATTAGTGTGACGAGGTGATACTAAGTTGGCTGTTATGTTTTAAATTAACAATATTCGACAAAAGTGACCTTCTGAAGAAATATTACGTTAATTGACGTGCGCAATGGGTTTCATTTATGTAATAAAACATCATTAAAGTAGTACATAGAACTTAGGGTTTGCTTGCATCTTCTTGGGAAGGTTCAGCGTGTAGGCTAAGCCTTTCTTGCATTGAACTTGAAAGGGCCAATAAAGCTTGGACGTCGTTTGGTTTTATATACCGCAGATACTCCACGAGTAGGTAAAAATTCCTGGCGTTTGGTATAAAAATTTCCCACCTTGAACTCGTGTTCGTTCTTGTTACCTTTGGCATCTTCTTGCTCCTTTTGAACATCCTAGCTTTCAGCCAATCGTCTTTGACGCGACCTAATACGTCAAAACGCGTTGAGTAAAACGCTTTCACCTTCTTGTGAATCGCAAAAGGGCTGATATCAGCCAAGCCTCACGCTATCTCTCCCCCACTAAGCCCTGATGTGGCAGGGGGGCTAAAACGGAGTGAGGCATGTTGAGGCATGCACAGCGTTCTTCAATGCAAACTCGATGAGTGGGACATCGTGCTCCATTGCTTGGGTGTTTCAGCACAAACACTGCGAAGCATATCACAAATAATGGGATTTACGCGTTTGGTCTGACCATCAGTCTGCGGATAATCCGCCGTGGACATGTTCCGTCGAGTATCGAGCACTTTAAAGACCAACGTCCAAAACTTACCCGTAAAATGGGAGTCTATATCCGAGACGATTGCCACAGGCAATCCGTGTTGTCTAAACACACGATCCATGAACAGATTTGCTGTTCCTTCTCTATCAATAGAGTCCGCCACTGCCACTCGGTTATTAAAGATCACAATTTCGGTGTTGCATGCCTCATCACGCAGTAGGACATAAACAAACTTCATACTAATGGACTACTACAGCCTAGAGGGTACAGGCAACTTGCCAAAGGTGCAGCCATACGAGGTTAGAATTTCGACCGTTGTCACGTTTCACAAGTGCGTAGATACGTACCAACCCATTTATACAGCTTAGGCCACCAATATTCCACATTTTGATAAGGAGATTAGACAAAGGCCTAGCCACTTCTGCATGGTTGTGAATATAATTATGAAGTAATTTGCCAGCCCTAACCACTTGCAGAGGTCCTTTTGGTTCCGTGGAACCGGCCAATCCACCATGGCTTTGACCTTGGCAGGGGCTGCCCGCATTCCGCGCTTCCAATGAGCATCCCAAAAAAGTAATCTCTTCCGCACCGAAGATGCATTTGTCAATATTGGCATACAACTTATGCATCCTCATGCAACCGAGCATAGCTCGCAAGGTGTTCGATGTGATTCTCCACATCAATCTTGACGTTTTTGGTTCGACTATGGACGAATATATCGTCAAAGTATGTCTGTGCATACACCCTATGGGGCCGAAACAACTGCGTCACTAGACGATTAAACGTTGCAGGTGCGTTAGATAGCCCTTGGGGCATCACTAACCACTCCCAAAGCATACCGCTCGGAGTACTGACCGCTGTCAGCGGGATATCACTAGCTCGCATGAGCCCTTGGTATATCCATCGACTAAGTGAGGGCACTGTAATCGTACATCCCACCATATTGTTCTGAAGAACATCCTTGCGAGGAATCGGTGTTTAAGCCGAGATAGTGGCTGCATTCAGCTTATTGTAAGCATTACCTATTCGCCACAATCCATTAGGCTTTCTTACACAAAACGTGGGCGTAGAGTGAGGAGACTTACTCTCACGCACCATGCCAGCCGCGGTCTTTGCACGAAAGAGCTCGCCAATGACGTCACATTGTCTTTGTGACAGCGTCCACTGTCGCTTCACGCAGTATTTGGCTCCTGAAACCAAATCAATCTCATGGCGTACACCTCTATCCGGAGGTAACCTCGTAGGAGGTTCTTTAAAGACAACATCTCTATATTTCTTCAACAAAGGCATGTGTGCCCCCATGGAATGCAGTCAAGTGAAAGAAAAAGCTGATATTCAAATTGTGCGCAGATGCTATATCTGCAGCAGCACAGACTATTCGACAGGAAAAAACCCTGCAAGAAAGGCATATTTGGCCTCGAAGGGCGACGCTCCATGGGTAAACCCTCAGGATTGCCGCAGAAAAACGGCGGGGCCCAGTCCCAACTGAGGAAGAACTGAGTTCTGTTGGACCTCTAGAAGGTAGAAGTGAGCAGGGCCGAGCCCAATAAAAAGACCTGAACTCTCAAGAGCGTAATGAGAATGCAAGCCAGGCTTGCTGGTCGTCAAAGGGACGGTTAAGGGCTACGATAAGCCATGGATTATTTTAATCGATTCGCAGGCATCGGGCAATTATGCCCGCCTTAACACCGCGAAAGGTAGTCAGCAGTATGCTGAAGCGCTTGTAGCGCGTGAAAGTGACACAGTCACAGTTTACTTAGCGACAGGTACGTGCGTTACGGTACCAAAGTCCCGATGGACTTAAATGCAAAGTTCTTGGACTTTAACAGCATGGAACGCTGTTTGGCCTTAGACCTGGATGCGAGGTATGATCTCACTCTAGGCATGGCATGGCTTGAACGCCATGAGAAATGGATTGATTGGAGATCAAAGGCGCAACGCGTATTGCTCCTGGTCGTCAATATGCTATTTTGGGTTATCCGGCTTTGTAGACACTGTGAGAGTCGAGGACAATAGTCACGGGCGAGGCTCTAGGGCTGTCGGTAGTGTGGTTGAGAACCCACATATGACATGTGTCATGAGAATAATGCTGCATCATTACACACCATGAGTGGTGTGCGTGGCTGCGAGCCGAGATGTCAGGCCAAGAGTCCAAGTGGCATGAGGGATGGGGTACTGACCCTGGAGGGTCGGTAAAGTCACCAATGGATGCTGTCTTTAAGGAAAACGAGGTAAAAAAGTACCTAGTGACATGGTACTGGCCCAAGAGGGTCAGGTAAAGTCAATAGTGACTGACGGTTGTTTTTGATGACAATGAGGGACGAGCACCTTAAGACGAGGCATTGACCCAAGAGGGTGGGGTGCAGTCATTGGACGGAGTGGTCTTGGACCTTCAGGTGATGACATCTGTGGACGCTGTTGCGTCGAATGCTGAGATCATCTAGATTAGCGATGATAACATATCGAATGACGGTTGTAGCGAACAGATATATACATTTTTCAATGGCTGGACTGGAGATGTCGAAGAGCCAGTAACCCTTTCAACTATACCCACAGTAAGCTCTGTTAGAGCTGAACGACATGTCCTTTGACTAGTTTGGCAGTGCCTTACAGGCAGACGACATCGCCGAGTCGTTCGTTGTACAACTTGAGGAGGAGTCGAACTCCTCATCGTTTTTGAATAAAGCAGTTCTTAAAGATACCAAGAAGACACTGGATGCGCGAAGTGAATCACAGATTCTACGGGACCCATCGGACCCTGACTTATCAGACGAGTAGTTACAAGTGCAGGCCTAGCGGGCTAGATGTTGGTCTTAGCATTCCATACCACTTCAACTGCTTCCTTAAATGAGGATGGGTTTACTCGTTGGACTTCCGTTCTGGCAACGTTAACTTAAAGGTTTTCCATAAAGACAGTGACGGTCATTGCCTTAGAAAGAGGGTCCATAACCAAGGCGGCAATGAGAGTCCTCAACTCTTGCAAATATGCCGCAAGCTCACGTTTGACTTCAAAGCACGCCAATAATTGCGACCGATGCGGTGCGCTTGAATCGGCGGTGCATACTGCCGGGTCATCTGATCCTTCATATCGGCCCATATTGGGAATGCATCTTGCAGTGAGACCGATGTGAATGTCCATTGCTTGGCTAGATCTCCTTACTTACTCGTGGCAAAACCAATACGGTACGGTTAGTAGGTGATGTCGGCTATAAACACAGCCGGCTTAACCTGCCAAAATCAGATCAGGGCTATCACCTTCTTTGTCGTCGAGCTTATCGACTTCCATATGTATGGGGTTGGTCTGCGGACCATTTTTCGTGCCATAGTCGCCATAAGCGAAGGCGCAGAAGAAGGCATCTGTGTCTTTACATGCTCGACTAGAGCGTTGTTATACTCTTCAAACATACAAATACGCTAGATAACCTCGTATTCGCCATGGACGATGAGGTATTCCACGCCCTTAGGGCCAAGATAGAAGCAAGTTTTGCAACCTTTCCTGTTGTGCCTGTAACAGCCAACCACGGACAGTCCTTCGATGTCCATTCTGACAGAGAAGTATTCATAGATCCATGTGCGGATTTGACTACAAAATCTACCAGGTGTAGCAAAGTTACCATAGCAAAGCTACTTCTGCACTAAGTGCAGAAGAAGACAAGCTCCACGAGCTATATGTCTTAGGTTTTTTTAATCTTCCTAAGGCTAGCTTTGCAAGCTTGTGCCTTTTGATTGTAAACAACCCACGTTTCTGCAAAACCAGTATCAACAGAGACTACTCTTTATTAAGGAATGGGCTTTAGCAACAAATGCTATACAGAGCTGGTTGCGTAAACTGATTTATTTATATGTTTATATTGTAGCACTAATATAGAAATACCTACTTCATACTTAGAGCTAGTTCATTATACTTAACTGGCTTTGTAGCCTTCCTACTTATGTATCTATAGTACTTAACTAAGTACTATGGCTACATGGCTTCCTGCCAGCGATGTGAACCCATTGTATTGTAGGTACGGTAACATCAGAGAGGTGTGAGCTCCAAATGTACAAAGGCACAAAGACATGGTGTGGTGTGTATGTAAATTACACACCTTTCATGTAACCCCATTACAGTAAGGTATCCAATAAAAAGCAGCGATAACGATTAAAAATTCAGCTTGAACCGTTGTACCTGGAGACTGGCCACAAAGCAAGAAGCGCAACTAAACGCGCAAGTGATTAAGTTTGGCTGTTTGTGTTTGCAAATGGACACGCATTGAGCACATTTCTCTCGACGTTAACACGAGTAAATTCCCAGACAATAAAACATTCATAAACAACATATATTACGACTACTACTCTTCGCATATGCAACAACAACAACAATATTTCGCAAAATACTTCGGAGCGTGCATCTTTCAATCACTCGTTCACGAGGATGTCGCGCTCGAAGTACGGGCCAACTGACCAATGCAAATACACGAGCTGGTCACGGCTGTCAGAAACCAATTCCAGCGACTTGGTGATTGGATCCTCGCTTTTCGTGCTCGGACTAGAATCATGCTGGAAGCGATGTCCATCAATTCGTCAGCTTAGTCCGCGGATTCGTCATCATAGCCTGTGGGAACTTCGGCGTAGTCCGCCGGTTCGTCGTCCTTCGGGACCTTGGCGTCGTCCATGGCTTCGTCGGCGAGGTCCTGTTGGTCCACTTGGTTAACACCAGTCAATTGCTTCGAGTCACTGAGGTATCGAAGTCGATCCCGTTTCTAAAGCCTTCGACTCCAAAGCGTATACCGGTTCGTCAACATTGTCCATCGGAGCCTTGGCGTTATCCCTCTTTTCTTTGGTGACGTTCTGCGACTTCGTTGGGCTATAATCATTGCCTAAATCCAATTGCTCGGAGTCGCTGGTTTCTGCGGTCGAGTCCGTTTCTGTGGTCGTCGCGTCCAAAACGTTCGCTGGTTCATAGGCAGTCCGACTGGGCCTCGTCGTCGTCCATCTGTCTTTCGGCGTTATCCCCACTTCTTCGGTGACGTTCTGCGGCTTCGTTGGGCTATAATCATTGTCTAGACCCAATTTCTCTGAGTTGCTAGTTTCCTTTGTCGAACCCGTATCTGAACCCGTTGCCTCCGAAGTGTCTACTGATTCGTCAGCGTAGTCTTTCGTGACACTCCTTCCGGATTGCGGCGTTGTCCTTAGATTTTTTGGTGACGTTTATTTTCTGCGGCTTCATATAGCTTGAAGTTGATTGCTCGGAGTCGCCGGTTTCAGTGGTCAAACCCATTTTTTGAACCCGTCGCCTCCAAACCGTCTGCCGGCTCGTCACCATCGTCCATCAAAACATCAGCTTTGTCCGTCGCTTCGTCAGTGATGTTCTGCGGCTTCACATAACTATTATCAGTGCTCGAAGCCGATTGCTCGGAGTCGCTGTATTCCGTGGTCGAACCCGTTCCTGAAGTTATTGTCTCCGAAGAATTTGTAGATGAGTTAGGAGGGTCTTGTGGTGAAGACGACGTGCTAACCGACCGCGCATCACTCATTTTGTCAGATTGGGCCACTTCCGAATACGGACCGCTAGTCGATGGGATACTCTGTTCCGTCTGAGGACTTTTGTTGTTGATGTGAATGTCGCTCTCCGAGTAGTCGCACAGCGTACCCGACGGGCCATTGCCCAAAATTGCTGGATTTTTGCTTCCTTGTGACCACCGACACACCTTCACGTCGTCCTTACCATTGGTTGTCTTGACATGGATGTTTTTCAAAGTGGCCTGGTCGCCGTAGTTCTTGTTCACCGTCACAATAACTTTGGGATCAACAGCGTACACGTCTTCCACCGTCACCGTGCGAGGAATGTCACCGCACGTGCCACAGGAGCGGTATAGCTGGCCAAACTCCTGTGCAAAAAAGCCTTTGATCTTGACGGTGCCGTAGCCGTTGTGCTGCACCACCTTGTCCTCGGCGTAACGCGCGCCGCAGTTGGTGATGGTGGACACGCTGGACGGCGAGCCACCCTTGATGCTTAACGCGTCCTCGCACACGTCGTCCCACCATACATTCTCAATAGTGCAGTCGCTCTTGCTGCAGTGCACACCCTCCTTCTGGTGCTTGCCGATGATGGCGTTTTTGAGGGTGCCACCGGCCTCGACGAGAAACACGGCCGAGTCCTTCTGACCCTCACCACCCGTGCACGAGATATCGGAGCGATCAAACGTCTGCATCTTGCCGTCAAAGACTTCGCCGGCCTTGATGATGTACGGCTCCGTGTACTTGACCTTTCCCGTGCTGGTTGGCCATTTGCCGTTGGGCCGGTAAGCGGCGTTTGCAGCCACCATGAGGAGAGCCGCCGACGCCGCGAATGACACAGATGACTTGACCATTGCAGCAAGCGACAGAAAACTTGGTTTGACTGCTGATCACTTGCTATGCTGATAGAAAGTTGGTTAATGAGGAGTGGGTGCTAGTGCGACGACAAAACGTTCGTACGTGGGTTAATCGGTATGCGGAATGATTTAAAGCGGTCGATCAGGGAGTCGTGTCGTGCTGTGTTTGACACCACGGATAGTATGATGGGATATTGGACTAGGTTTACCGTTTGGCTGGCGAAGAAAAAAGATCGGACGTGCCAGCAAAACGCCAAAACCTAGTCGACCTGCTGTTGAACTGCTGTCGGGTTTGTGGTGAGCTTGGTTGTAAACACACTTTCCTCCTTTGTATTTGCTGGTTTTACAGTCCCTCCGGTCTCAACAAAGAAACACTGCCGTGTCCTACATACCCTCATCATCCGAGCATGTGATGTCGGAGAACAAGAATGTCGTCACCGTGCTGATATCGTTTATGCAGCCTTGATCGTGGGCGAAAACAACTACTGCATGATTCCTGTGCGGGATAGCTATGTGCTGGTTGGGATGCTGAACGGCAGATAAGTGATACCTGTGGCTGCGAGAAGGGCAATTGTAATGGCTAGTTTAGTGTATGGTTCTCACGTATATATTATTGAACAGCTGGAGCACATAAGTCGACTGGTGTTCACCATTGGTTTATCTTACAACAGCTCAGGCAGCATGCTTTGCCATTGTGCTCTGGCAATCAGCCGCAGCTAGCTTTACTATATACATTCGTACATACTCAGATGTCCTCCATGTGCCGCTGGTAGCTTCATACAAGAGTAGATAGACACGTGGCTTTTTCGGCTCCGCTTTTTCTACTCGCTTTTGCGTCTAGTAGTGGTGCTACGGCTGCTTTGCGAGCTTGGTCATCATTCCGTGACGATAAAGAATATTCAGATGTAATGATTATGATTTTCCAGCTGATGAATCAATTGGTAAACACGTACATTGAAAAAGACGCTACATCTGCCAAATGGCTGCTACGCATTCCCCTTTACTATGAAAGTTTGACTGAACGACCGACTAACTTATACTCAGAGTAAGCACTCTTGTGTTTGGGTCTGGAGTTGCTGGTCTATCCTGAATTTATATCACGTGCACATTTTACATCAAACAAATTTGTCAAGATGTATTCTTAGCTGTTTTGCTAATCGCATTAGCCACCAAGATTGTTTGATGGACGACGAGTGTTGCCTTCTTTCACACCATCCAGACCAGCCTCGTGGATATCAACGCCAGCGAAACAACGCCGAGCTATTTTGACAATAATCGTCTTTTGTCTTCTCGTCTCCTTATGCATACAGCACTACGCTAACCTCCATTGCTTTAAGCGGCTCGTCACTGACGACGAACGATGGCTCAAGCAGTTGATCAGTTTGCGTTATTATTGCGTGGCCGAGCAGAATATCTTTGAGGACGCACGTGAGGTAGGTGTCGAGCGCACCCTAAAGTAACTCATCATTGAAAAATCTATGCAGCACCTAGCGAGAAGAGTTAGCGCTTTGGTTTGGAATTTCTCTCTCTCAGGATGGATGCAAAGCTCTTTGCGGTGCGATACTTTCTGAAGTGCTGCAACACAACAACCATCAGATAAAAACAAACGACGGGTTTGCGTATGATGTTAACAGATGCAATTGTTTGCCAAGACCGAACCGCAGTTGAAAAGAATTTGACTGCCCACCGAACCTACCACTTTGTGCCAGCAGTGCTAAAATACGACGGCGAATGCTGTTCAGCACCGACTGGACTGGCATAAAGTGTTGGGCGTGCATCAAGTACGAGCAAATTCTTACATGTTCGAAACGTTGGGGTAGTCACGGATGGCAAAACGCCAATCCCGCCACGGCTCATAGCATTCACTATTGAAAGGAGCATATGATAGATCGTTACGGAATTAACAGCAGTAAATATACGCTGAAATAGAACCCGTCTCCAACCCGACAGCAGTTCAACAGCAGGTCGACTAGGTTTTGGCGTTTTGCTGGCACGTCCGATCTTTTTTCTTCGCCAGCCAAACGGTAAACCTAGTCCAATATCCCATCAGGTACTATCCGTGGTGTCAAACACAGCACGACACGACTCCCTGATCGACCGCTTTAAATCATTCCGCATACCGATTAACCCACGTACGAACGTTTTGTCGTCGCACTAGCACCCACTCCTCATTAACCAACTTTCTATCAGCATAGCAAGTGATCAGCAGTCAAACCAAGTTTTCTGTCGCTTGCTGCAATGGTCAAGTCATCTGTGTCATTCGCGGCGTCGGCGGCTCTCCTCATGGTGGCTGCAAACGCCGCTTACCGGCCCAACGGCAAATGGCCAACCAGCACGGGAAAGGTCAAGTACACGGAGCCGTACATCATCAAGGCCGGCGAAGTCTTTGACGGCAAGATGCAGACGTTTGATCGCTCCGATATCTCGTGCACGGGTGGTGAGGGTCAGAAGGACTCGGCCGTGTTTCTCGTCGAGGCCGGTGGCACCCTCAAAAACGCCATCATCGGCAAGCACCAGAAGGAGGGTGTGCACTGCAGCAAGAGCGACTGCACTATTGAGAATGTATGGTGGGACGACGTGTGCGAGGACGCGTTAAGCATCAAGGGTGGCTCGCCGTCCAGCGTGTCCACCATCACCAACTGCGGCGCGCGTTACGCCGAGGACAAGGTGGTGCAGCACAACGGCTATGGCACCGTCAAGATCAAAGGCTTTTTTGCACAGGAGTTTGGCCAGCTATACCGCTCCTGTGGCACGTGCGGTGACATTCCTCGCACGGTGACGGTGGAAGACGTGTACGCTGTTGATCCCAAAGTTATTGTGACGGTGAACAAGAACTACGGCGACCAGGCCACTTTGAAAAACATCCATGTCAAGACAACCAATGGTAAGGACGACGTGAAGGTGTGTCGGTGGTCACAAGGAAGCAAAAATCCAGCAATTTTGGGCAATGGCCCGTCGGGTACGCTGTGCGACTACTCGGAGAGCGACATTCACATCAACAACAAAAGTCCTCAGACGGAACAGAGTATCCCATCGACTAGCGGTCCGTATTCGGAAGTGGCCCAATCTGAAAAAATGAGTGATGCGCCGTCGGTTAGCACGTCGTCTTCACCACAAGACCCTCCTAACTCATCTACAAATTCTTCGGAGACAATAACTTCAGGAACGGGTTCGACCACGGAATACAGCGACTCCGAGCAATCGGCTTCGAGCACTGATAATAGTTATGTGAAGCCGCAGAACATCACTGACGATGCGACGGACAAAGCTGATGTTTTGATGGACGATGGTGACGAGCCGGCAGACGGTTTGGAGGCGACGGGTTCAAAAATGGGTTTGACCACTGAAACCGGCGACTCCGAGCAATCAACTTCAAGCTATATGAAGCCGCAGAAAATAAACGTCACCAAAAAATCGAAGGACAACGCCGCAATCCGGAAGGAGGATGTGGTCACGAAAGACTACGCTGACGAATCAGTAGACACTTTGGAGGCAACGGGTTCAGATACGGGTTCGACAAAGGAAACTAGCAACTCAGAGAAATTGGGTCTAGACAATGATTATAGCCCAACGAAGGAGAAGTACCGAAGAAGTGGGGGATAACGCCGAAAGACAGATGGACGAGACGAGGCCAGTCGGACTGCGCTGATGAACCAGCGAACGTTTTGGACGCGACGACCACAGAAACGGACTCGACCGCAGAAACCAGGATCGAATTGGTTTAGGCAATGATTATAGCCCAACGAAGTCGCAGAACGTCACCAAAGAAAAGAGGGATAACGCCAAGGCTCCGATGGACAATGTTGACGAACCGGTATACGCTTTGGAGTCGAAGGCTTTAGAAACGGGATCGACTTCGAACCTCAGTGACTCGAAGCAATTGACTGGTGTTAACCAAGTGGACCAACAGGACCTCGCCGACGAAGCCATGGACGACGCCAAGGTCCCGAAGGACGACGAACCGGCGGACTACGCCGAAGTTCCCACAGGCTATGATGACGAATCCGACGGACTAAGCTGACGAATTGATGGACATCGCTTCCAGCATGATTCTAGTCCGAGCACGAAAAGCGAGGATCCAATCACCAAGTCGCTGGAATCGGTTTCTGACAGCACGTGACCAGCTCGTGTATTTGCCTTGGTCAGTTGGCCCGTACTTCGAGCGCGACATCCTCGTGAACGAGTGATTGAAAGATGCACGCTCCAAAGTATTTTGCGAAATATTGTTGTTGTTGTTGCATATGCGAAGAGTAGTAGTCGTAATATATGTTGTTTATGAATGTTCAGTTGTCTGGGAATTTACTCGTGTTAACTTCGAGAGAAATGTGCTCAATGCGTGTCCATTTGCAAACACAAACAGCCAAACTTAATCACTTGCGCGTTTAGTTGCGCTTCTTGCTTTGTGGCCAGTCTCCAGGTACAACGGTTCAAGCTGAATAATCGTCGTATTTGGATTATCGTTAGTTGGGCCGTTGTAGCACTCCGTTTTCCGTCAATGCAGTTCTGAACCTAAAAGGTTTGCAAAGACTGCAGTTATATTTTGCAGCTGAAAGTCCATAGCCAAAGTAAAAAGCGTCGAAACTATGTGAAATAAAAAATGTTGCAAGACATACACAAGCAACAGAATAGTTAGTGTATGTCGCAAAGTCACGTGCTTTTATTGTAGAGAACACCTTTTTATCCTTGTTCAGACTTGCCAAATAACTGTAGCTTGTCAACACCCTCGCCGGTCATAAGCCTGGGCGCCTCGACGAAACCTGGCACATGTGCGATCAGCTCTTGCCGACACTCTACTTCTCTCTGAAAAACCTAACCAACTGCTTTGCTGCGGCGGGACGAACGCGCTACGTTTTATACCTGCTTTTCTTAGACGGTGGAGCTCGGGGTAGTCCTGGACCGGTAGGTTCTGAATCTGTCATTGTCAAGGATCACCTCCCGACGCACACAGCATGCGTCATGTGGGTGGCGAGCATGGCCTACGGTCATGCATTTACTACCAACAACATCGCTAAATATCGGGGTTTTGTTCACGGCCTCCGCCAGGCAAAGGCAAGCGGGTACTTACCACTGCATGAAATCGGGAACAGCGCTTTGGTGCTTTCCCAGCTCAGAACTTATCGATCCCCACGCAAGACACATTTGGCGTTAATTTACCGATAGGCGCGAGCCCTAGCCGACGATATATCCGTCGCCAGCTGGGATCATCACTACCGTGAATACAACACAATGGCGCATCGCGTGGCAAATATCGCAATGGACACGTGCGCTTCAGTTCAAGTGAACGCACCGTAGGATCGCAGTATTGTCACAAAGATTGCGGCATTCCTTGATAGCGACGCTAACCACTGGCTAGAGACCGCCCTGTTCAAATTTTGCGATCAAGGCGCCAAGAGGGAGAATGTGAGGCATATTCAGGTACGCGAGCGACCCGCTATATCCTGTCTGACGGTACTCAAAAGCACCGTACAGACATCTGCTCAAAATAATATGTAAGTACGAGGCCTCGGACAGCTAATCTGCGCCGCGCGAGGTGTTGTTCTGATATGGCGCGGCCTGTTGCGGTCATCGCGGGACCAGTAAGATCAGAGTGCTCGTCCATTGTTTCTGACAGCAGGAATAGTGCCTTACTCGAAACTATGAATCGGTAGCCTGTCCCTCTGGGCTCTGTCCCAAGCAATTTTTGCAGCGATGAATATGACAAAGAGATTGTGAAGGTCATCATAGCCTTTGTTCTGCAAACACATGTCGAGCAAGGACTACGTTCGTAATTTGAATCACTTGAACGAAAGACATGAACTTGACATAAAGCACGCAAAAGCACACACATCATTTGCGTCACCAGGTGTAATTCGTTCGGGAAAATATCACAAAACCATGGTCGGGTATCCAAGTGGATCGTGGATGGGCCATCACGCTTTGGGCTCCTGATCATAGAGTCATTACTTCTATACCTCATTTTCGCGGGTAGCATGTCCTGGATCGTGGAATAGCTCATTATTCAAGCGTTTCGTAAGCTTGCGTCGCTGGATTTGATCGACTCCACGTCGCTTTTTGCTCACGCTTCTCATTCAAAGCTCCAACACTGAAGCTGCTGTCCACTCAGTGGCAAACCTTGTCACAACGTAAGACAGCGCTCAATGTCCATAATTAATAAGGCAGACGTCATGGGGCACCAATGCAGTTGGCTGCAACGAGCCTAGAAGCTGAGATCAATGCCGTTGTGAATCTGGTTCTGTCTTAACTTCGCTTACAAGAACAATCACGACGTGTTGACCAAATTAACCATTCTTTTGCAAAAAGCTGGTGACCAGTCGAATGCTGTCTCGCTCGTGCTTCTGCTTGGTGTGGCTGCAGCACCCTCAGAAGAAGATCTCTTGAACGGAAACATCATGCTAGGCGGTATGCGTTATAAACTCACTGCTCCGTATTGCTGGCGTTCGTGATGCGGCCCCTTGGTTCAGTGCTGCGTGCCGTATCCTACAACTTGAAACTCGTCTACTGTACTAGCACGCCTAGGAACCATATAAGACGATCAGCTCTCTGCACCCGATATCGTTATCACAGGAATACTCATCGCTTCCGTCAACGATAGTGACACTGGCTTGTAGCTGTGATGAAGGTCTGTGTGCTACCATCATCGCTGTAATATTCACCGTTCTGCCAACCGGTTGTGACGCTAGCTTGTAGCTGTGACGAAAGGTTCTGCGCTACCATCATAGCTGTTGTTAGTCACCAGCACTACTACTGCAATTGCTCGTATGCAGCTCCTTCGCAACAAATCGTATATTCCTCGCTGAAGTATCGCATCTTGCTCTCAGGCATTCTTCAGCGGCATGAGTGCAGTCACAGGGTTGTACCCGCACACTGTAGTGACTGACCTTAACCAACATTGTTTCTAATTGTGCTCACGTACCTGCTTCTTTTGAAGCTTCAGAAATGGTCAGAACATAGCGACTCGTAATCTTTGTGTTCAGGCATTGCTCTACTCGGATGCATCGGGACAAGATACATACCGAGTTATGAAAGGGCGCTTTTTCGGAGACGTCGCTGATTCTACTGTTACTATAATGGCCATCTACCTCAGTAAGTCGGACGAAACGACCAACTCTGCCATGGCTAAGCAGTCACCACAAACATCCATGAACCTTGTGTGCCTGTCTTCCCCGCAAATTTTTGACTATCTGCCGTCCATCTCACCAACCACTGTTTACTCGACTGCTCAGACTTTATGGACTTCGCAAGAGCTACAGACACTGCATACTGGCCTCACCCGGTTTTCTATCGACCACTTCGACAATGTTACACGGTACATCAAGATTGCCGCCACGCTGCCACGGAAGTGTGTACGTGATGTGGCTTTCAAAGTCAAGGCGCTTGGCTGTCCAGGTGTTTAGTCTACCACATGCACCAAGCGCATGAAGATACAGCCGTACCAAGAACCACATCAGCAGTTTACAGACACCGCTAAGCTGGAAGAGGCGCGACTTGCGGCTCTCCTGCACGATAATGTACGGGCCATCAACACGATGTGCACGAATTTATTGAACGGCAAAGCTGATGAAAACCGCTTACACATACTCAAGTTCCAAGGAAACTGTGAGACAGTGCTTTCTGCGTAAGTCTTGGTTGTGTTATCTCGATGCTGGGTGGGGCTGACTCTTGACGTTTTCTCTGTTGTAGCCTAAGCGGCATTTGCACGTCCATTCCGCCATTGTCGCTACAACTCGATACGTCGCTGTTAGACGAAGACAAAGGGGATGACAACAACCGTAACCGCAACAGCACCAACAACTAGAATTAGTAGAAGACACGTACTTTATAACTTCTATATCTCTATTGATGCGAAGCCAAGCTCGGGTATCAGCTATTTATTTCATCTCAACAAGTAGACTTTTTCTTCTCAGAGTCGCTTATTGTTAGTGTCTACGATCCGAACGGCTACCACGACTATGGCTGCGACTGCGTCTATGACGGTCTCGATCTCGGCCACGCCTGCGACTACTACCTTGATCATCACGGCTGTGGCTGTAACTGCGACTGCGACTCCGCTTTCGGCGGTCTGAACGACTTCGACTCATACTACAACTGCGACGTCGTTCTCGGTCCAGTAAATGCTTTTCGTCCTCTCTCTTGAGTCCAGGGCGTCTCTTATCGTCCAGAGTCTCGGTTTTTCTCCTCTTTTTCCTCGTCTTCTTGTCCTCACCAGGTCTCTTAGTTGCTCCCAGTCCCAGCAATTTATGTCTCGGCTTTGGAGCTTCTCCTACATCTTCCAAGTCCACGTCTCCTTTCCAGCCCATACCCCGAAGAAGAGCTGCCCCAAAAGCCTCTACAGGTACTGACTTGTACACATCGCTGTGTACATCTGGCGCGTCAGGGCGTTGTGCCACATCATGTCGGTACTTTTCTGTAACGTCTTGTAATTCGTCCAGTCCCGGAACGACGTTCTGCTGCAAAATGGGCTTTTGCTGCTCTTTTTTAGGTCTTTTTTCACTATCCTCAAACAGCTCCGCTCGTCTCTTCTCTCGCTTGCTAATAACCGGGATCACCAGCTCCTGTTGCATATCATTGCCATCTACAGGTGCCTTGCTTTCAGCGAGAAGTTGGGTCGTTGCCTCTTGATCGGCTGATAAAGCACCCAATTCGACCGTCAAAGTACCTATTTTCCCATCGCTTGATTCCGCTTTCCAAGTATTTGTCTCCAATAAAGGAATAACCAGTGGCTTTACTTGATCCTCAACGAGTGCATTCGGATCAAAGTCCGTCACAAATACCTTCTTAGAGTCTTGTGAGGCCGCAGAGACAAAACTTGAGAAGCCAGTGGACGCCCCAAGTGCCTTCTTCTTGCTCTTCTTGAGCGCAAACCCGCCTAACTTCATGTCTAGGAAAAAAGGTATTTTGTGTGAGATGGGGTTTATGAATCCCCTCAACTGTCATATGAGTAACCCGGAGGTAATTAGCTCCTCTAAAACTAAATATTATGCTTCGATTGCTAATATTTGATCACGTATTGCAAAATTTCTAGGTCGTGTAAAAATGTGAAATGCTCGGGATACATGTTGAAAAAGAGAAATTCCGATGTTGCAAGAGAAAAGCCAAGCCTACAAAAGAGACGCTATGTTCGTTACAGTTATGAAATTCTGAACGATGTCAATGCGTTAGTGAATAAGGCTGAGAATTGTCATAGTAGTTCTGGCGATGATCGTGCTAAGAATTGTTTCCAGTTGCAATAGCGAGCCCCATTTGGTATCAGTAACTTGTTTCGGGACAAAGTGGAAAAAATATTGGGCCTGTTTGAGAACAACACTGTTTCTGCATATATACTGCTCACGCTGTTGTAATTTGAGTGATTCTGCGCTCGATTGAGATTTGTTCAATGGAAGCACCAAGCTTGTTGCTACAAAGACCTGGGCATGCTGTAAAATATGTGGAATAGCTAGTCGGCATCTAAACACATGACTGCTTGCTTGTCTGACAAAACATGACATGGCAAACGCAACTTTAGACTGTGACTTTAACTGCAATAGAGTGTACTTCGACGTGGCAATTTCGTAAAGGCCACCTTCTTTCCACATGAAAAGCTTTAGGAACTTCAAATGTGAGGTTTGATTGTAAGCGATACCGTCACGAAAGCAGTATCATCCCGCTACAAGCGAAATAACGCATGAAAAGTCGGCGGGACGAGAAAAAAACGAAACCGATGAAGGGAAAAGTGCTGGTAAAGCACTTTGTAGAACTATTCGTCGTCTGATAAAGCGCTTTCAAAGTCTAAAAAGAAAAGCTGTGTTTTTAGCTTGCTGCCAAGGCGGTTATAGCCGCCAATTCTCAACATGACAAGGGTGATATCGCCTATCGACTCGAGCACACGTGTCGGGACAGCGCCGTATTTGCGCAGCAGCTTCGACACTTTGTCCAAGCATGCCTCCAAAGTTGGATGTCGCCGCAAAGGAGCTGATCTTACAAGATCAGGTGAAGTTTAAGCCCTTGCATTTCGCTTCGTGTTTTGTACAAGACGACAGATTCTTGTCGTACAGAAATGAACACGCAAACTATCACGATGGCGACGATCTATCACGGGGTTTGCTAGTACGGTGGTGATGACTATCTCTGTTGAATGGTTCGTGTTGTGTTTCTTTGACAATAACACATGATGGCATCATGGACTCTTGACAACTGGCAGCCGTCAATAGATGGAAGCTTCGCAAAAGAGCTTCGGGATCACGAGCAGGGCATTTCACAGATAAAGGGAATGGTTGCCTGTGGTAAAAAGGTGAGCACTTACTGCTCTTGTAACTAGGTTGAATAGCTTCTACGGGCGTATCGTATCGTATTGCCAATTGTTCGTGATGTTTGTTTCGAGAGCCGCGCATCAAAATTTCAAAATAAAACGGCTAATATTCTTGTGTAAACTACTGATGAATTGCAGTTGGTGTCAGAAAATATGTTTGAAGTTTATCTACGTTTATAACATATAGAAACTTATGGGCATAAACAATTCTTTCGTCTACAGACAAGGCGAAGCATCACTAATAAGCCACCTTCCAAACCTGATCAGCTTGACATGTGATATAGTGCAGTCCTACAGCGGAAGATCTCCTCCCATTGACATTAATGAAGATCATATTGGACAATTTCTAGCTGCTCTTCGCGTCGGCCTGCTGAACTCGTCGCATGAGAAAGTTTGATCTTCCCAAACCAAAATTTTAGATACAGATTTCGTCACGTGCCAAAGCATTTTGTAGGCCACCTAGCAAAGGTTTCCTACCAATTTAGCAGACTCTTTTTGTAATAGATCTGATGCAATCCATTCTAATGGTCATCACCACAGCTACTGTCTGTAAATTAAATTCAGGCAGATTAAACCTGTTTGGCTATCGTTTTTGACGTATGCACCCTCATTCAGCGACATTTGATGCGAAAAAGCGACAGTCATACCGAAAGTGGTATAGAAAACTCGTGTAAGAAAGTGTGAGGCACGACATTAGCAGCTTTACCAAAATCATATTCGGCAGTATCCCTCCACATTTTGCATGTTGTTCATGCATATCACTGCGGTCGTGGCAGCACGTCTGAATCCGTATCAATCAAGATGCTGCTCCAGTAACGAAAACAGCATAGCCGCGGCATATCTCTCGTAAGTGTTGTGTATATCAGAACACAACAGGTCGGACACAGCTTGCTCATTGAAGACGTCCTCGAGAAAGAGAAGGCAATGAATGGCAGGGCATTGTCGGCTTTTTCATTGACTTAGGGGATGCTACCGATAAATTGAGGATCTACTACTGCAGCATCGCGGACGATATGATCAAACACTATGTCGTTCGAGTCACCTCTTGTTGCCATGGCGCAGTGCTACGCTGACTACACGGCGAGATTCCAAGTCATTGAGAAGCATCGCGGTGTGAAAGATGGGTCATGCCTACCTACTGCAATCTGTACACGAAGCCGGGCCGGCCCACGGCATTTTGCGACAAAGCTCGCCAAATTTTTATCGCGCGGGCAGTGAACGCCATAAGTCGGGAATGTGGTTCTTTCCGCCGGCCAAGGGTGCACCAGTATCATCAGAGGCTTCTTTGTAGCGCTCGAAAAGTGGCGCCTCATGCAACTCTTGTCTAAGCTGCAACGTCACGTACCCATCGCTTACCATTTAAACTTGCTGCCATGGCGTAGAAAATTGCAGCCGAAATCTTCGGGGTCCCTGAAGCAAAATGCGGCGGGCTGGATATGAAGAAGCTCGAGAGCCACTAGGTGGCTAAACTCAATATTTGCACCCTTACTGCTTTTGCTGCTGCAAACCTCACAGGCATGCTAATGGATATCGGTAAAATCTCCAGATTGTTGCACGATTACGGCGTGTTGTCTACTGATACTGCACTACTTGCGAGTCCTACGCATCGATGGATATGACCCACACGCTTCGGTCGATGGCTTGTAGCACGCCATCGTTTTTTCAAGGTACAAACTTATCTCCTAGCTAGGGTCTCCTGATGTGCTGACTGTAAAAATGCAGCTTATGATGAGTGAAATGCCTACAATGCCTGGTGATGGCACTGTACTGTTTGGCACTGAATATTCTCACTTTGCTGTAAAGCGTGAGGACGAGCATCGAGCATTTTTTGGAAATATTCAGCCTGGACTTGCGTTTGCACTGAGCAGCACGTTCGAGCCAAAAGTTTGTGGCTTAGGAATTATCGCCACTACAACGCATGCAAGTATCTCCTAGTAAAGCAAACATTATGCTTCTCAGTCTCTACCGCAACAACAGTGACCAATTGCATTTTTTCGATCACGATCTACTTCAACGACCATTTCCGGACCACAACTTGTGTGGGCCAGTATCGAACAACAAATTAGCTCGATCGTTATTAATCTTCCCAGAGGCCTTGGTCTGTCCGAACCATTTTGTAGGAGCATGGTATTTCCAATACCCCCCTTGACTCGCCCGGCAGTAGGCCAACTTTAGTACTGCACTTTCTCGAAAGAAATCGTTAGATGCACTGAAAGAAGCAACTTGGACCCTAGGGTAACTTTCAAACTTCGATATAGCTCCCATCAAATTATCCTGAATCTCCCTTCCTCCCTTGGGATGCTTTTCCACATATGCAAAGATGCAACAATTAGAACGCTCGGTTCGTACTAGATTCAAACCTGGCGAGCGTCCTCATTTAGCATCTGCTCAACCTTCTCCAGCAACATCCCAACGTGCTTGGTCGGGTTGTACCACTGACGGATCAAGTTATGAAACTCTTCCATCGGACACTTTCTAACCTCCTGGGTTTCTCCACAGCCTCGACAATCTAACAGGCAACGGTCTTGTAGCCGAGCTACTGTAGCTATGCTACTTATGCACTACGTGCAGATGCACTATGTGCAGAAGAAGTAATCAAACTACTGTATCAAAGCTACGTATGCACTATGTGCAGAGGAAGACAAGCTCCGAGAGCTTCTACGTCTTAGGGTGTTTAACCCTCCTAGGCTAGCTCGTAAGCTTGTGCCTGTCGGTATTAACCGAGTCTCAGAGATACTAGTATCAATGATACAATTCCTTAAGAGGAATAGAAAGCTCAAGCAGTGATGCTTATAGAGCAGGTTTGGAACTGATTTGTATTTATATTTATCTTCTAGCACTAAATATAGAATCACCTATTCTATACTTGGTGCTATTCACGTTACTGGCTCTATAGCTTGTTATTATTATGCAAACATGTATAGTCACTATACTTATTTAAGTATAGTGACCACGTGGCTCTCTGCCACGATGTGACCCTTCGTACTTCAGGTACGGTCACATTACCTACTTTTGTACCCAAGGTACAGCCACACCACATTGGTGTGGCAGGTGTGTATGTAAAATACACATCTTCATGTAACCCCGTTGCACCCTCCCCCACTAATCCGTGGGACCCGACGTACCCTCGAATTATTGCACTTGATTGGAGGCATCAATTTCATTTTCTTCCATTTTGCTTGCCTCGCAATAAGTGCTTGCACTTGCGTCTAAAGGTTCTGTGTTTTCAACACTTGCTCTTTGAGCACCCGTGCATTGCACACACGCTTTATAAGCATCCTTGTGTTACGACACTCGCTCTTTGAGCATATAGTGCATCGCACTCAAGCTAAAGCATTAAGTGTTACGACACTGTTTGTAAGCGTTAAGTGCCAAGCACTTGGTATTATTAATACCGTTTGTGTGTTCACGAACACTTGCTTTCACAGCACAAGGTGCCTAGCACTTGCTTTAAGCAATACAGTGTTCACAACACTTGCTTTTAGCAATACAGTGTTCACAACACTTGCTTTTAAGCGATACAGTGTTCACAACACTTGCTTTAAGCATTTGTGTGTAACACCTACTCACAAAGCACCGTAATGTTAACACTAGCTCATAATGCACATTAGTGTCTAACACTAACGTAGGTAAATAACCGAAATTATTGTTGATTTTTTTTGTCAACTAAAATATTAACATCTAGCATCATAATTACAAATAAAAATAATACAGTAATAGCTCTTTACATATGTAATTATTTACATTATTGATAAAAATTCAATTTCAGAAATTAATAATAATCCTGTTGAATTAGTAAAAACTGAAAAATATGTATGTTGAATATTTAAATTATACAAATAAAGAAATATTACTATTTATTTATGGAATTAGACATGATAGGACTATAATTAATTTAAAAATGTTTCATGTGTTTTATAACGTATTTTTATACAAGTAAAACATATAGATCAAAAAATGAAAATAATAATAATAATAGGCCATTGAAGATAGTAAACCTAACAATGGTTAAGCAAATGGCTGTTACCCATTAGGTTATAGGTTCAAATCCTATCAAAGAAGCTTTTATGCTTCGGTCAAATAGCCAAGTTTGGTTTAAGGCAGTAGTATGCTAAACTATCAACTAATTTTATTAACTCGTGGGTTCAAATCCCACTTCGACTTATTTATCAATAAATTTATAATAAGGAAAAACTAAAATGATGTATAATGCATATTAGTGTTTAACACTAGCTTATAAAGCACCTAAGTGTTCAATACTTGCTTATAAAGCACACTTTCGCTTCACTTAAGCGTATAAGCACCATAGCATCCAACAGTAACTTATAAAGCACCATAGTGTATAACACTAGCTTATAAAGCACCATAGTGTACAACACTAGCTTATAAAGCACCATAGTGTATAACACTAGCTTATCAAGCACCTAAGTGTACAACACTTGCTTATATAAAGCCCAAAAGTGTCGTAAACTTGATTCTGAAGCATGTAACGGGGTTACACGAAGGTGTATATTTTACATACACACCTGCCACACCGATGTGGTGTGGCTGTACCTTTGGTACAAAGTAGGTGATGTGACCGTACCTGAAGTACGAAGGGTCACATCGTGCCACGTGGTCACTATACTTAGTTAAGTATAGTGACTATGCATGTTTGCATAATCATAAAAGGCTAAAAAGCCAGTAATAGTGACTAGCACCAAGTATAGGATAGGTGCTTCTATATTTAGTGTTAGAAGATAAACATAAATACAAATCAGTTCCAAACCTGCTCTGTATAGCACTAGTTGCTAGAGCGTTCTATTCCTCTTGAGAAATTGTATCATTGATACTAGTATCTCTGAGACTCGGTTAATACCGATAGGCCCAAGCTTACGAGCTAGCCTGGGAGGGTTAAATACCCTAAGACGTAGAAGCTCTCGAAGCTTGTCTTCCTCTGCACATAGTGCATACGTAGCTTTGATACAGTAGTTTGACTACTTCTTCTGCACATAGTGCATCTGCACATAGTGCATAAGTAGCATAGCTACAGTAGCTCGGCTACACCTGGTAGCACTCGTAGTAAATCCCGCACCTGGGTTTGCAACTACTTCTCTGTGTGAGAATGGACATCGACGAGATGTCATCGGTTGGCCTGTCACAGGCACAACAGGAAGGGTTGCAGAAGATGCTCCCTATCCTTGGCCTTAAGGGCTTGGAATACCTCATTGTCCAGGGCGTAGAAGAGGTTAACAAGCGTATTCATATGCTTGATGAATATAAGAAAGCTCTAGTCGAGCATGTAAAGGCACAGATGCCTTCTTCTGCGCCTTCGCCCATGGCGCAAGAAGTGGTCCGCAGACCAAAACCCATACAAATGGAACTCGATAAGTTTGACGGCAAAGAAGGTGATAACCTTATGCTTTAGTTCCGACAGGTTGAGTCGGCTATGTTCATAGCCAACATCACCTATGAACCGTACCGTGTGGGCTTTGCCACGGGCAAGCTAGGTGGCTTAGCCAAACAGCGGGCATTTACATGTGGTGCATCACTGCAAGATGCTTTTCCCACATGGGCCGATCTGAAAGTTCAGATGACCCGGCAGTATGCACCGCCAAACCAAGCACACCGTAACCGGTCGCTGTTTTTGGAGTATCTCCAAGGCAAGCGTGAGCTTGCGGCATATGTACAAGTGTTGAGAACTCTCATTGCTGCCATGGTCATAGACCCTATGCCTGAGATAGTGACCGTCACGGTCTGCATGGAAAATCTCCGAGTTGGCGTTGCCAGAACGGAAGTCTTCCGGGTAAACCTGTCCTCATTTGAGGAAGCTGTTGGAGTGGCATGGAATGCCGAGACCATCTTTAAGGCCGCTAGGCCTGCTACTTATAACTACTCGTCTGATGGGTATGTACCCATGGACTGTAGTCAAGTGGAGGATGAAGAAGCTGAGCTTCAAGCTGCGGAGCAGTAGGCGCAGGGGCGCCCTACTGGAGAAGAACTGAGTTCTGTTGAACCTCTAGGAAGTAGAAGTAAACAGGGCCTAGCCTCAAAGAGATCCGAACTCTCAAAAACGGAACGAGAATGCAAGCCAGGCTTGCTAGTCGTCGAAGGGACGATTAAGGGCTTTGATAAGCCATGGATCATTTTGATCGATTCGGGGGCATCGGGCAATTATTTGCGCCGTGCCACCGTGGAAGGTAGTCAGCAGTATGCTGAAGCGCTTGTAGCGCGTGAAAGTGACACAGTCACAGTTCGCTTAGCGACGGGTACGCGTGTTACGGTACCCGAAGTCTCAATGTACTTAAATATAAAGTTCTTGGACTTTAACAGCATGGAACGCTGTTTTGTCTTAGACCTGGATGCGAGGTATGACCTCATCCTAGGCATGGCATGGCTAGAACGTCATGAGCCATGGATTGATTGGAGGTAGAAGACCTTAGGCGCAACGCGCGATGGTCCTGGTGGGGCTCTAAAGAGTCATGAACCCACCTCTGCTAGGAAGCAAAAGCGCTTTTGGCGCGGATATTGGACCGAGTTGGTCAATAAGTTGGATGTCGGAATATCCGACTTTGTAGACACTGTAAGTGCCGAGGGCAATGGTACTGGGCGAGGCCCAATGACTGTCGATATTGTGTTTGAGAACCCACTAGATGGCACATATGACATGTGTCATGAGAATGATGTTACATCATTAAAAACCGTGAGTGGTGTTGATGGCTGCAAGCCAAGATGTAAGGACGTGAGTCCAAGTGACATGGGTGACAAAGTACTGACCCTGGAGGGTCGAGTGAAGTCATCGCTGGATGTTATCTTTGAGGATAACGAGGTGCATGCACCTATCGACGAGGCATTGACCCAAGAGGGTGGGGTGTAGTCAGTAAACGAAGTGGTCTTTGACCTTGAGGTGTGTACACCTGTGGACGCTGATGCGTCGGATGCTGAGAGCATCATGA